CTAGAGCATCCAGTGTTACACAGTTCTACAGAGGACTCCCATGGTATTTTTCAAAGTATTTCCTTTCTTCTTAAAAGTAACTATTTACATGATTGATCACCTTGACCCAGTGCCTGCAGGAGGGCATGTTCATTCAGTATTATTTCTAATGGAAGAAGGAAAGAAAGGAGGACGCTTAATAGGTATACCTGACCTATAGAGCTTTATAGGTCAAAGACCAGAGAGGAAGCTGCTGTAGATCCTGGAGCTGGAATCCTTGGAGGTTCACTCCTGTGAGGTTGCCAGCTGCTACATCTAGAAACTGTGGTTTTTCAAAGTAAGTTACAAAGGCCTGCTGCTCCTTAAAATCAAACTGTCTCTTGCTTCACTCAGGCTACGAATCCTATGCACATTTACTTTTGAGTAAGCTCTGTAAAATTCAGTGGGGCTTACTTCTCAGTCACTATACACATAATTGGGCCCCTTTCACAATCATCATGTTGTGTTTTCAAAATAGTATATTTATTTAAAGGATTTTTTTACTCCACTGTTCAGCCAAATATGCACACAATTAATATAAATGCTGTTTGTATTAGAATGGTGTGTGTGCATGCATCCTCATTCTTTTGGATCCTGATCATATGAACAAAGACTCAAAGAGTACCAGGAAGTAACCAGTCTACATTAATTGATCTTATAAATGCCCTCACTGAGCATGGTTAAACAGAGGCAAAGACATGATACCCATGGTGTTAGCACTTGCTGACTAATAGAGGGTCAAACAGGGTCTCTAAAGTTAGTTCAGCTTCTGCTCCCCTCCCCCTTCCCCTGGTATAGTTTTAGGAAAAATAATGTGGTAGAAGCGTATTGATAGCAACATGCATCAAAGTTCTAAGAGCTCGAGACCCAAAGAAAAGATAGCATTAATTCTCAACCCTCTGGCTAGGGAAAACGGAACTAAAACCTTATCTTATGAGATCAAGCCTTTTGTGCAACAATTGATGCAGTGTCTGGCAAATGAAGGCGTAATGGCTGTAACCACGTGTACTCACACTGTATCCTTCACATTAATCGTTCAGACAGGAACTGTGCAAAACATGTGCATATGAAATAATGTCATGGGTTCACTGAACAGACGTGCTGCTCAGAAAGCAGGAATTCACTCCAAGATTGTAGAGGTGGCCTCTGACCCCACCCAGAAAGCAGGCATTGGTTACTTATCTAAGATGCAATTGTTTGAGAAGCAGACAGTCCCTTACTGGCGCGAGGGACGTGTCTGAGAAATACATGCTTGAGAAATTGTTATATCATTTATGGCTGTGATAGCGAAGGCTACCTAACTGCTAGTCAGTATTCATCTTGGCCTTGTTTACTATCTGTGTCAGTGGAATCTACCAAAGCAGTCCCCTTGCAGTGAAGTCAGGCTCCTTTTGTTCTTAAAAATACTAATCGATACTGAACGAAGTACAAGCTGCAGCTTGCCATGAACATTGTGTGTGTATGTGTGCATCTATATTGATGGAGTGTTAGTAGGGCTGCTCCATCGACAACACTGTAGTTACTAAAAAAGCAGCAGTCCCTTGTCTACTGAAATTCACAGTTGATTCTCTGAACTCACATGATATGGAATGTGATCATTGCAAATGCCCACTAATTGGAGACATCATATTATGCCCAGTGTACAAGTCAGCTAGGGTGGCATGGTGAAAAAGAGGGAGGCCCTTGCACCTCTGACAGTTGTGAATTTCAGCAGGTGTAGCTTGCATGGCAACATGGTTTATCACGACGTACAAACACAGCCCTTTTTTCTAACACACACAATGCTGCTCTAGTTACGGTGGTGCTCTGTGGGATGTAGTGCAACTAACATGCACTGAGACTTGTATGACTGGACCCAAAGTTAGGGAATAATATGCCAGGAAATATTTGTGCCTCTTACAAAATAAATAAAAGAAAACAAACCGGAACATAGACGGTGAAGAAGAGAATTTAAGGGGTGGCCGAAAGGTTTGCAGTGTAACTCCACTCTGGTTAGCCTCAGAACTCTTCAGCTGCCCCTTGGCTTGTACCAATGTGTGAGGGTATCTCTGTGAAAGTCTCTATCAAACTAAAACCTGCCAAAATATGAGCAACATGTAGATAAGAAAAATAAAATTTAAAAAACACAAAAACTTCACATTGGACAGTTTTGTGGTTACTCTCACAACAATCCTGTGAAATAGGTGCAAGATGATGATTGGACTTTGTGGCAGAGAAGGGATTTAAGTGGGTTCTTTCTGACCCTAGTTTAACACATAATAATTTGGTATAGTTGTTAGGACCTAACTTCTGTACTGTGTTATAGATGTGAATGGTCTAGAGCCAATTTCATGCCATGTGCATTTGGCAAATATATAGCAAACTTGTCTTAAGATGAAGATTGGACTGTGGACATTTCCATAAAAATCTAATGCAATCCTTGATTGCTGCTGCCACAATGGTATCAGTCTGTCCATAGATCACTACCTCAAATTCACACAGTGTATATATATGTAGCATGGACTTGGTAAAGGTAAAGGTACCCCTGACTGTTACGTCCAGTTGCAGACGACTCTGGGGTTGCGTGCCCATCTCACTCTATAGGCCGAGGGAGCCAGTGTTTGTCTGCAGACAGCTTCCAGGTCATGTGGCCAGCATGACTAAGCTGCTTCTGGCGAAACCAGAGCAGCGCACGGAAATGCCATTTACCTTCCCGACAGACTGGTACCTATTGACCTACTTGCACTTGACATGCTTTTGAACTGCTAGGTGGGCAGGAGCTGGGACCTCACCCTGTACAACGGGAGCTCACCCTGTAGCGGGGATTCAAACCACCGACCTTCCGATCGGCAAGCCCTAGGCTCTGTGGTTTAGACCACAGCGCCACCCGCGTCCCCCGACATGGAATTGGTACCAGGCCATATTTGGTCATATCAAATCATTTTTCCAAATTATGCCCTAGAAAAAGCAGATATGGAATTTATTTTATTCAGCAGAAAGAAGCAATGCAAATCAAAGTACACCAATCTCTGCATATAGAGAAACTCATGGCAAATATTACTTTCAAAATCAGATCTGCTGTATAGCTGACTGGAATCTTTGAAAGTGAAGAACAGGAGATGCCCAGGCTACCTCTGCTCAGCAGACCTCCCAAGAACCCATGTGATGTGTTTCATAGCCATACAGCTGCTAAAGTAAATAACTCAACTTTGATAATTAGGCTCTTTCTGGCACTGTAATGGAAGTCTTTCCAGAGGCAAGTTGAGGATCAGGCACAGTAAGGGATCTATCTTTTCATGTATATAAACACAAACAACAGAACTCTGAATGTTTTGCCTGGTAATCAGCAAGACTGTGAGCTGCGCTTGTAAATATTTCTTGCCCACTGGAATTTATCTCCCTGGATCATTTTCCTGTTAGCAAACTTGGCATTATTTTTGTGTGAACTGAACTCTTCCAGGGCCCATCTGAAGCAGCTTTCTCCTTTCATCTTTGCAGTTTCCCCCAATCTGAAATAATGAGTTACTTCTTCATAGGCTTTCTATACCAGACACATTTCATTCTTTAGTAAGGGTTCTCAACTGTTGTGGTCACATAAAGCCTCTCTAAATGGGTTTGCAATGTATCTTGCACTGTTAATGCATATCATGCCTTTTCCATTCTTATTTGCCAAAACATTTAATTCCATTTGTTAAGCCAGTGGCGTCTTTGCTACCTTGTCCATTCCCCTTCTCCATGCCCCCGTCCTCTGCTACTTAATTCCTTCTGGTGTCCTTCTGGATCATTCAGACCAAAGTCTCTTCAGCGCAGTATCCTGATCCAACAAGATAAATAAATAAGCATTAAAAAGCCTTTGCCCCCTAATAGAATTACACTTCCCAAGGGAATGACTCCAAAACCACTTGAGCCCAGAATGTAGAGGCACTTGCAGAATGTGGTTCTGTGAGTATCATTGACACCTTTCGATAGTGCCTATTAAATCAGTACTTGATGAGTGACAATTTTCCCACTCTGATGTCCCTGCCGTTTTGTGAGCTTTTAAAAAGCATTTGAGATTTCAAAACAACAATATTCCCCAAACGCTTTAGAGGCTGTTTGCTCCCTCTCCCTCCACTCAAGTGCTACAGGGATCTTTTAGCCTTTTGAAAAATTGACAAATGTGAGCAGGGCTACGTAGCCTTTACTCTCACAGCAATGTCTTGACATTTCATTAACCTTTTCCTTAGGGGGAAAAAACCTCCTATGAAATGGTGTGTTCATCTTCTCCAGTCGCAAAGTACATATATCTTCTGTTTTGAAGTAAAAGAAGCAAACTGATATAGCCGTTGCTTACAACAAAGCTATTGCTTGCAGCCCAACCCCACTGGATTGTGTAAGGACGATTTACACTACTGGTGCTGTGTGAGGCTAGCTCGATTGCAGAAACAATCTACACAGGTTCTATTCAGATGTCATGCTGTCTAGTCATTCAACAAAGTCTTGGGGACAAGCTTTGTATGAACTCACCCTTTCCTCACCTTTCTTCCTATAAGCAGGCCCATCTTGATGGAACACTTACTGGTTTGTCAGACTACAAACTGGTTTGAATTTCCAGACCAAAATTGCAAATTCAAGTTTAAACTTTGGCTTGCAATCCTTATTTGGCTCATAAAATCAGGATGTGTTTCATTAAACCAGGCACTGAAGGGGAAAGGAGAGGAGGGATTATGCATGTACAGTGCCTGATCCTGCAAACCATGGGTTGGATTAACACAGGCACCTGAATGCTAACACAGGGATCTCAGGGTGCCCTTGCATGGTTGTGGGCCATACCAGCTTTTATAGTTTTAGCAATTCTTTCCTATCAGTTATATGGAAACAATACCAGTATTTCACACAATTAATGAAAAGTATTTACCTCTAATCACCATGCACAGAAGTAAAACAGCATAAAAGTTTCTGGGATTTTTTCGGCTCCTAGTGCAGGCAGGAAGCCATGAAAAAGAAGGAAATATGGAGGTCTTCTAACAGTCGGGGTGGACTTTCTTAACTCCTGTTCCAAGAAAATCATATCATAAATCATGGATATAATCACAGTCAAGCCCACATTTTCAAATCACATCATGGCAATATAATTGCAGTCAAACTGATCTTCTGTTTTTATGATTAATTTTATTTGATCCTATCCACTGCATGGTTTCCCCCCCGTAATATGTATATGCACCACTTAGACGCTTGGGTGATTAAACAGTATATAAACGTAAATAAACAAACCTTATCAAATTGCATTAAATAATGGAAAGGATTTTTTTTCCAAACATGAAAGGCAACCAACAAGATCAACAAACATAAAGAAACAATGAAAAGCAATTGCTTAAAAAAATATGCACCATCACAGAACAAGGTATCAGAGCACTATAAATCGGGCACATAGTAAAAGAGTTACCGTAGATCTAAGTTTGCTAGTCCTAATTGGTAGGGCATTCAAATTGCCAAGACCCATCTAGAGAAAAAAAACAATTTAAAAAATCTGCTTTTACATCCAGATAAGCCAGGCAACCTCATTCTGGTGAATGGGTTTATAACAAGTCTGAGAAGATTTGGTTATACTGAACTCTTTGGTGACAACCTGTCTCAGGGCTTACCCATACTTTTCCCCGGGGAAAACCACTCTTTAGCTCTCAATAGGAGCGAACAGCAATTGGGTTTTCCATGGATTTCCATTTGTTTCTATTTAGAGCTAAAGGGCAGGTTTTCCTTGGGAAAGGAGCAGGGTAAGGGGAAAACCTCTCAGACCCATACTTAGAAAGCATTGGTCAAACAGAAAACCTCTCAGACATGTGCTTTATAGGCACGTGAGAAGCAGTAGTGTGGACGAGCCCTTAGAAAAAATAGTAAAAAAAAACTCCTACCCATTATGCTTGCTGATTTGTTTAAATCTCTTTGCAATCTGGGAAGTCAAAATTGTTGTGTCTGATCCTGTGCATAAACACCAGCCATTGGAAATTGGAAGGAAGTATTCCTAATACCTTTTTTGAAAAATAAATAAATAATAGAAGTGGATCACCATGGCAGTATTTTGCACAGGATAATGATCAAAGGATATCTGAACCTTTCATCAAGACTCAAAACCATGATGCACAACGGTGCTCTTGGAACAGGATATAAATCTCAAGTAAATTAATTGGTTGGAGGCATTGGGAAGTATAAATGGCACCTTGCCCATCTATAACTACAATAGGTCAAATGTTCAAAGTTGTAGTAAAGCATCTTTAAGTGACTTATGAAATGAGTGAGATTATAATGTCAAGGACTCTGTTTTTTTAACAAAGCATTAAACAAGAATAGTATAGGTATGTTTTGACCCAGAACAGCTAGCTTTTGTGCTTATTTAAATATAGAGCATAAGATTGTTTCTTCCTTTTATACCAGCTAATGATACCATTCTCTTTCAAAGAGAAAGAGATGGTGTCTTTCTCTTTGAAAATTCTCCATCACTAAGGACTAGTCTACATTTCTGCTTGTCCCGTGCCTAGAAAGGGACGACCAACTAAAGCAGGCTTTTTCAACCTTTTGGTCTCAAGGTGTTGCTGGACTACACCTCCCATCACCCCTGACCTGTGGCCATGCTGCCTGGGGATGATGGGGATTGTAGTGTAACAACATCTGGGGCCCAAGGTTGGGGAATATTGAACAAGGATTGACAGCTGTGAATCTGCTTGAAGACCAAGTTTGTAAGTCCAATTTGTGTTTTTATGTCATCCTGTTTTTATTCACTAACATTTCTGGGTTGATATGATCCAAAACCTTTTTTCTAAAAGAAATTCTTGTTACTTGGCATATTTTAAAAAACTGACTTTCCCTTATATATTTAAAAACAGGCATTGGTGAAGCTTCCCCCTCACATTTCACAGTGTGATGAAGTCTTTCAGTTCTTTGAGACCAGACCAGAGGACCTAAACCCTCCTAAAGAGTAAGTTCCATTGTTGCTTTTGCTGCTGCACTTCTCCAATTTTGTTAGCGAGGAAGGAAGCTAAAGGTCATTGCATTTTATCGCATCCAGAGGATGGAAGAACACTTGGTTTTATTTTAAGCTTTTAATTCCCAGGGAAATGAGACTATAATTTGGCACATGTAAGTCTGTGTGTGTGTGCGCGCTTATGCAAGGGGAAAATTGAAACAAACTTGGCATCTGTTTAATCATAGGTCAGAGGACAGAACTTTTCTCGCTTTGTTAGTTTGCCTAATTGTGTTCTTCCAAGGAATCATTAAAGTCATAAAAGTATTGGCTTTATCAGCTGAAGGAAATCCTGCCAGTTAAAATATCAAGTTTTAATCATCGTCTACCTTACCAGATATACTCATGCAATAAGATGATTTGCAAGGCTTTGATTATGATCCGTGACGGATACAATATCCGGAGAGCCTATTTTTTGGAAGCCAAAAGCAAAATCAATCACACCAAGAGAGCAGATTCTGCTGGATGCAGAAGAGAAATATACCTGCCATTCTGCTAAATTACCAATAACTATATTATTTGTGTTATATAGCAGACTATAATTAGCAGGGTGGTTTCTCTCCCCCCCCCCCCCCCCATGTAGGGCTCAAACTCACAACTCTCAGATCAAGTGTCTCACGCTCTACCAAATGAGCTATCCTCTCCGGCCTCCTAGTACTCTGTCAACCTCACAAAAGGGCATCTAGTGTACCTAGGAAGGAGTTGTGAATGTTCCTCTGCCTCATCTGTATTGCAGCTGCTTACTAGTGGGATGAAGCTACCAGGCGATATAAAGCTAAATTACACATTATGTATGTCCAAATATTTTCATTTTAAAACAGCAGTAAGTGGGGGTGGAGGGATTGGAGCAGTAGTGCTGGAGTAAATTCGAACTATTTTCTTCATGCTGTTTTCCTGACCTAATTTCACCCACAAAGCTGTGGTTAGCCCTACAGGATTTTTTTCTCCTCATATATTTTCTGCAACTTTGGGAGTATTTCAGTTGGGAACAGGTATGTGGGCCCTGTTCTGATCAGATTTTAAATGATGAACCCTAAATCCTTGGAAGTGGTTGAGCACCTATCAAGCTAACTAGCTAGCTAAACAAACAAACAAACAAACAAACAAACAAACGTAATCAAAATGTTATGCATCTAAAGGGATACCTAATTCAAAATATTGTGATTGGACAGGAAGCCAGTTATGCATGAAATCTGACATTTCACCAGCAGATGAAATGAAATTGCCTCCCCTCCCCTTCTCCCTGCAGTCGCCGTACCTCACAATCTACTCCAGAGGGGTCCTCCAAGCCTTCAGAGTATATTTTAGGGGCAACATGGGCAGATTCTTGGAGTAGGGGAGGAAGAATGAGCCCTGTTTACACAAATTGAAATCCATTGTGCCAATAGATCACTGCAGTTGGTTGTCACGCTGCATCGCTAATTCCATAATGTTCTGCATAAGAAAGGTAGTTCTATTCACCTATCCACTCTGCTTTCAAGAAAAAGAAATATGCCTGTTTCTGAAAATTGCTTTTGCACTTATTGATCTGCTCTCTGGTTTCCAGCAAAGTAATTGATATCTTTGGAGATCTAAACTGTTTTACCATGGTATATAATTGAATTTATATTGGCAGTCCAGCCAGATATTCTCATCCTGACCTAGAGGTAGAAGGAGGTTATCAGGCATTCCTCTTACATGCAAAGATTTATTTATGTGTTTAAAAATGGGAGGAAGTGGAGCCTTTTCTGCCCCAAGTGCATGCATGATCACACACCTTTCGAGTGACTGAATAAAAACTGATTTTCCAGGCAACACACACACACACACACACACACACACACACACACAATGTATTGTTTATAAAACTGCAGGTGACTAGTGTCATCTTATGAGAAGCATTTCCCCTTTTGTCTGACGTGAGTTAGAGATGCCACTTCTGAAAAGGTGACTTCTATGATACATAAACATACATAATCATCAGTGAAATAAAGATTGGGCTGTACCTCACTCACACTCAGAGCAAACCCACTGAAATCAATGCGCTTGTTAGTTATGAGTGATTTTAAGCCCTGGATCTACTCCAAGTGTGACCTACTTTGAAATAACCCTGTCCTTCAAAAAAGCTTTTTTATTATTCATATGTAAAGCTACACAGTTTTAATTGATTAATACAATTCATGATTAATTCATAACATTTATTGAATAGAAAAGATGCCCTTATTTTGTATCTGAGCTTATCTGTTAAACTCCTCATATATTCTGTACATGCTGTTTGTAAGAAAAGCACTCAGTGGCCTGGTTCAGATGTAATATCAAACCATGATTGGTGCAATGCATACAAGCTTTTAAAGACCCTTGAGCTCATGCTTTCTCTCTTCGCCGTACAGGCTGAAATTTCTTCCCTCCCTTCCTTGTTTGTGGCAAACCACTGTCTGCCACTTTGTACAAACCTGCAAAACTATCTGCAAAACTTAACGCCACAAACTAGGATTGCAAACCATGGTTTGATCCTAGTTTCCATACTGGTTTGTAGGACAAGGCAAACCATGGTTTGCTGGTTCAGATGAAATTGCGAACAATGCCAGAAGCTAGGAGGGGATCCTGTCATGAAAGAAAAGGGGAAGGGGGAAGGAGCCTGTGGTCTCATCCACACCTTGGCTTGGCCTGCATTTTGATCATATTGTGCATTAATTCCTCTGGGTCCAAGAGCTTTTCTTGTTGTTCCATAGCTGTGCATTGGAAAAATCTGATCTTACCCACTCAATTGAAGTTTGGTTAAGCAAAATCTCTCTTCAGATTTTCCACACATCTGAAAAGATCCAACTCAGTGGGTAAGATCGTATTTCTGCAAGGGACAGTCACATAACAATGCAAAAAGCTCTCAGACTAGGGTGAATTAATTGGTACACAATACAATCAAAATATGGGTGAAGCAAAACTGCGGATGAGCCCTGTGTGAGGCTCAAGTCTCCCTCATGTGGCGCTAAGCTGTGGTTTGGCATTATGTCTCAAACATCCCAGTATCTCTAAATTATTTCTTCTTCAAAGAAAATATCTGAACAAGGCCACATTCTTTTCTTTTTTTTAAAAAAAAAGTTTTAATTTCTTTTAAGATAAGTAGGTAGCTTTTAGGTGCTTTAAAGAATATCGTATCCAAGAGATAAATGTCAAAAACTGCTTGGTAAAGTCACCACCACATCATCAGTCTTTCTGCCTGTCTGCACTGATGGTCTTTGATGCACTCTGGCCCCCAGAAACACAAACAGCAGATCAAATAACCTCATGTTTTGACTCAAAACGACAGGCAGCTTATCAAACTATCAGAGCTTCTGATTTAATTGAAATTTCACAGATAACCCTAGACCTGATTTTCAGAACGGGGCCTCAGCTACCAGAGGAAATGCCATTATGACTGTGATCATGTTAGAGAAAAGATTGTTCTAGCAGAACACAAGATTGAGATAATGGCCATGGCAGTGAGTGAGGAAGCCGGCCTAAAAGCATGGGGCAAAGGAGGAAGCTAGGGAGAGGAAAGCATGAGGCAGCTGAGACAATGGGGTGAACAGGATGAGTGCTCAAGTTATCAAGGAGGGAAGGGAGAGACGAACATGACTAGGATTCTATTAAACATCTTGAACATTCCCAAAGCACTAAATAAATACTTCATGTTGCGATATAGGTCAGTTTGATGTACTCATGTTGAATTCATGTGATCTGTTAAGCATGGGCAGCTGTGGAAGGGCTGAGTAAGAAAGTTTATTTTGCAGAGGCACCTTCTTGGAATGTGAAAACCAGGGTTCAAGCCATTCAGTTTGTGACTCTCATATCCTTGGAAGTGGCACTAAGTATTCTAGCCTAAGCCAATGAAGGGCAACTGCAAGAGTCAACTGTGGTATATATCCCATATTCAAGAGATTTCAACACCCTCTTCAGAAGGCAGACATCAAAGCGTTGTGGTGAACCTCAGGATATTTTATCTGTCCAATTGCATTTGCTTTTAATTAGAGTCTTGTGGGTTCTCTGAAAAATTGTCAGGAAACCACTGGAAACTACTTGCTGGTAATCCGACCTTCCTATTACTTTAAAAAAGATTGTAGGCTTAAAGTTAGAACCAAAAGCGATTGCTTTGTTGAATTATGATGGGGAATCCAATGACTTGGAGTAGAGAATGGCACATTGGGAAGCAGAATTTTAAGAACTTAACAGTTCTTAAAAGACAGCATGGTTATATTGACAATATGATCCATCTGTTTCAAGAATGTTAAGTGAAAAGTGGGCACCTTTCATCATTACCAATATGTAAAGTTGGGGTCATTGTAAAATATGTTAATTAACCATGTGTGTGTGTGAAGCTGCCTCAGTTTAAGTAATATTAAACTCTATGACATCCTAATTATATGTTCCTAAGACAACAATACACCAAATGAATAAACATCACAATATAAGTACCGTCAGAAAAAAATGCATGGTAAGTTTCTCACTTCCACTTTTAAGATTCTTCAACTACTTGCGATGGTGAGATCAAAAGAAGCAGAAGAGGGTGATCAATCTTCTTCAAATGATCCTGAGTTTGTTGTAGACCCTTAGATATGGGACCTGAATATGTGTACACATGCACTTGTCTTGTTGGGTAAGGCCTTTAATCTGTTAATCTTTTCCCCCTACTGAGTGGTGGTGGAAATATCACAGCACAGCTGAGCTCCATTCTTGCAAACTTCCTTTAGGCTGCCCAGAAGCATAAAAGAAAAGCTTCCATTGTTCTCTTATTCCATCTCAATACACAGATCAAGTCCCTGTTGTTCAGATAGCGATGAGGCTAAAGCCATTAAAATGCATGTCTTCACAACAGGCTGTAAAAGGCTAGAAATGGATCATGAAATCTGGACATACAAGTGGCTCCATCTAAAGAGTTTTATTTCTCCCAGTCCTTCTTAAAAATTTTTTCACCTGCATAGACTAGTGACTGGCCCTCTTTGAAGGAATGGAATCACCTGAATTAAATTTAAGAGCCCCTTCTGAGAAAAGTTTGCGAGCATTTTAAGGAGCATTAGAAACTAGACAGATGAGTGATCCTTGAATTCATTGGGGAGCTAGAACAAGTGGTGGAAAAAGAAGTAGATCAAGGAGAATAGGAGATTAAAAGGTAGTTTTCAGACTTCAGGGAGGCAGCGCTTTCCTTTTCCAGATGGAAATATCAAAGAGGCCCTGATAGTGTGTGTTATGATGCTTGCAACAGATGAGGAACAGACATTCTTCAAGTTTGTGTGTTGGTGTTTCTAGATGTACGGGGAAATAAATATTTTTCAAACTTCAGCTTTAATTTTTATGAGATTAATTCCCCCAGTCTATTACACCTAAAAATGTTTTTTTCCCATTTCATTGATGGATTTGCCACTTTCATTACTCTTCCTGCAAACTGGGTACTGTAGTGTTTTGAGGGTACTGGGAATTGTAGCTCGGTGAGGGGAAAACTACAGTTCCCAAGATTCTTTGAAGAAGTCATGTGCTTTAAATGCATAGTGTGTAACTTTTCGGAGACAGAGGGAAATGGATGGATATCCCAATGCATTCTGATCGTGAGAATATATAAATTGTTCCCATGGGATATTTAAGCACAATTTGGGTTCATGATTCATCTTCTATGGGGAAATAACCACAAATGTATTTTAGTGGATTTCTTTGTTCTCTCTACTATTGTACATATTGATCTTTTAGAAACTTTTACTGTGGGCCAACCCCACAAAAGTGTCATTAAACACCTCCAGGGCTTCATCTGTAAGCTTTCCATGTGCATTTAGATGTACTTAGTACATAACCTGACCCATTTCTGTGTAACACTTGCATGCCAGCAGCAAACATGCCCAGGCCATCAGCACCTGGTGTGCTAATACTGTACAGAAATCAGACACTGAATATGGCAAATATATCTGGGTGCACATGCAAAACTTACATGGGTAAGGGTTTTGCCCTATTGCCTCAACACCCTCCAAGTTTATTAACACAACCCCACTTTTATTTATTTGGCTCAGGTATTAGTCACCCTTCCAACAAGAGCTCAGGGCAACTCGCAACCTATTGTGCACAAAAAACTGCCTAAAGATGTGCATAGTAAAATGTAACGCTAAAAGCACTCTGCTTGCCTGTTTCTCTTTCCCATGACCTTAGCTGGGGGTTGGGCTTTTTTTTGGGAGGGGGTGGAACAGAGTTTTAATGCTATGCTATATATGTTTAATGATGTCCATATGGATTTGTGGGCTCAGGAATTAAATACATAATAGCTCCCGATGACATAACATGGAAATACAACTCCTACAGTGCCAGTGTGTAGACATTAAAGGGTTATTAATAAAAATGAACACTTTAAATAGAAAAACAAGCTTACCGGCACAGACTTGGCTTCTAGCCCATCTCTGAGTGGCAGTGGGGGAAAGGAGGATTGAAAAATGTGCTCTTTACCTAGGTCAGTGTATGAAAATGAACATCTTTTGTACCATTTGGTGCTTAATTTTTCATAGGGGATGCCTGGGGCTTTTAAAGTTTTCAACCAGAGTACAAACATAAAGATGATAAAGGGGGTTGAGGAATGATATTCAGCCAAGCACTGAACATTTCAGTTGCATGTTACAGGGGAGATTTTGACATTTCAATATTAAGCATTCATGTTTGGTTTGGCAGGACTGTCCAGAAGGTTAGATCTTAACTTGTCAGAAAGCAAGATGCACTTTGTTTCTAGGTGAGCCAGGAAAATAACAGTGTGCACCATTTGAACATGACCTATAAGAAAGTTGCATCTGGTCTGCAAGAAAACTAGTGCCAAACAAAACCAAATTACAAAAACCCAACTGAAAATATAGTATTTACCTTGAGAATAACAAATGCTTGTACTCTTCTCCAACCTCTGCTTCTTCGTGTCTACTTTTGGGTCTGGGAGTGTGAGTTTCTGGCCATGTTGCCCAGTCTGGAAGGAGTCATATTTTAGTGGGAGAAAATATATGAAGTACCCCATTGCACTGATGCACATAACAGTCTTCCTCATCTTGGTATTATGGATGCAATGCCAACTAAACATGCCCCCTCTGCTTCATTCCCTTTCCCTAGCCATGCACAGCTTTGCAGCACACATAACCAGCTATGCCTTTTCCGTTCCTTCACAGGTGCAGCATGCATCTGTAGAGCTGATCCAGTATTGAGTGGAGACTTAATGAGGTTGCAGCAGCGCAATCACTCCACCCCCCCCCACTTCCCCACATAGTATTTCCCAGGAAATAGGATAAGGTTGTAAAGTTGCTCTTTCATTAGGTCCACACATTTAACCGGTGGTGAAGGCCTTCGCTGGCGGATAAAACGTTGAACAAGTCCATGCATCAGGGTGAAATGACTTGCCTCAGGCAGCACCTGTGTGGGGTCCGAAGGCAGGAACGGTGTGTTAATGGTGCTGCAAGGCTTTTAGAAAGTGTTGGCTTTGGGGGCGCGGAAGCAGTTGGACTCCACCCAGCTATTGCTGAGTATTGCTATGACTGTGGTATGTTCACTTTTAAATAAGTTATAGGCCCATGTTATATTTACTTCTGGACTTCTGCTCTGTGGTAATGGTTGGGCAATGTGGACTTCTGCACAGGTGTGCACAGTCACTTTACTGGAACCCCCATTTCGGGGACACTAGGTGGTCATGGCTAGCTATCCCTGTCAAGCAAGTTTTGGGATACTACCCTGCATTTAATATGTGCCCAGCAGAAAAGCACAATATTTCCACCAACTGAAAAGGGTTGCCAGAAAAGCTTCCAAGACATTCCTGGGACAGAATATGAGAAGTCATGGGTAAATGTAAAGAAAAGAGAAGAAACCTCTTGATTTTCTTTTACTAGGTCAAAACCATTCTTGGGAGTTGGGGCTTCAAAACTAAAGGCAGTTAGTTTCCTTTTTAAAATCATGCAGAACATATGGGAATTGGGTTGTTTCTGCCAACTTTCCCCCTCTCTGGAACCAAAATCTTCCCAGGGATTGTTCCTAATAGAATAAGGCTGGGGGTGGGGAGGGGAGAGAAAGCCTGGTGTGACTCATACAGCTGCAGAAATAACATGCCTTTTTTCTTGAGAGCCATCGTCTTTCTAATAGTTTCAGTTCAACTGGAAACCATTAATGTTGTTGTTTCAACCAGCCATTCAAAGGGCAGGGGATAGCAACAGGAGAGAGTGAGAGTGTTACCCCAGTTTTGGTCATAGAAATTAATTATCAAAGACAGGAATGGAACATGGTGAGTTGTGATTGTTTATTCTCTGCATGGTGAACTTAAGAGGGTTTTTCTTCTTTGGCAATCACTTGTAGCCAAGTAAGATTGTCTTTCATGAACACAGTCTTAACAGTGAGTCCGTAAGTGACTGTGGAGGCCAATTCTGGATCCACACATCCTTCCACAGTGGGGAAATAGGTTTCTGGATGGGAGTTGGCCACAGTGAGGGTTTGCCAAACATGTCTTGCTCTTAGCTCATTTCTCCTTTTTGCCCTGAGTTCGTGCTTCCTCAAAGTCCATGACACCTTTGGTAAAGGCTGTTCAGGTTCTCTTGATGCTTCTTTTCAAAGCAACAGATAGAATTTTGAAGTGTAACACTTCCAGGGGGAGAAATCATATTCTTGAATACTCCTCTATATAAAAAAAGAGAAAAGTACAGTACAGAAAACAACAGCTCCTTTAATGTAGTAAAGTGGCACACTGGAGTGCTCTGTCCTCGGCAACACCCTGCCATTAGAGATTCAGTGAGCACCTTCTGTGCCAGCTTCTAAACACTGGCTGGAAACTTCTGTATTCCCCCAAGCCTTTGCAGGCAATTAAGAGTATTAAGAGTACATCCTCCACAATGGTCTGTTGATGTTTGTTTTTAATTTCTTTTTGCGTTTAACTTTTTACAAATTTATTGTTTGCTTTCTGTTTGCTTTATTGTTGCAAACTGCTGTGATATATTTTTATGATACAGCGGTATATATTTATTTTTTTAATAAGTAAGTGCATAAATGGGATTCCTTGGGATTTATTTATTGTTTGCCCTGGGCAGGGCAAGTAAATACTCCAAATAAATAAATACACAAATACACATAGTTAACATACACACCCTCTGAGGAAGGGTAGCCAGGAGAGTGCTGCTGGTACCATTATTCTGTAGTGGCTAGAAGTTCTTTTTCTTACTGGTAATTTGAAGTTTAAATTTGCTTCAGGCAGCACAGGCATGGAGCAGGTGTTCTATAGAGCTTTGAAAGAGCTGGGGTGGTGGGCTAGCTGGCAAGGCAAGGAAGCAGGGACCCAGCGGGCACAAATCTGCCACCCTGTCAACTGAGGCAATAGCTCTGATAACTGGGTTTCTTTTGCAGGGCTGGTGTAACTCTTTTTCACATAGCCACTGCAATATGAGTATAATCTGTTCTCCACCCGGAAAGACCAAAATAAAGGAGCCAGGAAGTAAACTGTGGGTGTGTCACTCTGGCCTTTTCATGTTTGTGGAGTTTGCTTTCCTATATGCCAATCATTGTTATGCCTCTATTCATTGGCTAAAACCAGTGAAAGTCGGTGTAGACTAATTTATAGAACAAATGAAGATAATGTCTGAACATTTTCCTGCATAGCTAGTGAGGGGGGAGCAAATGCCCATAGTGTGGGGTAGTCCTCTTCACAGTGAGCAGCTTCCCATTGGTCTGGTAGATCACGGGTGTGTTCCAAATTTTCTCTTTCCTACATGCATTTCTCTCCTTCTGTTTTAGGAATTCTCTGGCACCGCCCTTTTTTCCTCTTCTTATTCACTGGCTGTGTGGTCTCACTCTTCGATCATCTATCACATATTAAAGCCCCTCTGTCCCACTCCGCTCTTCAGCTGTTATCACTGGCTGCAGATGATGTCTTATGCAAATCTGTCCCTCATTCGGAGAAGTACCAGTGGGTGGGAGTAAGAGATATTGTATGCATGTAGGCTTTGTTCTCTGCGTGTATGTGCTGGGATGCACGGCCCACCTCCCATAACTCCGAGCAAACACAAATAGCAGCTTTGTGTATTTTGCATAAGCTAAACAGCAGAACACTTTCCAGCTGCTCCTTAAACGAAGGACAACTTCATGCTTTAACCCTCATGTAAGTAAATCTGTTGTCATGTTCAACTTCTGCTTTTGCATAGCTTTTAAGCATTGGCTTGTCTTAAAGATGTATAAACACTTCTACATAGAGGGTCTGAGTGGGAAGTGAGAGGGCTGTCCTCTGTCATCACACTTAATTAGATTCAGGCACTCCTTTATTATGTTCTTGAGGCTTTCCTGTTGTACTTTTAAGTCACAATCTGTATCAAATGTTCAGCTCCAGCTGCTTTAAACAAAGATCGAACTTAAAAATGGAAAGTGAAACGGCTTTGTGGGTTACATTTTTGGCAAAATGTGAGCAATTTTCAGGGTGAAAAACATTTACAAAATTTTAGCACTGCTTCAGTGATAGTTGACAGTGCAATCCTATGTATGTCTACTTAGAAAAAAAGACTGAGTTCAATGTGGTTTACTCACAGGCAAGAACGCAGGATTGCAGCCTTGGGCTCCCAAATGTCTTGAGATGTTAGTCCTGATTGCCCTTGGTTTTGCCTGTTAAGACATTTAGATGTTACTGAAAGTTTGGCATCCCCTTTCCCCCAGTATTGCACTTGGATATTGCCCTAGGGAAAGCAACAGTTCCTTCAAAGCAAGTAGCTTAGTAAATCCATTCCCCCCCCCCCCATTATGCTGTGGCAAATTAGTACTGGGCAGGGTGGGGACATGCTGGTAAAATGTTTAGTACAAGTGATTTAGCTGGTAAAATATTCGTATTTGCAAGATTTGCCCTTACCCTTTGCAACTTGTCCTTTTTAGAATAGGTATGACTGTGTATGATCAAACTGGAGTGCCTGGCTGTGACACAAATTCTAATTATGCATTTTCTAGTTCAAGGATCTCTAGATGTTGTTGAATTACGCTTCCCATGATTATAGGAGTTGTAGTCCAGCAACAGGGCAGGGGGAGGTTAGCCACCCCTGTTTTAGCAACGTCTCTTCCCCTCTTCTAATACACTTAGGTCCAATCCACAATTTGGGTTCTTCCCCTGCCACAGCTTTTTCTGGCTTGTGAGGCACATAATGCATTTCCAATCTGTTGTGATTTCTCTTTGCTCATTTGATCTGGATTTCCATGTGAACCAGCCTCATGTAAACTGCTGGAAGTAGCTTTGTTCTTACAAAACCAGTTTGCTACCCTTTGCCCTTCACCTTCCTCTCCTGCTCCATCTTTAATCTTAGGCAGGTGGGAGTGAATCTGTAGGCATGAAGTTTTATCCTCTATTTTACTATACAACTCAAATGTTGATCATAACTAGGGTGGGGGGGCTTACTGCTTCTCAGTGCACACCTTCAAAATCCCTTTCTCCCAAACCTTCTGTTTTTCTCAGGCGGAGGAGAAGAACTGATTGTGGTGGTGACTACATACACTCTGCAGTTATTTCTGGGGCTACAGATACTTCTTTCCCCTATGCAAATTAATTGAGAGCCATCCTTCTATTAACTTGCATGGCTAAAAGAAAAGGCTACCCAGAAACTGGGTTGGGGGAATCTTATCTGCCAAGGATAACAGAACCCTTTTGGTGAGATTCTCCATCATCACCACCATTTATAGAGATCCACTATCTTCTTTCCTCCTATGCACGCTAATGGAGGGATCACTCCATTATCTTGCATCAACTATCTGCTCAGGTGTAAGAAATGACCTTTCAAGCATCACCCACTCCCAAAGTTGTGTGATAAAGACAGGCAATTCTGTATGTGTGACTTCTTATTGCACTGCACAATGGCATATAGCACAGAATTTGTGTTAAAAGCAAGGGAGAAGCAGCGTTGCATTTCATACTGGTACCCTCCACAAGTTTTGAAATATAATTCTCATCCGCTCCAACCTGCATAGGTAGAGCTAAGGAGCCAGAGGCACATGTGTTCTTACAGTCAGGCCCTTGAATCACTCTGGATGAAGTCTACAGAACAGGTATCATTGCAATGTAGTGCTGGACTAGGGCTGAGGAGACTACAGGTCAAATTCCCATTCAGCCATGAACCTCACCACCCCATAGCCTAACTTGCCACAAAGGGTTGTTGTGAGGCTAATATGGAGGTGAATGATACCTTGGGCTCTTCATTGTAATAAGGATATAAATGTAGTAAGTTATATGGAAATGGTAATCAATTTCTGTCAGGTATAGGTAAGCCAGCTTAGAAAGAAGGTGCTCATCCAGACTTGCTTTTGTGCCTCATTTCTATAATAATAATAATAATTTATTATTTGTACCCCACCCATCTGGCTGGGTTTCCCCAGCCACTCTGGGCGGCTTCCATAGAAACCAAAAATACACTAAAATATCACACATTAAAAACTTCCCTGAACAGGGCTGCCTTAAGATGTCTTCTGAATGTCAGGTAGTTGTTTATCGCTTTGACATCTGATGGGAGGGCGTTCCACAGGGCAGGCGCCACTATCGAGAAGGCCCTCTGCCTGGTTCCCTGTAGCTTTGCTTCTCGCAATGAGGGAACCGCCAGAAGGCCCTCGGCGCTGGACCTTAGCGTCCAGGCAGAACGATGGGGGTGGAGATGCTCCTTCAGGTATAGTGGGCCGAGGCCGTTTAGGGCTTTAAAGGTCAACACCAGCACTTTGAATTGTGCTCGGAAACGTACTGGGAGCCAATGTAGGTCTTTCAAGACCGGTGTTATGTGGTCTCGGCGGCCGCCCCCGCATTCTAGCTGCCGCATTCTGGATTAGTTGTAGTTTCCGAGTCACCTTCAAAGGTAGCCCCACGTAGAGCACATTGCAGTAGTCCAAGCGGGAGATAACTAGAGCATGCACCACTCTGGCGAGACAGTCCGCGGGCAGGTAGGGTCTCAGCCTGCGTACCAGATGGAGTTGGTAGACAGCTGCCCTGGATACAGAATTGACCTGCGCCTCCATGGACAGCTGTGAGTCCAAAATGACTCCCAGGCTGCGCACCTGGTCCTTCAGGGGCACAGTTACCCTATTCAGGACCAGGGAGTCCTCCACACCAGCCCGCCCCCTGTCCCCCCAAAAACAGTACTTCTGTCTTGTCAGGATTCAACTTCAATCCATTAGCCGCCATCCATCCATTCTAGACATAGGTTCACTCTTTAAAGCTCCATGTCTGAGTGCTTCTTCCCCTGCCACCCTGGCTGTTTCCCCACGAAAACCTACTCTTTACCACTATGTTGTGGTGGGTCTTAAGAACTTCTTTCTATGCAGGGAGAGGAGAGGAGAGGAGAGGAGAGGAGAGGAGAGGAGAGGAGAGGAGAGAGGATGGGGCAAAGTTGCATGAGTCTGACTTGCTCCTTTCTCATCCAGTGAAGAAAAATGTTCACATAAACAGGGTCATGTGATTATGGAACTGACAGTATCATGAATACTTGCAATTTAGAGTATAACAAGAATGTCAGTCACAGTTTAAGTTACCCAGTGGATTCAGTCTGAGTTCTATGATGAGGAATGGTATGCAAAATATTATTTCTTTCATACTTGTTTAAAGTATTTTATATCCCACTCCATATCGAATCAGTCTTGGAGAGGAGTACAAAATTCATTTAAAACAGCAATCACATTCATAATGCAAGAATAAAAAACCATACATAGCACCCATAATCATAAGAATGCTCTTTCACCTGGAGAATATGTGAATTGGCCCTGGGACAGTTCCCTTTCTGGGATTAGCATCTTTATGGTGCCAAGGATAACCAATTTTCCTAGGATCAGGGAGGGGTGAGGACAGAGAATTGTGGGAAAGGACAGCGTGTTAGTGCAGGGAATATATATCCTACCAGAATATATATCCTACTTGAGACTTCCTTTGGTTTCTTGCAACTTCAGCAAATACTACACATTTTCTTGCTTTCATATGAGACCATAAGAGCTAGAGGTTTTTTTAATTAAAAGAAAGGCAAGATTGTCAAGTAAAATCAAATTTAAATAGAATTACGTTGATTGCATTGCGCAGAAGAGTTGCGTAAGAACAGCATATTATTGGCTTAGATTGCAGCTAGTTTAACAGAGCCAAACTTGCAAGAAACAGGAAAGATAATCTGATCAACCATATAGAAAATATGTACACAAGTGAGAAGCAGGATATCTCTTGCACATCCTTCCGTGGCAAGAGAGTCATGGAAGCATGATTCATAGTTTAAATGCCAAATATAATACAACACCCAAGGGATTTCCAGGCACTTTTGCCTTCTGACTTTGAAATCCTGCTAGGTGAGAGAGAGAGAGAGAGAGGAAGTGAGTTGGAAAACTGTGGCATGCCTGCTCCTCCTTCTGTGTCCACTAGTCCCATAGGGCAACCATATTTTTTCAGCGATGATTAGAAAGGTTGTGTACCAATCACTTGTGCAGAAGTTTTTTCTAGGAAGCACTGGTACCTATAGAGGGAGAAGTATCAGCGGAGCTATCAGGGCAAATCTTTGGAGCAGAAGTCTTGGGCCCCCTCTCGGCAGAATGTACAGAAGGGACACTCCAACCTACAATGCACAGGATGACTTACCTCACATTTTGAAGTTAGTGAAGTAAATACACCTTATGATCTAAAGAGGAGCTGTCTGGCAGACAATTAAGTCCAGAGTCTAAAATGTACCACTGCAGGTTAGAGTGTCTCTCCATGCCTTTGAGAGGCTTCACTTTGACTTGGCCAGTGCTCAGGTACCAATGATTCACCGAGAAGGTTTTCAAAGCTCAGCTTGTCTGCTTTCCAGGCCTGTGAGCACATGCTCCTTCCCCTTGCCCAAGCATCCCAGACATCTTGGTGATGCTGTGGGGAAATGCCTTCTGAGGCATGTCAAGGGAGAGGCAAGTTCAGACTGGGTGCCTTGCATGGCTCCTGGAGTGTTAATAAAACCCAGAGGCATAGCTGTGATGCATCTGTCGTAGCAAAGCAGTGACACGTCCTGTGGAAGACTTAACCACTTGAGTGTTCATAATAAATTGTCACTGGAATGGTTTGGGGAGCATTATATCAGGAAGACTCGGGGCTTCTGTTTTGTTACGGGTGGATTTGTTGCTGTAGCAGTGCATGTGGTGGGCTGGAGCTCACCTCCCAATACCAGAATCTCTGCTGCTTGCCTGGGCAGGGCAAACACATTAGCAAGTTGAAGCCATGCTGGTACACCAACAAGAACACTGGAACGGCAGCAGCAGTCCAGCAGATGTGCTGTCATGGCCCCTCTCTCACCGCCCCCCTGGCCCAGCCCTCTTTGCATAAACAACAGCGACGCCCGTGTCAGAAGTGTGGCTCAGCCCCACCATGCATGTGCTGCTGTTGCTTCCTTGTCCATGGTCACATCCACACCATACATTTAAAGCATTCTTCTACTGCTGTAAGTGGGACACAAGTGGCGCTGTGGGTTAAATCACTGAGCCTAGGACTTGCCGATCAGAAGGTTGGCGGTTCGAATCCCTGCTACGGGGTGAGCTCCCGTTGCTCGGTCCCTGCTCCTGCCCACCTAGCAGTTCGAAAGCACCTCAAAGTGCAAGTAGATAAATAGGTACCACTCCAGCGGGAAGGTAAACGGCATTTCCGTGCGCTGCTCTGGTTCGCCAGATGTGGCTTTGTCATGCTGGCCCCATACCCGGAAGCTGTACGCCGGCTCCCTCGGCCAACAAAGCGAGATGAGCGCCGCAACCCCAGAGTCGGCCATGACTGGACCTAGTGGTCAGGGGTCCTTTACCTTCTACTGCTGTAAAAGTCATGGTCCCCCCCCCCAAAGAATTCTGGGAACTGTAGTTTGTTAAGGGCACTGGCAATTGTAGCTCTGTGAGGGGTCTCTTAACAACACTCAGCACTCTTAACAAACTACAGTTTCTGGGGATTCTCTGAGGGAAGCCATGGCAGTCTGAAGAGGGAGAAGAGTGTTTTCAATGTATGGTGTGGTTGTGACTCACTGCTTTGTGCTCCAGATAACCCTCTTCTGAGGAAAAGATAGTCCAGGAAACATTTTTCGAAGGAGGCGAGACAAGTGTTAATCGACAGCATCACAGATACCAATCACTGTTAAGCGCTAGACTATAACATCAGATGCACTCACCTTTCTGTGCCGATGAATATCAGAAAACTTGGCTGAAAAAAAGCCAAAGCAGAATGTTTACCTCTTAGAAATTTCCTCCTAGGCCTCCCTAGCACTTGGTAGGTCTACCAATGGGTCCTATTCCAGATTACAGTTTATGGAGATAGTACTGCATCACATTTCTCAGAACCAGAGTGCCTGTAAGTAATTATAATTAGTGCATTTGAAAATGTTCTTTGACTTGTGCAAGAATAATAAGAGATGTAATTTGGGGAAATTCTGGTTGCCAAATCTGACTTTCCTTGCACAATGCAGACTGTGCATCAGGGACTGCAACGTGGCGATGACAGGAGAGAATGATGGTAAGTGTGGGAATTTCATAGTACATATGCCCAGGGCGGGACAGAGGTTAGCAGTCATGGAAACAGATTAGGACAAGGAGCAGAATGAGGACCTCTGCTAACAACTGGAAGGCCTTCCACATATATGCTAACAATGTACATGGCACATCACAGTGTACAAGCGGAGTATTGCCCCAAGGATTTTCTCATCCAAAATTGGACACAGGGAAGCAGTATGGAAAGGGGAGGCAGGAGACTCCTCCAGACATTGAGCATTCTCCATGGATTGCTTTCACAAAGCTTACATGGAAGTTATATATCTCTCTCCACCTCCCGCCATTCTTTATGGAGCATTTGTTCTGATTTACTTGCAGGCTAGTTATATGACAACCAGCGCACATTCTGATATCATTGAGGGGTGTTTATACATATTCATCATTCTACCATCCCACACTTTTCAGTGCATTTCCTCGTCAGTTTCCTAACTGCAAAAGCCAGTTGTTTATATATATATATATATTTGTTGCACTAGGGCAACAGAACAATGTAATCCTCTTGAATAGCGCAAATCTAAATTTACAGGATGCACTGGAATCCCTCCTGCAAAATACAGTCTGGAGGCATCCGTGGATAAACAAGAAAAGAATGTACGATTACTTCAGTAGCATGTGGCTTCCTTACAGTAGGACAACATGGGGGTTGTGCCAAAGGCTTCATGCAAAGCGTGAGCTTTTGAGGAAGGATTTTAAGAAATGAATGGAAGGAGGTGGCATCCTTCTTTTAGGTAACCTTTACTGACTGCTGCCTATCTCATATCATGGCCAGGAAGATATGAGTGGTGAAATGAAATTAACCTTCGTTGGCTTTTGGGGTGACAGCTGCAAGCATCCATTTTCTATCTAGCGGCATTGTTGCTTCAAAGGCCATTGTAGGCTGACTTGAGTGTGTGGTTCAGTGCTACAGAGACCGCTTACATATTGCCAAAAAAAAAGAGGGAGGGTAAGGGCACAGATCTGTATAAAATAAGCACATGCTGATTTTTAAGTGCAGACACAAAATGTAAGTACAAATAGGAATAGACATAGAGCACACCTCACCAGACTGCAGAACACTGTGACCAGCGGCTGTCCAGCAGCTAAATGTTGACAGGCAAGTTCAAGGCTTCTGCTCTCCTTTCTTATGGTTATTTATCTTTAAACCAGACTTGGGACAGAACAGCACTTCACATAGAGGATGCCTTCAAACAGAGAACGGTAATGTTGGGTACGTGGCCACTCTAACATGCACATCTCTGCTTTGTTGTAGTCTGATGTAATTTGAAATCAACACAGATTGTCTAAAAGGTTTGGCTGGCATTGATTGGGAGGGGTTGGGGAAAGAGCCCCTAATTACGTATGCCCTGCTTGTCTGTCAGGACTAGTTTGTACATTGGGTTCTTCTAGGTCTCTATCTCCACCATGAGGTCAAATGATGCATTACATGGTTTACCTTCTTTTCATTTTAACCGTGAAGTCATGGCTAGCAGCAACTGGTCCAGAAAGGTGCACTTTTAATCTAGCATGGGTGTGGGGGGTGGGGTGGAGGAGTAAAAGGTAAAGGTACCCCTGCCCATACGGGCCAGTCGTGACCAACTCTAGGGTTGCGTGCTCATCTCGCTCAAGAGGCCGGGAGCCAGCGCCGTCCGAAGACACTTCCGGGTCACGTGGCCAGCGTGACAAAGCTGCAACTGGCGTGCCAGCACCAGTGCCGCACACGGAAATGCCGTTTACCTTCCCGCCGGAGTGGTACCTATTTATCTACTTGCACTTAAGGGTGCTTTCGAACTGCTAGGTGGGCAGGAGCTGGGACCGAACGACGGGAGCTCACCCCGCCGTGGGGATTCGAACCGCCGACCTTACGATCAGCAAGTCCTAGGCACTGAGGTTTTACCCACAGCGCCACCCGCGTCTCTCTCTTATTCCTCCTACTGCTTGTCATTTGTGAGCAGCCCTTTAAAAAATCTGCATCACAGAGAGGCAGACAGAAGATAAACAAGGGAAGCTGTGTTGGGTCCATAAAGGGGGTGGGCAGATCACCCACAGTTCAGCGAAGAACTTTATTTGGGCCAAATGTTGGCCACAACATTTTGAGCATTTTTTAAAAATATATATATTTTTAGTCATTTTAGTATTGGTACACAATAATAAAATGAAGAGAAAATGTGAATCATAAGTTTGTATTGGGAACAGAGGGAAAGAACAGATAGAAATAATACACTCTGATAGAAAATTAGTTTATTGTAAATAAATTATAAGGAGCTATATCCTCTGCTACTTTTTCATTCTATAATTGTATAAACATGGTCCATCTTTCGATAAATTTTAAAAAATAAATTAGTCGTTTGTTTGCTTTATCTGCAAGACTGTTTTCTGCAGCCATTCCATAACTGTTGGGGGATTTTTACATTTCCAAAATTGGGCATACAAAATTTTGCTGTTATCAGTAGAGTTTGTATTATTTGAAGATCAACATTTATGTCCTCAGATTGGGGCATTCCAAGAAATATTGTTTTAGGATTGTGAGAAAGCTTTTCAGTTCCCCAGAATATTCCATCAGTCTGGATGCTAAGCAAAATGGGTTTGTGGTGGGGGTAGGGGGAGAAAAAGGGTAAATGGTTGTAGCCCAAATGTCACAGTTGTAATATGAAATATAGGAGGAAATAACAGACTTGCATGCAGGATTGCAACTTTAATTGAATCAGGCTCAACTGGAATCTGTGCAGGTGTCAGGTTGCACCTGCAGAGTCAAAACACACACAGTGGCTCAGCCATTCCGCTTCCCACTTTTAAAATATCAAATCTAGCCGTTACCTGGATCTGTCCCTGTCTTTAAGTGAAGCATAAACATTCCTTGTTAGACTGAGAACTCAGTTAAAGATAAGCATGACAGTTTTTGTATTAGCAAGGCTGGAGATTGATTTTAAGGTGTATACAAGGATAAAGGAAAAGTCAGTAGAAATTAAATGGAGTAGAAAAGTCAGTAGAAATCAAATGGAGAAATCAAATGGAAATAAATGCAGTCTACATACTTACCGGTACTTGTCAAATGGAAGTATATCAAAATATTAAGGATGGGCAGACTTTACCCCATTTCTGCCCTGTGGGTTAGCTGTGCTCCCATGCTTCTGCTCTGCCTTTCTTCAACTTGGAGAATTGCTAAATTTAGTTTCAGAACTGGTCCAAGCACAGTTTGCTTCAGCTTTTAGGATCCTTCTGTTCATATGCTTGTTGTTGTTGCTGCTGCGTATTATTAAGGTGTGCAAATACTTATGGGCATTGAGGAAACACAGCCCGCACCCACAAAAATCACAAGGCCGTTGTGTGCACCATCACATCAAGATGATTTTTTGTACTCTGTTTCATTAACATACATAACCACTAGTGCACACTGGCAACCTGGATGCTGGGGCCAGGGGCAGGGAAAGACTCAAAGAAATGGAAGAGGCTTATGGCTAGGGCAAATGGCTTCAATGCAGTCTACAAATAAAAAACGGAAGGATAGGCAACATAGGAAAGTGGTCAGAGGGATTGAAAACAAAGACCGATTGAATGGAATGTGGTTTTTATTTTTCTTCTTTATTAATAAGAATTAGAACTCCCTCGGCTCCCCACAACTCAAGCCTTGTTCTAGAGAGGAATGAATGTGTTCATTCCATACAACAGAGCTAAGGGTCCTTTTCTTTTCCTGAGCAGGGTTCTTACATACATGGTCTGGCTCTGAATCACATGAAGCACAGTTCTTGTGTGTATCTGATCATCATGCATGTACAGTATGTACCGTATTTTTTGCTCTATAACACGCACCCGACCATAACACGCATGTAGTTTTTAGAGGAGGAAAATCCGTAGGCATGCCACCCGTAGGCATTCCCTCCATAACACGCACAGACATTTTCCCTTACTTTTTAGGAGGAAAAAAGTGAGTGTTAAGGTGCAAAAAATACGGTAATTTTGAGAAGGTTTTTTTGCTGTATTGTTAAACAATTTTTGAAGGGGGAAAGGAAGGCTAGCAGATTGCTAAGGTATCAGTGGCATACCACAAACAAGACAGGTTAATTTGCAGCCCCCAAATCTGAGGTGAACTTAATATAGGGAGAACTTTATAAGCTTCCTTTATTTTGGTCCAAAGAAAAATAATTACAGGGATATAGCTGGAGTGGAAAGTCTGCTAACTCGGCCTCCTTTCCTGCTTAAAATCTTCTAGCTGTCCCTAATGGAAAGACCCCACAACTTTTCCTGAGTAATCCAATCGGCTGTTCAATTATCCTTGCATTTAGGAGGTTTTCCATTATATCGAACTTACATCTGCTGCATTTCAACCTCAACTCATTATTCCTCACCCTGCCTCAAGCTGTTATCCTTTAAGCAGTTATTCAGACTTAAAAATAGCTATCAACCCTTGTCCTTTTTCTCCCAACATGTAGAGTTCCTTATATACCATACATTCCATTTTTCATTGTTCTCTTTTTAAGGCTTAAAAGCAGTGATATAAAGGCCAATTTGCATGACCAGATTGACCCACTCACTCTACTTTTTCAACACAACCATCACACCCACTGTATCAGCTTTCCTCAATCTGCCTTTCAGATGTTTTGGGCTCTAATTCCAGTAATCAGAAATAACAGGAGTCCAGTGACATCTAGGGGGCACCAGATGCGAAAAGGTTAAACTATACCTGTAGTCTTCAAGCATTTCAGACCCAGGACCCACTTTGCACCCAAACATACATTTGGGGATCCCTTTCTGAATCGTTTACCATATATTTTCATAGTGGTAGTGCTCATGTTATGACTCACTAGTGGGTTCGGACCCACCAGTTGAAGACCATTATTCAAGCCACTTTCAGAATCCCTGGGATGTGTGTATGTGTGTGATGAGAGTTCTACAAGTCAGTGCTATTGAGGTGTGCCCCAAAGGACTTCAAGCATAAGGATTGGCGAGTTTCTGCCTGCTGCACTGCATTCGTGATCAAATAAGGTGTAGGCAGTTAGGAGGGGCACCAGGCTTAAAAAAACAAACCATTCATGTGGATGGAGAAAATTGAAAAAACGATAATGAGTGATTCAACCAAAATTCGGAATGGAAGACCCATAATGGTTTACTCAAAGGCTCTCATTTCCAAAGCTCATTATAAGTACATAACTCCTATGTGGGTCAGAGATCTGCTGCAACGCCGATACATACATCTGCAACTCAAAATGTCTGCATCAGACCCTGAAAATCTGGCAAACACAAATCTTTCCTCATAATATTTAGCAGATGCTTCTAAATATGTTTCCCACCTGTCATCTTATTAGGTGTTACAGCCCCACCTTTCCCCATTTATCTTACAATTGCAACCATCTCTGTTAAATACCTTCACATTCAAAAGGTAACCGAGAGCTGTCTTGTGAGCCAAGTGTTGCCAGATGTGAAAGAGTCCAGTCGGAGAACCTGAAAGATAGATAAGGAATCCTGGACTGGTGTTTCTTCAGGCTCTAGTGGTCCAGTGCATATGTTTGACATGGGGTTGAAAGCTAGCCCACATTATGCATATGGAATGCCTGCCTGAAATGTTTTTCCTCACCTCTTGAATATAACAGCCACCTGATCCTCAAAAGGCCCAGTGTTAGGACTTGAGCCTGAAGCAGAGTGTGAACCTTGAGAATGTCAGGTGGGATTCCACCTGTGCACCATCACCAACCTCTGGCCAAAGAGGCAATTCCCATTAGCCTCAAGCAGCATGGCCGATGGTCAGGGATAATGGGAGTTGTAGTCCAGCAACATGTAAAAGGCCACATGTTCCTCATTCCTTCTGTAGGATGACCACCGAGACCTGCAATAAGCTTATTGAATATAGAAGGAACTCTCCCAATGGCAGTGCCTAACTCCATACGAAATGTTGCCAGGCAGGCCTGTTCTCTTTTCTGAGTATCATGATGATTTGACTTGCTGGTCTTCCCTGATGCAGATCTGCCTCCACCACAAGTACTAATGTCCAGTATTGTTTGCTTTGTGGTCTCTTGAACCCTGATCCACAGACTACACTGAAGCCAGATCTGGCATCTCATGCAATAAGACTGTACTAGTCACCTGCTAGTCGGGCGAAGGAGCAGTTGTGGAGATTAATAGGTATGTGCTATGAGCACTGCAGATTCCTCCTCTTAGAGGCAGGCGAGCCCTCACATTTGGAGAGCAAACTCCTTCCATTCCTCTCTAGGCAGAGAGAGGGAGAAAGAGGAAGCAGCCCAGCCACAATTCCTGCATCTGATAGAGACACAGGGAGGTGCCAGAGGCTGGGAGTGGGACTGTTCTGCCATCAGATGGGAAAGGGAGGGCAGTCAGCTAGTCCCCAGAGGGCTTGCAATTATACTGCCCCCTGGAGTTTTGAAGGCTGTGCTTCACAATACATTGCCAGCTCAATTATTTTTGAAATGGTTCTTACAATGTGGTCTACAAACTGGTGTTGGACCAGTTGTATCAATACATCTCACAGCCCTAGCCTGAAACAGGGAGGCCTGCTCTACCAGTGTTTCCTCCCCTTGTTATTTAGAACTCTGCTCAAACACATGGAATAGAGTAGGCTCCCCGCTTCAGAACCTCTGCCCAAATGTGTGGAAATTGACATGGATGTGATGAAAGGGAAGGGGCCAGTGAGCACTGCCCCATCTAACTGTGCGAGTAAGAATGCCTAGATTACCCATATACTGATCCAAGGTCACCCAGTAATTTTGGGGCTCGTTTGAACCCGGGTCTTTGCAATCCTAGTCACAACACACTAACCACTGTACCACACTGTCTAATCTGTATCAGTAAAGGTTAGATGAAACCCAGCCTTGCTCCAGTTGACTTGGGGATGAAGAAGATGGTGTAGACATACCAACTTCACATAATAAATGCCTGGCTTCCTCCATGAAGCCTCCTGTTCCTCTTGACACAAACTGGGGTTCTAATAATTGGTTATAAACTTACAGTTCAAGGTCTTCTAGAAGTTGCTGAACTACAACTCCCATCAGCTCCTACTAGCATGACCAATGACCAGGGATGATGAGAGTTGTAGTTCAGCAACATCTGGAGAACCAAAAAAACCCCGCTTCTGCCATGGTGTCTTAGTGTCAGGTTATACCATCAAATGGTAAAACATTTGCTGGACTGTCTCACATCAGGCTGTGCTGGACTAGGATGGAGGTTTGTGTGTTGGACTGTTCCCCCTATGCAAGGCGGGAGGTGTCATAGAAAACTAGTATGTCAGGAAAAAAGGTTGCCTTCTCTGGATGTTATTTATACCATGTTGGCCTTAGGAAGGAAAAAATCATCTTGAATTGATAGGCTCTGGGTGAGCCTGCTGGAGAATTAGTGTCTGCAAAGTTCAGTCTGCCTCATGCTCATCACATACCCATAAATTTCTTTTTATCTGAAGCTCAGCAAACCCATCTGTTTTCTTTAATTTAATCCAGGAGGGGAAAACACTGTTCTGTCATAACTCAGTTTTTCTATTATTATGCATGTTAAAAGACATTTTAATAAGAAAATGTATTTGATATTCATAATGGTTTCTGACATTTTAAATTATATTCTATCTTGTCTTCTGTTTTTAAAAATAACAAACATGAAAGTGTGGCTGAGTCATCAGTTGAGCCCAGAAATTAATGAGTAGTAAACCTTAATATAGACAGACACAACATCTGGTCGTAACCTGTTATTTGTACAGTGAATGAAAAGTAAGAATCCTCTACACTAAGCAAATTCATTCTCTGTTGATCCTTATGTAGCCACAGTGGCACCTTCCATGCACAGGGTAGAGGTAGCAACTGGATTGGGAAAAGCCCAAAGTTTGCAGAAGTGCACAGTTAAAAAAAACAAAAAACCTTTACCAAAAAAATCTGAAGAGGAGGGGATTTGGAAGAGAGTCCAATGAAGATAGAGATGGGCACAGAGCCCTGGCTTGCTGGGGATGGGAGAGATGGAATGGAGTATCTTGGAAGAGGTACGTAAGAATAATTCTGCTGGATCAGGCCAGTGGCCCATCTAGTTCAGCATCCTGCTCTCATAGTGGCCAACAAGATGTCCATGTCCATCAGAGCTTTCCAAACTGTGTGTCATGAAACATTAGTTTCTTTTGCAGTGTGTAGGTGTATTGCACAAATGCTCTCCACGCTCCTCCCGGGGCTGGAAAAGGGTTCGTTTAACCTCCAGTTTGCTAGTAAAACTGAATTACTGTGTTGCAAAATGATAAAAAATATAAAGGGACCCCTGACCATTAGGTCCAGTTGTGGCCGACTCTGGGGTTGCGGTGCTCATCTCGCTTTACTGCCTGAGGGAGTCGGTGTACAGCTTCCGGGTCATGTGGCCATCATGACTAAGCCGCTTCTGGCAAACCAGAGCAGCGCACAGAAAGGCCGTTTACCTTCCTTCCAGAGTGGTACCTATTTATCTACTTGCTCTTTGACGTGCTTTCGAACTGCTAGGTTGGCAGGAGTGCAAAATGATACATGTCTATAAAAGTGTGTCACCAGTATGAAATGTTTGGAAAGCTCTTCTGTAGGTTATCACTGGCAGGAACTATGAAGAGAAGCACTCTATGCTGCAATATTTTGTTCCACATCACCCTGCTATTTCAGAACTCATTTTAGAGCTTCTGAATATATTGGAGGGGGCAGGAGTGTGTGCAAAGCAAATTGTTAAATGTAACAGTTTTTAAAATTATGATTGTCCTGCCCTTCCTCCGAGGAGCTCACGGTGGCGTACATCATACATCCTCACACCAGTCTTGTTCAGTTGGTAAGCCTAAGAAAGTGGCTGCCCCAAGGCTAACCAGTGAGCGTTAAGGGAGCAGACATTGGAATCCTGGTTTCCCTGGTCTTAAGTGCAGCACTCTGGCCACCACATCACACTGACTTTCTAGCCTAGCTAAGCTAGGCTGAGTAAGAGTTTGTGGGATGTAGCTATGACTGCATCTAGATAAATATAGCAAAGCCAGCCTAGCGAATAAGCCCACTAATGCTACCAGTCTATGTGAAATTTCACTAGCCCTCTTGCCCAGATCCATGTTAATTTTAAAAGCTCCTTAAAAGGAAAAGGAAGGGGGGAAACAACCTTTATTCTACAGCCTGATCCTGCGTGTGTTTACTTGGAAGAAAGTTCCTCTATATCCAGTGATACTTACAAACCAATGTGCGTAAGATCGCACTGTTGATCTTATGCCCTTAAAACACACTGGTTTATTTTATTTTGGGGTTTTTTCATAATTAGATAAAGGACCTTACCAGTGTTTCCACACAATTTTTAGATACTCTAATTTCCTTGAAAGGGATACTCTAATTTCCTTGAAAAATCCAGTCATACACAGAACTGCTCAATGTCAACATTGCAAGGCATAGGAGGAGAATGAAGAGTTGATTCCTGATCCCCTGCTTTTATTCTTGCAGAATTCTGCAAAACAATTGAACCTCAGGATATTACAGTAGCAGAGCGGTGTGCAATAGTTGCTGCCAAGATAATATAAAGGAAGGGGGGCATATAAAGCCCTGTGTAGATGGGCTACAGTGAGAGGATGGTCCCTTCTGATTCCCAAGAGAGTTGTTGTTGTTGGTTGTTGCTTTGTCTGGGCTGCTTTTCTCCCAAAGGGGCTCAAGGTCCCCATGGGAAGAAAACTAGCATTGTAGAAACAGTTCTAGAGCAAACCACAGTTTGAGGGTTCAGGTCTAACATGCTTGTACCACATTTAAAATTGCTGACTTTACAGAAAGTCAGGGCAACATCCAAAGTTGCTTTAAAGATTGCTGGACTGCAGGAAGAGATTTTCTCCAATAGGTGGAGTATCTGCTTCAGGTTTGTTTTATGATGGCACATTCACAGCCGAGCTGGCCTCCCAACAGATGAAGTGGGAAGAGAGCAAGAGCGATTGCGCTGTGTTTATTGTGGAAACATGCCACGTTTTAGTAGATTTACAAGCAGCTCATTGGAGCGCCTGATTGCTCTGCAGTTTTGCTTTCAGTCCGTTATTCTTGCTGATATGTTGCTGGTATATATCTCACTGAGACTGCAAAAGATTCTTTCGGAGACATGACGTGGGCCAAAGCACGGAAGATAGAAACCAGCTGTTGGGCAGCATTTCTTCCAGCGGCTTGAGGAATTCCAGCAGGCTGCAAGAGTCTGATTGGGGATTGCCATATACTGGCTGCCTTTGCAGCTATGTTGGTCAACGCTGGCTGAAGTAAGGTTTTCATGGCAGTGATTTTTGTGCTGACATTAATTTGTGATCGTTGTGGTAATTCAGGATGACACTGTTCTCCCTAAATGGGGAAATTAGCAGGATAGGATCTTGCTCCTTTCCAGATAATTCACAGTCCTATTTTCAAGAGAAGGGATCCTTATATTTAAGCTCCACACAAGTACTCCTTTCTGTGCAGTATCTTGAAATATTTTTAATACTGCTCCCCCCGTCTTAAGAATCCAATTCCATGTTTAGTTTTTACTCCCACAATTGGATCTTGCATCTCTAAGCTTCCCTGCCTTGAATATGTCTTTGTTTCTGGTCAAGTTTAACCCCCCCCCCCAGGTTTTCAATGTCTTAGATATAAGACAATAGAAATTCACTGGCCCTGTTGGGGCATCATACTAAGCCATAGTTTATATCCTGCTGCAGCTGTGAGATTGGCCAGGAGTGATGCAGCATCCCAAGTGCTCTTTCTGAGCAGAGTGTGGGGAGCTGCCTGGTAAGCCTGGTCCTGATTTCTGAGGATTGGGCCCTCGCTGTTGGTTTTCCTTTTGCCGGCAGAACTTATGCTGGGCTGCCAGGTCACCTGACAAGCTGAATGGGCTTCGGATCCAGTGTAAGCCTCCCCCTCCCAGCGTTCCCACCCTCACTACTGCCCCGGAATGCCCCCTTTTCAGGGCTTGCATCAGTTTAAGATCCACTGTCCTTGGCTGAGCCAACTAAGCCTGGATGAGGGACTGAAGCCAGTGTGTCTTCAGCTGAGCCAAGGTTGGAGACTTACGCTAGTGTAGCTCAGCAGAACCAGGAACCAGCCAGCTGAGCTGAAGATCCACCACATCCTAAGCCATTCAGTGGATCTGGGCTCAGGGTTGCACCCTTAGTGGTGCTGAAAATGTTGCAAAAAAATAAATGAAATGGTTGAGCGTTTCTAATAGTAGCTTTTTGTGTAATGGCAAGGAAAAACCTGACACAGAAACAGATAGATTTTGCATTATGATAAAAGAAACAAAATACATAAATTATGTGCATTGTCCACATGGCTGAAAAGCAGTCCAGGGCACAGCAGATGCCTTGCTCATGTCATGGAAACATCATCCCTACATTGTGGTTAATGGGCAACCACAGCCAAACTCTTAGTCAGGAGTTGTGACTGGACATTTTTCTGGATGTGGTTCCTTACTTCAGGTTATAGGGACAAGAATCTGTCATGCACTGAGTCAGACCATTGGTCCATCGAGCTCAGTATTGTCTCCACTGACTGGCAGTGGCTTTCTGAGATTTCAGGTCTCTCTTGAAGTTGAGACCTTGTGCAATTAAAACAGCTTCTCTAACCCCTGAGTTATGGACCTTAGCTCAGCAGATACGTGAAAGACTTGTGGACAGGGCTTTTAGTTGTTTTTCTTTACACCTTCCATCTCCTGTTTTCGCAGGCCAACCAGCATAAAAGGTATAATTGTCTTCCCATCTCTATAAAATCTTTGGGCTGTATTGTTTTCCTCCCTCAGTAATTTACAAAGCAAACTATTGTTATGTTCTTGAAGGGAGCATGGAAGATATGCCACTAAAAGCAACTCAGTTCGAGAGAAACTGTTTTCAGACCTTCAAGAATGAGAAACACAAGGGGAGAGCTGCACGATGAACATGATTTCTTCCATAACATAAAGACTCCAAACTCAGCTATTTCCCTGGAGGCAGCAGCTGCCCTTTTATTCCTTGCAGAGGAGAATCTATGCAAACATAGAATCAACACAAGCATGCAACAGATCCACAATGTGAAGTCATTCCAGGGTGCCAGATGTCCCTGACTTACACATCTTGGTTTGGGGCTCCTAAGTGGGTTGTTCAGACCTAGTGGGTGGATTGCTAGGCTATGGCATTGTTATCAGTGTACCTAAGAGAAGCGGAATCTGATTCATCTTTTGTCAGGTCACGGCCAAGCTCCATGAGAGCCTGCAGTTGTGGGGGGTGGGGGGAAGGATTCTGTCTCAAGCAGACCTGGTTCCACAGACCCAGAGGTAAACCAATTGCTTGAAAACAGGCTGGTGTTCGGATGCAAGGTTATGTTTAGGTGAGGCTGTCTTTATAGCTGCTTGATGAGAAGAGTTTGCATGAGGTAATCTTAATGTGACAGGGTGGGGGTGGGGGGTAGGCTAGATGGTGTCCTCAAACCCACAGAGCCTAATTTGCCTGGCTTGCTGAGAGACTAGAGAGCTAGTGGTAAGGTGCTGAAAGATGGTTGCTGGAAGTCCTCGTGGCCTCATTGGCTTTCTTTGGCTTGCTTCCTATGTTTCTCTGCAACGGAGTTGTTGCTTAGAGGGCAGAGCTTTCCATCTGTGAAGCAACTCCTATGTGGTTTGGACTGATGTGAACCAAACCAGCAACTCTCATCTTTTTCAGGGGGTTTTCCTTGGGGTTACAAACGCCAGAAGTATGATTGAGCGCTGATTGAGCACACTTTGAAAACAGCTTTAACCACATGGGAGCTGCTTGCCACAAATGACTGCCCATGAAGTTTGCCTTTTAAGCAATACCAGTGTAAAATGTGTTGTGAGCCTCTTTGGCACACTCGGATCTCAATATATGTTAGTTATGAGAGTATTAAAAATGCATGTTTTTTTATTTCCAATATTTTACATTATTATTCATTTTTAATCATTCATCACTCCTCCTTTTTTAAAATTGCAGGGAGTAAGGCATGAGGGTGGTTACAGCTGGTAAATTTTCTAAAGATTATGCTTATCCCTTTTAGGCTATGCAGACAACAGGTTGGTTTAGATGGCATGGTAGGCCAAACTTTGGTTTAGCAAAACTGTGTGAACATGTGGGCTGCTGGAGATGAGCTCACAGCCACTTGGCTCCTCCCTGGTCCTATTTACTGTCATGCTCCTTGAACTAAACCAAGGCTTGGCTTAGCATCTTGGTGGAACAGGGAATCGTGGATTAAGCTCTCACCTCTCTCACCACAAGCTGGAGCGAAGAACAAATCTTCTCACGGTCCCACTAAGTTAGATCTACTGTGTAGAGCAAACTAGTTCAGTAAGTATGCCAAGATCCCTTTCATCCTTATGAATAAGGGTCCACCACTCTTCTGCACCCTTGAGTGACTCTCCGTAAGAAACAGAAAAGTAAAATGATAGGAGGAACTGGGAGGATAAGACTTATTGCCACAACAGCTGCACAACAACCACAGAGATTTGTGTCTTCAGGTAGAGCCATTTGGAAACTTGAAGTGCACACAGGATCTAATGTGGTCTTTGAGGAAGGAAATAAAGTGCTTTCCCATTTTAATACCAGTTGGAAAAGAGGGACAGTACTTAACCAGAAGCACAAATGCAGCATCATTATGTTGATGACAATGAGAAGAACCAATTTTCCCCCCTCCTGGTTGTCAGTGACATCCATCTGTTGGCTCTGCTTTTCTACAAATTGCCTGTGTTGTTTACATTGCAAATGGATTGAAGCAGGAAGTGTTGTAAAGCCATATGTGTGAAAATGCCCTGAATTGTCTTTGTGTCAGGCTGAACAAAGATTGAGGTTAATCCTTACCTATCCAGACAATAAAGCCACAGGCCTGTGTTTGATGTCCGGTTACAGTTACTACAGCCGGGGCTCTAATCCAGTGTTTTACTCCTGGGACTCATTCAGAAGAGGAACCATGAAGCTTTGAGTAACAAGTAAAGTGTGCACATGTATGCACTCCTCACTGTAAGCAATTGCCTGTCAAATTGAAAACCACCAAGGCCATTAAGTGAGGGTCATTTGCTGCCTGGTGAAAAGCAGAGTCAGGGAGGTTGAATGGAGAAGTGTCCCCCTCCCCCATTTCACCAAACAGGAGGAAATAAAGCAATGACGAGGCAGCAGGCCCTGCTGTATATCTCATCCATTAGAGGTGTCTGGCAAGAATCCTGTTTCACAATTAGATAAAAGCTTTTCCATTCTAAATCACTGTCCAGAAGACAGTTTGGAGCCTAAAATGCTGAATCGAATGCACAGGGGAAGCCAAGATCCTGCTCTGGATGCTGGTAATTTATATGCATTATAAGCATTTACACAGAAGAATGTAGGCTCCTACTCAATGATGTGTTGGTTTTTGTTTTTAATTTAACTGGTTTTCCCCGCAGTTACTTTGCGATTTCTTTGACTCATTTGACATGATCATATGGTGTTTCTATTGCCTATATAATCCTTGTGTGTCCTGCACTGCTTCAGGCTGCAGGGTGATGCAGGCATGACAGGGAGAAGGGTTCTAAATTAGCTTTCTCCCTTAGGCACTAATTTTTTACATGCAGGAAATGTTCTCTGTGTGACTTATTTTGTGGCATTAAGGGTTTTTAATGTAAATTGTATACGTGTTAGAACTATCTGCTATCATGTTCAACTAATCATAGTTTGTTGTTACATTCAACAAGACAAACTGAGGTAAGTTTCAACTATGGTTTATTGAAATAAGCCAGGATCAATGTGGACATAATGAGAAATTCTGATTATTGTAAAGGTGAAAGTTCCTGGTTGGCTGTGCCAGAGGAGGAGAGAGAAGGGGGTGTCATGTGCAAAGACTAGCCCAGCTCATTCCTTTTAGTGTTACATCTGAACCAAGACTCATGTCCCAGTCTTTTGATTTTCTGAACAAGGCAACTGTGTCTCCCAGTGGATATTGAGCTCTCTTCTTTAGTTAAATTTCAGTTTTGGGGGAATTTAAGAGTCTGTTGTTTCTAATCCAAGAAACAAAGGAGAGAATAAATCAATGCATGATTTATCATTGTAGTCCATAGTTATGCTTATGGAGAGAGATGCAAGCTTTCAGTCTTATGGATCTAGCAGCTTTAGAACAGCATAGAGCGATCATGTATGAGCAAGAGGAGGAGTGGGCCTAAGGTAGATCTCATGATGATTTGCAGTAGATAGGTAAGGATTTTTGATATGCAAAATGATCCCCTCCTATCACCACCCTAAATCATATTGCTGAAATGCAGAAAGCTTGGGATACCAGGAGTGGACTGCTGGATGGAAGGGCACTCAGAATAAATTCCTGGCTTCAGAATTCTTTCATTCAGTGTATGCCTTTTGTACCAGGCTCTGGTTGGTGGATCTTTGGCTGCTAGTAAAATAAAATAAAATAAAATAAGAGCAGCTCCTACAAATCTGAAGTCTACCACCACTGGGCAAGAGTACTCTATCCCTAACCAAGGCACATATGGGACATGGGGACTTTATATCTATGGAAATAACCAGGTGAAATATATTGAATATAAAGTAGCTACTTAGTGCTAAGAGAGTCACATCTCCAGGAAAGCTGCTAGCAAAACGCAGGTGGCATTTTTTGTTCAGAAAGTTAGAAAGATGTCCATTTGAAAAGGTTTTTTCTCAGATGGATATGCATAACTATACATAAAAAGTGAAGTGCCTGATAGCCATCTCATAGGATTACTGCCAAACAGGTTATGGGAGGTCTCTGGTATAAGCTTAACACATACTGGAGCGTGCCAACATATGTCCTGACATGCTTAATACTTATGAGAACTGGTCTGGATTGCATCTTATAGCCTGATAGAACTATGAGCACAAAGCCTTTTATGTAAAAGCTGTATCAAAGCTGGTAGTGCCCGACCTCTAGGAAGTCTGTTCTGGTGTTTTCCTCACAACTGTATGTAGTTTTATAGGATCTATTTTGATGTGCATGAACTTTTAGCCATGTTGGATAAGGAGTTGTCTTTGTGTTTCCTTTTGTAACTGCAAATAGAATATGACCAGGAAGCACGTGTTAAATTAAATCAGGCAACAACTTATATAAAGAAATGATAGAGTGCCAACACTACAGCTTCTTTCTGGAGTAGTATAGCTCAGAAAAATGAGCATCAAATGCACAAGATCAAAGGGACATCACTAATACTAACAGTATACCAAGAGAGAGACTGTATGACTGTTGAGAAGAAAAATGGAGACTGTAAACCTTGACAATTGGCTTCATTTCTCTCTCACCCACATCTTGTAGGATATAGGATAATCCCAGTACATTATGTATTGCAAAAAAATCATTGTGCCATTTCAGAGGGAAATGGGCCCCTGGTGTTATAGTGCTAGGAAACCTGATAAATCAAGACTGCCTTTGAAATTATGAACAAGGGACCTTAACTAATCAAAAACCACAAAAATATTAATCATCCCAGAGCATGTGTGTGAGTGGGTTTAGGACTCAGCACTAAAAAGGCAGCTATTTTAGAACCACAATTCTATTTTTTCATCATGAAAGTGATCTAAAAATCTACAGCTAGTGCTGGTCAGGGTTTTTGACTACTGCTGGCCCAAGACATTTTACTGCCTGAAGTGGTGCCCAAGTGTGCACACCCTCCTACCAGTGAGGACAAAAATGCATTATTTTGAAGAAAATTGCTTGTAAAAATGTGTATATTTTGGATCTCTTTTGGTCGAATTTTACCTTAGCTCTTCCCCTGAGTTGAGTGAGTTCAGAGAGGTCGGGGGGGGGGCATTGGTTAGCACCTATGAAGTCAATGTGTGTGAAGCAAGCTTAAACTTGTAGTGTAATGTCATGAATCTATGAAACCCCAGCTATGTTAAAAGCATTTAAATGATTTATGCAATGAGCATTATTTTGCAACTTGCAGACACTTCTACTATGAATATTTCAAAATAATAATGACTCACCTTTGTGTTGTTCCTCACTGTGCTTTTTAAACTTCTGTTTGTCATTATTTACATTCTATAAAATGATATCCTCAATGAAAACTTCACAATGGGAGAAAATTAAATCTGGTCTGATGCAAGATGTATCTCAAAGACTGGACTGCAGGCAGTCCAGGCTGCTTTATGGGGCAGGTCCTTTGTGAGGTAAATATTCTGTCTCTTGTGCAAAAGTTCACAAATTGAAGGGATAAACAAGGCAAAGCAGAACCAGATGGGGGATATGATTCTTAAGCAATATCTATTTTGTCCTTTAACTTTCCAGGAAAAAGCCAGCAATAAACATCAGTGTTGCATATCCCAGTCTGGATGACCTTTCCTGGGGAAGGTCATGTGGTTTTAATTGATTGTTCCTGCCCTCTGAAGCCTCCTGTTTTGTTATTCCATAGTCACTGCTTTCCCCATGAGGCATGGGTCCTTTCCTGGTGCTGCACTGCCATATATTATATCCTAATGCACTGATGAACTCATCAAACTCAAGGTTCATCTTTCGTCAGGGAAAGTTGAATAATTTCAAAGGCAAAACATTCAGGACAAAAAAGTAGCGTCACACACATATATTATCCCATTCAATGGATTTGCATGTCATCCTCCTGACTCCATCACCAATTATTCATTCATTTTGTGCCTGTTTGGACCCTTCTTTATGTCCTCTTTTGGGTCCTTGTGGATTTCTTTCCCCTTGTTCCTGGCCCTGATGATTGTCCTTTCTGTCACTCTGATTTTACCAGGCTAAGGAAGAGAGCAGTGACAGGAGCAAGGACAAACAGCATCAGCTTCCACTTACTTATCTTTCCCTTTCCCTCTAACTGATAGTATGGATTCGGTCCAGAGAAAGAGGGTAAGCAAATGGGGAGTGGTAAGAGCAGGAAGGAGGAGAATACATCATGCCCAGAGATGGCACTGATAGATGAAGGATAGAATTAGGCCACATTCACACTGTACAGTGGTACCTCGGGTTAAGAACTTAATACGTTCTGGAGGTCCGTTCTTAACCTAAAATTGTTTTTAACCTGAGGTACCACTTTAGCTAATGGGGCCTCCCACTGCTGCCGCCGCACGATTTCTGTTCTCATCCTGAAGCAAAGTTCTTAACCCGAGGTACTATTTCTGGGTTAGCGGAGTCTGTAACCTGAAGCGTCTGTAACTTGAAGCGTCTGTAACCTGAGGTACCACTGTACATTTAAAGTATAGTGATACCACTTTAAACAATCACGGCTTTCCCCATAGAATTCTGGGAGCTGTAGTTTGTTAAGGGTGCTAAGAGTTGTTAGGGGACCTGTATTCTCCTCACAGAGCTACAATTTCAGAGTGACTTGACAATCTATTTGCAGGGAACTGTAAATTGTCTAAAGTAGCATCATAGTGGTTTAAATGTGTGGTGTGAATGTGGCAGTTCTCTGAAATGGGCCAACCAACAGTACTGATGGGCTGTCAGCATGGTGAAAGGAAGAAAGAAGATCTCTGGAATTGGGATGTGGCAAGTCCCTCATTGTGCAAATATACAATGGTACCTCGGAAATCGAATGGAATCCATTTGGGAAATCCGTTCGACTTCCAAAACATTCGGAAACCAAGGTGCAGCTTCCGACTGGAAACCGTGGAAGCCCCATCGGACATTCAGTTTCCAAAGAACGTTCACAAACTGGAATGCTCACTTCTGGATTTGTGGCGTTCGGAATCCAAAATGGACAAGTACCAAGGATTTGGGATCCAAGGTACGACTGTATTGGGATTTGCAAGCTGAGAAGCACTTATGCCATATATAATGGGTATAGGTATTAGTCCATTGAAGAATGGGAAGTCTACCTGAGTAAACGTGTAGAACTAGACTGTAGCTTCTTCTAATACCATCACAGTATTGCTTCAAGTCTGTGCAGCCCCTTCTCCTCAACACAGGGCCCTTCTTTCTGTCTACTCTGCTTGAACAGAGAGAATTTCAGAAATTTTGGCCTTCCTCAAGCCCTGTTTTTGCTGGAGGCAAGGAATTTTGGGCTCTTGTACTTAATATACCATCACAATGAGAGGCATTCTAAGTCTATGGAAAAAGTTGACCCGGATTGTGAAGGAACAGATTCATGTTGAAGAGAGCTCCACAATGCAACGATTTAGCTTAGTAAATGAATAGGATAGTAATTACTTTTATTTCATTGGTTTATTTGTCTCGTGAAAGAGGGAAAGGGGTCAGAATGCTAGAAACATTACAAACGTCTCAATTTTAACAATTTCAGAGCTCCAGAAGGAAGGGGATAAGTAGTCAGGGGTTGTGTCCCCAAAGAGAAGCATTGGTACCACCACTGGGTATTCTGCTCACAGTATTGTTTACACCCATACATTGTATTCTATTCTCTCTTCAGTTCCCCCCAATCACCTATGAATGGCCAGTAGCTTCAAGAGGTGGGGGACAGGTTCTTAATCATTATTTAAATCCTTTAACCAATTTCCTATTTGTATGTTTTCATGAAATGCCTTTATTGTCATTTATGACTTTGGAGAGCTGCTTCTCTTAAAGTAGAGGTGGGGAACCGGTGGCCTTCCAGATGTTGAACTCCAACTTCCATAATCCTGACTGTTGGCCATTCTGGCTGGGGCTACTAGACATTGGGAGTCCAGCAGCATCTGGGGAACACCAGGTTCTTATTCATTTCTAGTAGGGAACAGATTGTACTAATAGATGGGCAATTTATTGAAATGGCTATTGGAAAATGTGCATTTTCTCATGTTTAAGGCTGAAATCCTATGCACACCTACTTGAGAGTTAGTTCCCATTGAACTTATTGGGATTTACTTCTAAGTAAGCATGCATGTGATGGTGGGGAAATCCTGCTTTGGAAATGCAAGAGCTTCTCCTTTAACAGCTATCTATGTGAATGTACAAGTTAATAAAATATTTTCTAGAAATAAAGAAACCTTGTCAGCCCCATAATCAAAAGAACCAGTCAAAGTGAGAAAACAGCATTTATTCTCCTTATGTGAAAGAAGCCACGCATTTCTACTCTTCTTTTGCACAGACAAGTGTTAGGCAGAGATAACTAGAAGAAGCTGCAGGGGTATGCAGATGGCAAACTGCTTTTTTGAAACCATAGTACTGCAAGCGTCACACAGTATCGCTTAATGAAGCAAATGCGGTAACCTTGCAAGGAGTAGCCGGCATGCTTGTGCCTCTGTGCTGGATGAAAACGATAAAGGGTTAAGCCAGTAACAGCTCTATCTGAAGCTTGATTTAAAGAAGGCAGAATTGATATGCTCTCCCCCTCCCTTGAGTGGATGGTCGGCTCTTTCTAGTGGATCACATGGGCTTGTTAGGCTCTGCTGCAGAAGCACCAGCTGCTGCTGATCAAGGGAGGGTGCATCACCGGCTGGGTGTGTGTGTCAATGCCTTGTGGTCCCAGGCTCCAGTTTAAAAGAGGGGAAGCCCACAACGTGCTTCTGAGCAAGTGGGCTCTACCTTTTTTCTCCCCTGTGCTTCAAGACCTAACCATGTCTATCTGTTGTTGCCTTTTTTTCAGGGATTATGGATCCTCAAAAAGGAAATCAGGTAAGAAACCATGCTTGTTCCATATGTAGCATCATGTCTACAAAGCTCAAAATGTTTCTTAACAATTGCTCTTTTATTGCCTGCTGTATGAAATGTTGGGGGTGTTTAATGGATTTCATTTAGCAGGAAAGGGAGTATTTAAAATATTTAGTAACTGAGTAGGCAAAATGTTGCTTGCACGTTTTTGCTGTTGTATATTTCAGCAGAAAATGTGCCTCTCCCTGCCCTCTCTAGTTGATGGGGAAATGTTTTACAAATACTAAATGCAGAAAAAGCAGGCTTTCTGTGTTGCAGTTTTGCATTGCATTGGAAGCTACCTGAAGACCATCTAGTTTCTTCTTGCTAAGGTAGAATCACTCTAACCTGACCCTGTCTCAATCCAGGGATTGTTCGTGGTTATTTCTGGAGGAATAGTAATGGTATAACTGAACTTGCAAGCTTAGTTTGTGCATGCATTGCCCATTCCCTCGTGTGTATCACCACATTTCTCTATCCCTCCCTAGTCTAGTGCTCCTGAAGGGGTTCCTGTACCTTTAGCTGTATCTAAGGGGGGGTGTTTTAGAGTAAATGCAGCTTATTGTGCCAGTGTGGAAAAACCTGCACCTGCTAAAATGTCATCTTGCATACTACTATAAAAAGGCACAGGAACCCTGGCTGTTAGTGTTCTGGCCCACCTGCCCTCACATGGATTCAATCTTGACTCATCACCAGGTTTTCTTAATGGCTGCATTCTTACTAGCTGTTAGGGAAATTGCTGTGTGAGTGAGAAATTCATCGTGCACAGATACCCTAAGATTAGGTTCTCTATAATCTTTATTGGCCTAAATTTCTAACTAGTAAGTTCTCCTAATCAGTCAAAAGTATAAATACAAGTTATACTCTGTTGTGTGCACTATGCAGTGCAGACATGGCTCAGAAATGAAATCAGGGCCAGCTCTACCATTAGGCAGAGGAAGGCAGTCCCTTCAGGTGACAAATTCCTCCTGAACCTCTGGGCATTCCCTTCCCTTGAAGATCAGAGCTGTGTGAGCTATGTAGCTTGTCATGTACTCCCTGAACTAGCCTGTTGCCCTCAGGTGCAGTGGAAGATGTTATCTTGCTGCAGCTATTAAAGCAAAATTCCAGCTGCCAATCAAGGTGGCTTCCGTACATGGAAAGTGGAAGTGCTATCTTGTCCTTTACCTCAGGCAGCAAAATGTATTGTGCAGGGCTGAATAAAAGTGCAGCTGTGGGGGTCAGATGGGAGAATAGGTTCACAATGAAATCCTGTTAATGCCTACTCAGAAGGGAGCCTCATTAAATTAAATGAGACTTAGTCCCAAGTAGCAATATCCAGATGTTTTGGAGTGCAACTGCCCTCAGCACCAGCTGGCAACATCAATGGTCAGGGATGACTTTATATATATATATATTCTACTTCTAGCCCGCTCTTCACTGAATGGTCTCGGGGCAGGCCATATAAAAATAGTACAATTAATTGAAAACCATAAGTTAAAGCTGCAGAACTAAACAAAATAATGAGAACAGCGAAACAGGTGTGCAGCAAGACAGCACAAGGGAAAACATCCACTGTCTTAAAATCTTGGGTAAAGAGGGGCATCTTGACCTGATGCTGAAAACTATACAAGATGCACCTCAGAGGAGATAACATTCTACAACATGGGGGCCACCAGGGAAAAAGCCCCCATGCGCCACCAGCCCACAAACCACACAAGGAGGTGGTACTGCCAGCAGCGCCCTCCCGTCAGTCCAGGCAGGTGGATATGGGAGAAGTCTTTAAATATTTGGGGCCCAAGTCACTTAGGATTTTGAATGCCAAAATCAACAATTTAAACTGGGCTTGGTAGTGAATTGGTACCAGAGCAGTTGCTTTAAGACCAGTATATTCTGAGTCCAGCCAGAAATGCCCACTTCTGCTTTATTCCTGCATTCTGCACAAGTTGCAGCTTCCAAACTGTCTTCAAGGGCAGCCCTGTGTAGAGTGCATGGCAACAGTCCAATCTGGAAGTTACCAGAGCATGGATCACTGTGGTGAAGCTACATCTGTCAAAAGGGTAGTAGCTGCTGAACAGCTAGAAACAGGCACTCCTAGTCAACAAGGCCACCTGGACCTTAAGCAACAGTGATGGATCAAGGAGTAGCCCCACGCTATGGAACAGTTTTCCCCCCAGGGGAGTTAATTCAGAGTTGTAATCCAGCAGCATTGAGAGGGCACCATGTTGGCTATCCCAGGAAGAATTTGACCACAATACAGTGGTACCTCGGGTTACATACGCTTCAGGTTACATACGCTTCAGGTTACAAACTCCGCTAACACAGAAATAGTACCTCAGGTTAAGAACTTTGCTTCAGGATGAGAACAGAAATCGTGCTCTGGCGGCGTGGCGGCAGCAGGAGGCCCCATTAGCTAAAGTGGTGCTTCAGGTTAAGAACAGTTTCAGGTTAAGAACGGACCTCCAGAACGAATTAAGTACTTAACCCGAGGTACCACTTAACCCGAGGTACCACTGTATCTGTTTAGAAAGTACTTGGGCAAAATACTAGAAAAGACCATTCTCTGTCTTAGATGCTCATGCCAGTCAGTTACTGTGCTAGATGCATTAATGGTCTGACTTTTTACAAAACACACACATGTGTGTGCATGTGTGTGTACATGCGCGTGCACGCATATTAAGGGGGGGTATAGAGACCTCAATTAGAGCCTGGGCAATAGCTCTTATTTGTCTTTGGGAATGACTTACCCTAATGCTGTTGCGCTTATCTGGCACGTGACTCTTATTAATTCCATTGATGGGCTAGCTAAGCTGGAATGCTTGATTTTTGCAATTTAACTAAGTGGTAGTCTAATGGATAGTTGGCATTTTGACTATCTCCCCCGCCCCTTTCCTGGAAATCCTGAGGATTTGAAAAAAGGCTCCTAGCCTGTAGCATGAAACCCAGAGGTAAATAGCATAAGAAACCATAGCAGTTGTCATTTCATTCATCTTTTATTAACCCTGCTGGGTAGATCAGGCTGAGACTATGACTCGAATGAATGAGCTGCATTTCATGCCTGAGTGTGTAGCTTTGAATCTGTCGTTCACAGTCAGACTCAATGCCATATCAGTAAACCATAACAAGGTAAGGCATAGTACCTTCAATATTTCCCATTAAGAACTATCTCTAGATTAAGTCCAAAACATGTCCAAATTCTCTTTCTCTCTAAATGTTCTGTTTTCCCAATCCACTATTCGTTGTACTTCTGTTTCTTTCCTAATCTTGCACAAATATTTTTGCTGCTATCAGTAAACCATACATTTTTTTCCATTTCTGATCTAGCACCTTCCATATATCCCAGTTAAATTCTAAGAGGGTACAGCACCACATCTTAATATAAGTATTGAAAGCTTTCGTGGAACCAGACCTTTCCATCAAATATGCAGTGTTACATTGCCAGCATTCAGCTTTCTCCTCCAGATAAATCGTTTTAATTCTCTATGGCGTCATGTACTATCTTGCTATTACTTTAAAAGATTTCCACGTGGTGAATTATGTCTGTATTGCTCCCACATGGATTCTCATACTACCTCCACAATATCTTCATTTAAATCTGCAACCCACTTATCACAATATTTATTCTTTGTTATTTATATCTATCAATATATTATGTATATTCTAACTTAGAAGCAGCTTCCTTGTCATTTCTCAATCTTCCTGGTTTGCTTTATTTTTTCTGAAGAAAAGACTACCTGCTCCTTTTTTACAAAATCCACCAAATTATGCTTCATCTAGTTATAACAAAATGGGATTTTGGACAGGCTCTCCCACTGTGACTGGCAAATTATTTTGGCCCCAAGTCCTTGACCATATACTCCACTTTGAGAACAACACTATATCTTCTGGCAAGCCGCCTTCTCTTCTTAGGGCTGGGAAAACCCAGAGCAGAACAAGCCAGACCTGCTTCTGTAGATCTGCTTCTTCAAAACACGCCTTCAAAAAGTTGGCATAAAGAGAAAATGGACATGAGCTGTTAATGCTTTCAGCTCATACCATTGGAATAATAGTGCCCCTTTCGTTCCTAGAACAGAGGTGGGGCATAGCATTCTGCTATTCATACTTTAAAGATGGTGATTCTGTACCCCCACCCCACAGATAAATGAGAATTAGAGTACAGTGGTACCTTGGTTCCCGAATTGCTTAGTCGTCGAGCAAATTGGCTTCTGAACACCGCAAACCCAGAAGTAAGTGTTCAAGTTTGCGAACATTTTTCGGAAGCCGAATGTCTGACGCAGCTTTCGCTTGAGTACAGGAAGCTCCTGCAGCCAATTGGAAGCCATGCCATGGTTTTCAAACGGACTCCCAGAATGGATTCAGTTCGAGAACCAAGGTACCACTGTACTGGAGTAAAACACTGATTAAACTCTGCAGTTCTAGTATTGATAATTTTCACTGAGCTTTAAAGCATTGTTTAAAAATTGACTGTGATCTGGCTGCAGATGTTTTATAAAGTAATTATTTTTAATACAAGTGCTTTATAAAAACTGTAGAAAGCCATTACTGTATTAAATGTGGCATTCCTCCCTTTCTCTCATGTGAAATTATGATGGCTATGACATAAGTGTACAGTGCTGAGTTAATGCTTCAGCTACTAACCATGCAAACTATACGCACATGTGAGCTGCATGTGTTGGATTTAATTGCACAATTCAAATTATTTTCAACTCAGAGGCACCCTCTTTTATTTCACTTTTAAAGTGTCTTTATAAATCCTCTTAAAATTAATGGTTCTGTACAGACATCTCATAAATTAGGCCAATTATTTATCTCTTCCACCTCCGCCCCCCAAACAAAAACCCTCTGCAAAATACCATCTGTGCTTTAGAAACATAGTCTGCTCTGGACATAATCCCAGAGCATTTCTAGTGCTGGAGCTTTGTAGCATGGTGACTCTGTGTGACTGTGCAGTGATAGCATCCTGTCCCACAGTTAGTGGCCAAGAGTTGTTTCCTAGTAAATACAAGAACCTAGAAGTTATCTAATAATTCTTTAACCAACAAAAATGGTTACTCTTGCTGTTACCGGCTCAATACTAGTCTCTTCTTTTCTCTTGCTCTCAGGCTGACATTGGCGCAGTTGGGGACAGCTGTGTGTACTCGGAAGCCATCTCATAATTATAGATTATTGTGTGAGACTTGCTTCTAATGTTTGCTCAGTAGGGTGATTGTGTGCAAAGGACAAAGGTCCTCTACTTTGAATTACATTGTAGAAGAGAGAATTTGGCAGCTCCAATTTGTCATGCGTGGGTGGTTAAAAACTACCCACTGAAATTAACTTTCAAAGCTATAATAGTCTTGTCCTTCTCTCTTACCTGGTTTCATTTGGCTAGTTCTGGGATGCCAATGTGGTGCCTTCAGGTGTTGTGGGCTACAGCTCCCGTCATCCCTGACCATCGGTTGTGCTGGCTGGGCCTGAAGGAAGTTGTCATCCAAAACATCTGGAAGGCATCATTTTGGCTACCCATCAGCTAAATGTTCAGCTAAATGTTTCAAAGGGAGGACAAAATGAAGCTTATACACCCACCCACCCACAGAGAGAGAGGCAAGGTGGAACCAGGGAGATGTAATCCAGCATGTCTCTCTCCTGCCCTAAGGCAGGTATGGAGCATCTGTAACCCTCCAGATGGATTGCAACTCCCATCCACACACCCTTAATGTTGATTTGACAAGTACCGGTATTTTCTGGAGGACCCATCTCGGTGTACACTGAAGCAGGGGAGACATTCCCCAAGAGCAGAGCTGATGTAATTCCCATGGCTCCTGCCAGATCAGATTGTGTATGGACATAAATACAGCAGCTATTGTGTGCAAATACTTGCTTGTTAAATTTGAAGCATGACACACTATCTTCTATATGCAGCTTAGTGACGTCTCTGGTTTAAGTATGTCAGTGCACTATGTGTTATGGGGACCATAGGACAGTAGTTTTCAACTTTCTTTAACTCATAACTTGCAGAATGAGATCCTTGTACCAGCTCAAACTATTTGTCCATCTAGCTCAGTATTCTATATTCTGACCGGCAGCAGCCCTCCATGTTCTCAGTAAAGATGTTTCTTATCTCCTGTTACTAGTTTCTATTAACTGAGGATGTCAGGGATTGAACCTGGGACCTTCTATATGCAAACCATGTGTTATGGTCCATTCTCATTTGGGATTTCTCCTCCTCCTAAACGAAAAAGGAAAGAAAATGGTGGTTTCGCTAGTGTGACCTACCTGTTGGTCTCTTCTTGCTACATAAAAGTCGGTGCCATGGGGTGTAGCAAAATATTGGGGTTTTCTAAGAGAAAAGTAACATGTTAACATAGTACCTAATTTCTGCCAATGTGCAAGATTTTGGCTTGCAGCAAGGGATGTTACGGCACTCTTTGAAGCTATGTGTGCTCCCATATTATTCGGGATGTTCAGTGCATTAGCTCTGCCAGGCTGCCATGCACAACTCTTTGCCACTATGGAGGCATGGGCTGTGAGTATGAAAGGTAGAACATACACATGTGCATACAATGGTGCACTTGCCACAGCCGTCACAGTTTCTAGTATTCAGAGTCCTACCATAGAATCTGAACTAACCCTTGAACTGGGAGAAGGCTAGGTAGGCTGGACATGGTAACTCAGAGATACTTTAATATGAGGACTTAAAAAAATATCTCTGAGGTATTTGAGGTGGTGCAGTGCTATTAGAACTACACCTTGTGCTCAGTGGTTCAATCACTTGTAGCTGGAAGAATAATGCAGAAAATACCCTCTCCTTTGACACCTGATAGGATAAGTCCTATCTTAACTAATTTGTTTTAACTGATTTTAATACTATATTTTTGAATTGTTATCTTTCCTGAGAGTTCAAGGTGAAAAGTTGATGATGATGATGATGATAATTTGTTTTGCTTATGGACAAAAACATAGAATTTACCACCCAGCAGCATATAACATTCTTGCTGCAGTCTGGTAGTGCATCCCCCCCTGCCCCCGAAACTGAAACCACTGTGATCATCGCTATAAAGAAGTCCCATGAAAAACACCAGGACAGATTAAGAAATAAAACAAATGCTTATTGTTTTCTGAATCTTGCCAAGAAATCTAGATCTCACTTTTCTTTTAAGTGACTAGACTTGCTAGAACTTTTACGAGGATGGGTTTTGTGTTTTTGATATTGATTTGGCATTTGACACACCTACTGGAACTCTTTTCTTTGGAAATATTTTCCTTGCTATGTGACTCGCTCTGGTCTGGCTTGCTGTGTTTGGAATTCCTAATTTTACAGTATGCCTGGTATGACTTCTACAAGGCAACTGTCTGGCATCAGCAGGAGAATTGCCAGTATTTACACTTCCTAAATTTCCACTCGATAATCGACCCAAGCACCTGAAGTTGCTATTTTGTGCTTTTCCCCCATAAGGAAAGTTACTTGGAACGTTGTTTTCAGTGCATCCGATCTAGTTCTTGGATGTAAATGTTCAGCCTAATGCTCAAAAACTCAGGGTGCTTTCTGATGTGAGGAATATTGTTAGTTTTCCTGACTTATGATGCTTGTGTTCCTTTTTTTAATGCTCCTTTCACACTGCAGTATCTGTTGTGTTATGGAACTGTGGCTTTTGACCGATCTACCAGCATGTTGTGCTAAATTTCATTCACACCAGTGGGCGTGGTGTGACAAAAAACCAAACTTTATTGGACAATGTTGCTACTTCCTCACACTTTCCACACATGCATACTTCTATTCCCCATCATTCATCCATGAAAATGGCAGAGAAAGAACTGCATGATGGTACTTCAAACAGATTTATTTCTGGAATCGGCTGACATGAAAATAAGTGCTAAACTTACACTATATTCCGCTAGATCTCCATTAGTACCTTTTATGTTGTGTGAAAGCTGAAATATAATGCAGAAGAAGAGGAGGAGGAGGAGGAGTTTGGATTTGATATCCTGCTTTATCACTACCCGAAGGAGTCTCAAAGCGGCTAACATTCTCCTTTCCCTTCCTCCCCCACAACAAACACTCTGTGAGGTGAGTGGGGCTGAGAGATTTCAAAGAAGTGTGACTAGCCCAAGGTCACTCAGCAGCTGCATGTGGAGGAGCGGAGACGCGAACCCAGTTCACCAGATTACGAGTCTACCGCTCTTAACCACCACACCACACTGGCTCTCCAGTAAGCTCCAGTAAGCAGTGCTGTTTTTTCTAGAAAAAGAGGTGCCTCAAGTCGCCATGAACATCTCCCTTGTTCTCTTACAATGGCAACGGCACCCACCGAAGGGGTGCTGGGAACTGAGTTCTGGCTGGAAAAAAGCCCTGACAGTAAGGGAAATGTTGGGGGTGAGGGGAGAGAATAAACAGCTGTGTGGATGCAGCTCCTTTCTCCTAGTGTTGATATATTTATATTTATGGAACATCTGCATTGGGCTATTTTAACCCCCGTCCCCCGCCAGACTCACAAGAAATGCTGCAATCTCTTGTGCTTATGCAGTATAGAAAACTTGTTTGGATAATACCCTTCACCCAAACTCATGTCGCTCTGAGCCCGGCCTTGGCTGGGGAGGGCGGAGTATAAATAATAATAATAATAATAATAATAATAATAATAATTATTATTATGTCTACATACACCAGGAGCTTAGGACAACAGTATGGTCTGTTAAATGTTGAGGGCCATTTGGTGATGCTCATGATAAGCCATGGTTTTATCATGACATGCACAAGCTGCAGTGAGTGTTGGGTTTGTGTGCTCTCCTCATGTGGCTGTCAGGAGGGCTTTTTATTTGGTTTTTAGTAAGCAAGAGTTTCCTGTTTTGTTTAAAGTCTACCTATGCTCAGTTCTCAAAACGAGCCAGCTTCAAGATGTGAAGCTGGCTTGTTTATCCATATTGTTGTAGAACAGGGTACCCAGTGTGGTGCCTCCCTCGATGTTACGGACTCCAGCCCCCTCTCCCAGCATGGCCAATGGTCAAGGATGATGGGAGTTACAGGCCTCAACATCTAGAGGGTACCACATTGGTGCAAAGCCACAATCCTGGGTTTAGGAAGCCATGGCTTAATAATGGTTTTTGAAATCTTCCTTCTAGCCAGGGTGTTGGGGGGGGGGGCAGACATACAAATCTGAGGCTTGTGCTTATCACAATAAATCACAGTGCCACAAGTGATCTAAGAAATAATATTGAATAATTAAAGCTTCCTGTGAAAGGACCCACTCACAGAAGAGGCTGCCTCTTTGCATGATTCACTGCTCTGGCTTGAGTGGGGAGGTAATTCTGCCACATCTCTGGTTAAGGTGTGCTTCGATCTTTTCGTCACTCCTCATCAGCAATTGAGTTAAATAATTGCATTTCCCCAATTCACAGTTCTCTATGAGCTGGTTTTGAAATGCATAAAGTTTTTATAACATTGCCTGGCAGCAATGTGCACTCCTGAAAATGGACATCAGTTTTTGGAAAAGCATTTTTCAGAAAAGCATCAGCAGGCATTCACTTTTTCCCCCTCTCCCAGAGCAGGTCTGTTTGTTTTTATTACTATGCAGGAGGTGTGAGCCAAGTTGGAATTCTTGAATAAAAAAATCAAGCTTTTTATTGGGTGTTCACAGATGCTGGTTGCAAGTAGTGAGCTATTTATGCTTTGAGATGAGGGAGATTGGACCCTTCACTGCTTCTGATGCAGCAGATTTACCTGCCCTTGGAAGAAGAGTGCCAAGCAGAGTGTGCAGAAACTGAAGGAATGGGTTCCTTCCTACACACCAAATGCAAGCTTGAAGGACTCAGGTGTGCCAATGCCAGGTTTAATTTGGAAAAAGTGTGCTTCAGCTATTGGAAGTTTGGGAAACAATGTAGTACATGATAAGGTCTCACTGCAGCTGTTTGGATTTAAGGAAGCAAATGTGTGCCTATTTAAAAATAAGTTAAGAACCTGGGTTTTCTTGCAGTAATGATCAATACTTCTCCATCAGGACTCTATAGCCCTTGCAAATGCATCTAACCAGCTAAGTGATACTGTCTGGTTGGGAGCCAGAGCTCCCTCCCCATCTTTGGCAGGAACTCAACTCTTGCCCAAATTCCTGCCATTTCCTCCTTGCTTGCATAGCTGTAAATGTTATTGATGGCAATGAAGTTATCCAGACTCTCTTTAGAAGCCAGCTGCACTGCTTTGGACCCTAAAATAGCAGTATTATAACCTCCTTCGGATCTCCATGCATGCTGTCTTAATATAGCAACCATATGGGAAGGGGGTAGGGGGTGCAATCTGTCTGGACTCCCTGAAGTCAGAAGCTTCCCCCTGGACCTAAAGTGCCCAGACAAAACAAAATAATCCTGTAGATTCCTAATGTCTCAAATGAGATCAGGATTCTTTCTTGAGGATTAAGCACAAGGTATATCATGCTGGAAATGAAATGCAACGACGATAGTTTTTGGGCTCTGTTTCCCAGGGAGAGTTAACTTGTGATGTTGTTTGAAGCCCAATTGTGTAAATGTAGAATTATGCCTTGTTTATTTGGAGCATGTGTGATACCTCTGCTCAGGTTACAGTCTAGAAAAAAATAGCTTTTGGAGCAGGAGAAGGATAGGGCATTACTGAGCTTTTTCCCCTGCCTTGCTTCTCTCTCCCCCCTCCCTTGAGCTTTCTTGTGCCATATGATCAGTTCTGAAGCACCATTCAATCACATGAAGGCCAGATGTGAGTATTTCGAAACAGTTTGGTCTCTGCTGGCGTGGAGATGATAAATGAGGCAGTTCTGTTTACGTGGCAAATGGAAGCAGCCTCTGATTGGTCTGGGACGGAACAGGGGAGGAGCTGATAACTTACAACAGGCGAACAACAAGCGAAAGTCTCAAAGACAGATTCATTCTGTGTAGAACAATGCAAATGAGGGTTCGGTTTTAAAATGAGAAAGAGGCAAAAGGCTGCCATGGACTAGAGCTCACTTCCTTTGGAGTCACAGGTCTGTGCATTTGATAAAGTTGACTGAGCCCATGAAAGCTTAGAAAACCTTTTGCCGTTGATAAGGTGCCACAAGGCTTAAAACACTGGTGTGCCCTGGATTTGTATTTAAAAGGGTAATGTGTAATGTTTGTAGAGAGGGAGCAATACGCCCCTTGGCATAGTTCCAGAAGGAAAGGGGCATCCCAAAGATTAATACAAGGTGGGTTTAACTACACAACATGTGGGATTCCCTGTTACTGGTGGAAGTGATACAGATAAAACGAGAAGGATTTCCAGGCAGCCTGGTTTTGAAGATCAATAAATGTGCAGTTGCTTTATTTTGTTAATTTATATCCTGCCCTTAATAGCAAGCACTCTTGGGATTTAAATACAATAAAATCACTCAATAAAATGATCTCAACCTGAATTGCTTCATCTCCTCCTTATAACACAGAGGTGGTCTTTAGGGGAAGAAGGATTTTCTGCTCGCACCAAAAACTGAACAATGTCTTTCAGGGGAAGAGCATTGCACAGAGAAGCCCCTTTCCTAACATAAAGCATCTCGGGCTCCCCTCACTGGTGGAGTGACAAAAAGTCCCTACCTGGCAGATCCTGCAGCCTAGGTAGAACAATGCAAAGAGAGGCACTCCAGTGGCTTCATAATGGTGTTAAGCATAGGGGACAATATGAAACCCTGCAGAACTCCACAGCGTATTTTTCACGGGACCGAAGAGCAGCCCTGCCCCTTACTGTCTCTGAACACTGCCCTGCAGATAGATCAGGGGTCGGCAAGGTTTACCCAGCCCTCGCCTGTTCACTCCAGCGGAGATCACTCCATGGGCTAGATCGCGCATGTGCGTGAGCGCACGTGCCCACAATGGCAGGCATCTTCATCGACGCAATTTTGGGTACCGCAGAAGTGAGTCCCTGCGCCACGCTGCACCGGTTTAGTGCAGTGCACAGGGACTCGCCGAGCGTGCGGCTTGGTTGGGGGTCGGCTCGTGGGCCAATTAAATTACTCCCGTGGGCCGCAGGTTGCTGACCCCTGAGATAGACACATTGCTTCTGCTCCTAACTCCCAACCCACAGAGCCAGTCCAAGAGGATACTGTGGTTAATGATATCAAAAGCTGCTGAGAGATCTAGGAGAACTAACAGGGTTGCATTCCTTCTTTGCATCTCCCAGCACAGGTCACATGGCTAAGGCTCCTTCAGTGCCAAAGCCAAACCCTAAAGCCAGATTGAAATGGAGCCAGAAAAATAACTTTTTCCAAGCATTTCTGGACACTCACCACCATTTTGAGCAACTTGCCCCAAAAGGGGGTATTTGCCTCTGGGTGGCAGTTGTATATCGCTAGTTTCATGGGTGGCTAATTGAGGGGCTGCACCCCTAACTGCTTCAGGGCAGCAGGTACTACTCCCTCACATGATAAGCATTTTCTACTACCTGGACCCACTGCCGGCCTTCCCTAGCCATTTCTTGCAAGTCTGAGTGTACATATGATAAGTCGAACACCTTGAAGTGGCTTATCCATGTACCGTATTTTTCGCTCTATAAGACGCACCAGACCATAAGACGCACCTAGTTTTTGGAGGAGGAAAACAAGAAAAAAAATATTCTGAATCTCAGAAGCCAGAACAACAAGAGGGATCACTGTGCAGCAAAAGCAGTGATCCCTCTTGCTGTTCTGGCTTCTGGGATAGCTGCACAGCCTGCATTTGCTCCATAAGACGCACACACATTTCCCCTTACTTTTTAGGAGGGAAAAAGTGAGTCTTATAGAGCAAAAAATACGGTAATTAAACCGCAAGCCAGGCAACTTCTACTAGAAATGCCTTGCAGAAAGTTTTTGTTAAATGTACATGCATGCACTTGTGTTGGACTGTTCAAAGCAAAAATGCACTAGAGCAGTTTTATGGATCACTTTGTATTTATTTAAACCATTTTTATCCTGCCTTTCAGTTAGAAAGGCACCCAGGGTAGCTTATATGAGATCCATAACAAGCAGGAATCCTGTAGCCTCCTGATGCTGTTGCATTTCAGCTTCTACCAGCCGAAGACAGCATGGCCAATGGTCAGGGAGGATGGTAGCTGAGTTCAACAATGCCTGGAGGGCCACAGGTTCCCAATCCCTACTGCAGTGTCTGCCCCTCCTTTGTCACAATGGGGCTCAATGGTTATATGCAATAGTATTGTTGGTGATGGGAGGGGGAAGGTTGTAGAGGCTGGGACCAATTAGAATATAAATGTCGTGCAGTTTTTAATCTTTTTAGAAAACCCTTAAAAGTAATGCTAAGCAGATGTTCAGAACAAAAAAATGCTAGCTGTCTTCCCTTTCAGAAGCACTCTCATCTTTGTCTAGCTGCTGTCAGACACAGGGAGCTCTGGTGTTCTTCCTATATGTACATATATCTTTTTTATTTGGAAATCTACAATATAGCTTGCCAGTTGCTTGCATGCTTCTACATTCCCTGCCGCCTGTGCTCTGCTTTGGCTCAACTGCTGTTGACAAGTGTGTGTGTGTGTGTGTGTGTGTGTGTGTGTGTGTGTGTAGGGGGGAAATGCTTCTTTTAAAAATTTACAACCAATTAGCATTCAGGGCAATCTGATTAAATGGCAATTGTGTGAATAGCTTGGTTGCACTTCAGCTGCTCCTTCAAAAAAACCAGTCATGGATAGAAATCTCACCACCCCCCTCACCAAGTAGGTCAGTTGCATACTATTTTAAAAACTGTATCTTGTGCCACTGCGGGAGCATATGGTTCCAATAGAACCATAAGCTCTATGCATTTTCTTATTCCAGATATTTTTCATCATTGCCTGTTTTTTGGCTCTTTCAATATTGGTTTGGCATGGTCAGTGCAAACTCTGTTTGGGGTAGTTGGGGAGTTCTGGAGTATTTTCCCTGGATGGAATTATTCTGTGGCTTTATTTCATTATACTGTCACCTCTGTTTCTCTTTATCCAGAGAAACCTCAATAGCTAGACACAGTATGTACATATTTGGTTTAGTGTTTTTAAACTTGCCATGTGTGAGCTCCTTCTAATGCATGAACTCCTTTTAAAATAAAAGCCTCATGGCAAAGGGTTAGCCAGGCCTCAGTTCCTGGAACATCTAAAATAACAATGTCTTTGAGCATACTGAACATGTGCAGAATGCTCCCCCCACCCCGTGCCAGTAAGTAACCAGAGTCAACCCTTGTACACTTGGTCAAGACTTTCAGAATGGAACAATACCTTCTCTCCCAGAGACAGAAGCTCATTCAAGAATGTGTGGCTTAATTTTCCATTTTACAGATGAATGAACTGAGGTACAGGGTTTTGCTACCAACCTAGTATGATTTCCAAGTAACATTTTTACTGTTTCATGTGATGGCCTTGCAGGTGCATGCTGGGTATATTTGGACACTGCCCTGGATCTGCACTAGCTTCCATTCTGGCACAACTCAAAGTCAGGCAGGTCAAATAATACTTGAGAGTCTATTTATTTTGGTCACAAATGGTAGGTGTAAAGCTTAGCTTACAATTCAAATCTTTTAAACTTCAGTTCCCTCCAAAAGGTACTGAAAACAGAGGCTTTGGTGATAATAATTAATGTTTAGCTGATCACCTGCTTATTGACCAACTTAAAAATACATTTTAAAATTGGTTAATAAACCAACAGCTCTAGTCTTGGCTCAGGATAGAGTGGATTGAATTGAGGTGCTAAATTCACAGGGTGACCTCCAGTCTGTGTTTGTGCTGAAGCACTCTAATCATACCTTTGCCTTAAGAACAATGTCAGTGTCTATCTGGATGGCTTCAGTCCATACAGGACCCTGCTTAGCTTTGCAAATCCAGTTTTATTGCTGCACTACATACTCAGAGGGTCTTGTGGACAATGGTGCAGCTAAGTAATTTTAGATCCTGGACTCAGTGGTGTTGAGCCATTAGATGGGAGAATTAGATTGTCATGACATCAGTTGTGAAGCACACAAGTAACATTTCTCTTCCTCCTCCTCACTTGCTGTTCCATGCTTTACAACTGCTTCTACATTTCTGATAGAACAAGTATGGGGGACTTCCAGCTCTTTGGGCAGATTAGGCCCATCAGCACCATGCCCTCACAGTGGCCAACTAGATGCCCATGGGAAGCCCACAAGCAGGACTCAGGTCCTGTGCAACAGTGCTCTTTCCTCCTGCAGTTTCCAGCAACTGGTGTTCGGGGACGTACTGCCAATGATGCTGTCATCATGGCCAATAGCTATTATCCTCCACAAATTTGTCAAATTCTCTTTTAAAGCTATCCAGGTTGGTGTCCATCATGGCCTTCCATGAGAGTGACTATGCGCCATGTGAAGAATTGCTTTTTAAAAATCTGTCCTAAAACATTCAACTTCATTGGATGTCCATAAGTTCTAGTGTTAACAGAGAGGTTTTTCTCCCTCTCTCATATCTACTTTATCCATGCCATGTGTAATTTTATAAACTCCCATCATGTAACTGTTTTCTCTAAACTAGAAGTCCCAAATGCTGCAACCTTTCCTCATGGGGAGTTGCTCTGCCACCTTGATCATTTTGGTTGCCCTTTTCTGAGCTTTTTCCAGTTCTGCAATATTCTTTTTCAGGAGAGGGGACCAGAATTGTGCACAGTATTCCAAACAAATGCAGTTGCAGAGTGTGCTGCCGATTGTTCCTCTGCAAGCAAGGCTTACGTTTGGCACCTTCAACATTTGGCACCAAATGCAAGCCCTATCGGGATCTGTTCCACTGATATACAGCAACCACAGTCAGACTATATAAACATCATAGCATAATCATGACTACTGGAATAAAATGAAGTTTGCTTCTACTTCCCTGATTTACTTGGCTATATGCAACATTGTGTTGTATAAAAGAATAATGCATTTTTTATTTTAAAATAATAATAATGAGTATTTGTGCCATGTACATGCCATGTAGTCTGTGATTACAGAATGTTTTTAAAATAAGAAAGCATCATCCCATTGCCAGGTTCCGATACAGAGCCTTTTTTTGCACAGCCCCTCACCCAGGATGTTCACTTAGGACCCTTCTGTGCTGCGGGACTGTAAGTGTAGGCCCTGAGGTGCCTTGGGTGCACCATTTCTGTGAATCATTCCTATGTCAACAACTTCCCACTCCCCCCCCCATTTGTCTCAGTTGTTTGTATTATGCTTGTTAAAAATTGCTAAAAAGTTATTCAAAAACAAAGCAAAACCTTTCTGATTTAGACCAAAGTTACATAATCCCCTGCCTATATCTGTCACTAATGAAACTCTACCACAGGGATAACTTTGTGCCTTCTTATGCTCTTCTTTTAGCAACCTCCTTGGTTGTTTCCTTGCTGTGAGCTTTATGGAAATAGTTCCTCTGTGTGCACATTAAAAAAAAAAAGCTGTTCAGTATTTGCTGGGCCATAAAACTGCTTCTCTGTATTTCTAATGCCTCTTCTTCTGCTTTTCTTATTTCTCTGCTGCTTCTTTTCTTGGACTTTGAAGTCTGGATGTCCAGCTTATCTGATTCTCCAAAGAAGGTTATTGCAGGTACTATATTGTTTTTATATACAAATTTGTGCTTGCTCTCTCTGGTACCCTGGATATCAATTACAGATCTCTAGAATGGGAGATGGGGAGAGAATGGCAGGCTATAGGCAGATAAGTGGCATGGGATCCCTACTCAGGGATAGATTGGGATAGACCTTTGACTAACTATATGGATCAACCTTTTGGCCACTAATCTAGATGGCTTTAAAATAATTGGACAAGTTCATGGAGAGGGCTATTGAAGTCTATGAGCCATGATGGCTATGCTCTCCATCCACAGTTGGAGGCAGTAAAGCTTCTGAATACTAATTGCTGAAAACCACACAAGGGAAAAGTGCTTTTGTGCTCAAATTACGCTTGCAGGTTTCCCACAGGTATCAGATTCAGCACTGTGAGAAAAGGATGCTGGACTAGATTGGCCATTGGCAGTACCCCCCCCCCCGGGTGTATTCCAGGGTACACAGTGCTAGCACCCCTTTTTGTTGTTAAAAAGTGTGGCACTTACCTTAACAACTTCATGGTGAGTACCGGCACCTATTTTCCTAGAAAAAAAGCACTGGCCATTGGCCTGATCTAGTAGGCTCTTCTTAAGCCTGTATGTCTACTGACTGGCAGCAACTCTCCAGGGTTACATACAGGGGTCATTCCCAGCCTGCCCTTGAGGTGCCAGTGATTCAGCATTGAACCTTATGCAAACTCAACCACTGAGAAGTGGCCTTTGCCCAAGATATAAATAAGTTTCTGTATGAAGTTCCTGGTCTTCTAAACTACTTAAACATACAACCTTAACTCCAAGATGATCAGTTCTACCTTTCATCTCCTATATTGCAGATCCTCCACTGGCTTATTTACTTGCTTCAGTGTTCCAGAATTAATGCTGTTTGCAGCCTCCTATACCAGTTGTACAGTTTTGCTGTATACCAAGAAAATCGACCAACTATTCTTTGAGCCTTTCCAATTATTTCAGCAAGTTTCATTTTAAAGTTATGCCTTATTTCATGTTCTATTCCTTTTAACTTGTCCCTTTGTTTTGCTATCTGTTCAGTCCTCACATTTGTGTTTGTCTACAGGCTGGCTAGCCCAAGCCTTGTCAATCCATTATTTTCTCAATCTGCATTTGGCATTTTACTTGTCTGTTGTATCCATTCATGCACTAAGCTTCCCATCTTGTCTCTTTGTCTCCTCTAACATATTCTCAGATTTCTTTCTCTCCCTCCCTTTTTCTTCTTTCCCCATCAGTCTCCCACCCCCTCTCCCTCTCAATTCTTTAGGTGAAAGGTGATTTCTATCTTCCATCATACTCTTGAGTATTTGGATTTTACTATGGCAGTTGTTAGTTTTTAAGAAATGGTATTGTGATCCACTGTAATGCTGTCTCTTGATATTCTTCTGTGCTTTGCAATCATTCTCCTCAAGAGACCTGTATGAAGACAAAGAAGCATTAGAAGCAATTATGTAAATATATAATCCAAAATTAAAGTGGACCAAGGGTATTAATCATTCCTCAGGCCTTTAAGGGTCATTTTAAAGAGTACCCATCTAATGACAGTTGCATTTGATGATGTCCCACATGGATACACCTGAGAAGTCAATTACAGTAAATGTGATAGTCAACTGTTTCTTTAAAAAATTACAAATGGGACCTAGTTTGCAAATTATACTGCACAAATCCTAGCAGTGTTGACATAACCTATTTCATAATGTCTTGAACAAAATTTCCCTAATCCACTGCACATTTCCCAAGAAAAAAGTGTTAAAGCGATTTCACAATCCCTAAGTTAGTTCTGCAGCATGGTGTAACTATATAAATAATATTCACCATATCCACAATACGATGACCAATCTCTTGAATCTCCTCCCCCCCCATTTAGTTATTCTGCTTTTCCTCAGTAAACTGTATCCAAATCGGCTTACAATAAACATTAAGACAGTATCTTTTTCCAAATTTATCATGCAACTGTTTTTGGAATACAGTACTATACACAGTTCTTGTATAATCTCCAAAAAAGAGATTATAGAGCTTGAAAATGTGCAGAAGAAAGTGCTTGGGGCTGGGGGCAGGGACAACTCCCCTTTGAGATAAAGTTACTGTAATGGGGAGGCTTCTTGGTTAAGGGAGGGGAGGGAGGTAAGGGTCTGGAGATTATAGAGGTTTGTACAATTATGCACTATGTGAAGAAAGTGGATAGACAGATGTTTGCCTCTCATATAATACTAGTAGTCAGGGTCCTCCAATGAAGTTACATGTTGGGAGGTTCAGGAGGAAAGACAAAAGCAAGTCCTTCATGCAGCAGATAGTCAATGGAATTCCCTACCACAAGATATAGTAATGCCCACCAACTTGAATTTCTTTAAAAGGGGATTAGACAAATTCATGGAGGATGGCTAATAGTCATGTTAACTGTATACTGCCTGTATGCCTCTTAATATCTTGCAAAGGTAGACTGCTTGCAAAGGTAGGTACTCTCAGGTGACCAGCAAGCTCAGGAGCAACAGCATTTAGGGTGTGGCATTTGGTGCTTCCTTCCTGATGAACCCATTTTTAAAGGCCTGTGTGGAGCTGACTTGCCTACCGAGTGATTCGTTTACCTATGAGAGTACTTATAAAGTGCCATCCCATAAGAAAAATATAATGATGGTGTACAATGAGGGATGGGAGCTTGGGGTGGAATAAAATAGAAGCCTCAGTCTGAAGCTTTCATGCTAGGTCCTGAGAAGCCAAGGAATGCAGCTGTATCTGGCCACCTGCCCACAGTTTCTTCTTATTTCAAGAAACGGGGGCTACCTGGAGAATACAGAGAGGTTATGAGCATCAGGGTGGGTGGACTAGAGTGTGGACAGAACTGAGCATATTTTAATTTTAAAAGGGAACAGGGCCTTTTAAAAAAGTTTGGAAACCACTGTCTATAAAAACTGTAGAGGGCTAATACAGAGGCTAAGACTTGCTCATTAGTATTATGACACATCTGGCCTCCTGACTGTGGCCACTTTTTAACTCTCTCTCTCTCTCTCTCTCTCTCTCTGTATGTATGTGTGTGTGTGTGTGTGTGTGTGTGATGTTTCTAGTTCTCATTTTTGTTGAGACTTGACAGTGTGTGAGGGCTTTTGTTTGCTTAATCTTCCAGAAAACTTGCCGTTTTCTTGGAATTATTTCATAACCTCCCATTGCTAGCTGCTTTTTTATTTGTGTGTGTGTGGCCTGTGGGGGTGTGGTAGTACTTAGAGATGGACTAAGAGTATAGTCATAGTCTGACTGAAAGTAGGGAAGCTTCAACACCCCCTCATTCGGCTCGAAAATCAGCCATGTTTTGTGAGCTTTTCTTCATTGTACTTGCAGAAGCTTGACAGTTGAAGGATGCTCACAAAATCTTGATGTGACTGACAAAAATCCATGGAGACATAATGTTCTTCACACACTTCCAAAGAAATTTTTAGAATACTGAATGCCTGCCAGTGGCTTGGGTATATGTGTGGTAAAAAGCGAGCTATGCTGAAGACCCTCTTGTCCCATCAGTCTACATAGGTGCGTTGACCTTGGGCTTGCTTCAGCTGTTTCTGTCGCCACAGACCTTGCAGCTCAAGGTCATGGGTGCAAACAGCAACGTTGGCACTAATTACTTTGAGCTACAAAAAACCTAGTAAGCACAGCTTTGAGGAAATGGGATTTGGGTGGGTGAAGCTGCCAACAGAATTGAAGCAAGGGGCCTGCCAGAGGTGGATTGTGCTTGAAGTCATTTGAGCAGGGGTGCTTGCATATTCTTCAAATACTCATTACTTCCGTAATTGCAGTTTATCCACCCATGCTTTTTCATTATTCACACATGTCAGGTGCTGGCACGACACAAAATAGAATTGCTTTTGCAGAAGTAGGATGTTCTGTGCCATCTGAGCTATTGATTGCTTTCCATTATAAAAGAGAGCATTGCTACATGCTGACCACCTTGGTTACCATTGATAACCTTCCTCCGCACCTGCTTTTACAATGTGGCATTATGCCTCAACACCACCTTTGATACTGTTTTGAACGGTGTCTCATTTGAAGGGTAAAAGTGACAGCCTTCCTCACTCACCAGCTGCAGCTTCAAGCCAGCTGTGTTGATGAAGAGCCCTGATATTGCTGACACCCAGTGCTCATTGTGATGAGTGGAGCTTTCAGAAGCAGGAATGTTGATAACAAACTTACTTCAAATTGTCTTTGTGTGCTTGTGCTTTTAGACTTACCATGTTTGAAATATGGTCGACAAACTACTATAAACACCTATCCAATTCTAAGCTCTCCTTGGTGACTACATTCTTGACAGCATTTTTGCTACCCTCACTTCCTTATCATTGTTGGTTTGGCTGTTATGTAGATGGAAAATTTGATACTGTAGAAGAGTTGGAAGTGACTTTTATGTTTATTGAAGTGAAGTTAGTTTGTGGAAAAAGCCATCTAATGAGCCAGTATTCAGAGTTCAGATGACAGTTTGGGATTGCTTGGTGTAGCTCACAAAATGAAAACAGCATATGCCAAGAAAAAGAGTTCTTGATCAACTTCTTGCATTCATTTGGATACTGCTGATTACCCTGTCACTCACAGATGAACGTTGGGAACTACTACAGTTCACTCAACAGGTTGTTGCTAGTACTGGCTTAGAATTTCATACACACCTGCTCTCCTCTAAAGGGACATGTAGATAAGGAATAAGGAATAAATTAGGAATTAATTTTGGCACCATATGGTATATTAGCGTGGTTAACCTTTATTGGTTGATCAATCATGTTTGCTGTAAACAATGTCTGCCATAACAATTGTTTTAGTTATATGACCTTCTTTTTACCTCTAGCTTATCAGTATGAGATCTCTGGTTAGGTTAGCATAGTATTATATGCATCATTCTTATGGCACCCAGTTGATGGCTAGAATGCCTATATGCCATTCATGCACATGCATCCCAGATTAATCTGGAAACATTTGAGTTCTAATAAATTAGAGCCTGGCTGATACTACCATGCGATGTTCCAAAGCAATGAAGTGTTGATGGCTAGAATAGCTTCCTGGAGCATGTGCTAACCTTGCCCATTGCATAGCACATACTTTCTCACCCTGAACATAATAAGTTAGGGATTTACAGTTGGCACTAGAGCCTGCTCCTGTGGGTGTACATCTTGCAGGGATCAAGACAGATGTGAGAAGAGTTAGTCTTGCCTCTGTAAGAGGCATATTTTCCCTTGTCTTAAGTTCTAAGAAATATTGGGGGAGGGGGTTGCAGGGAACAAACAATCTGGATGGCATTGAAAGGAAAAGACAGTCTGAAAAATTAGAGACAAAGATTTGTCCTTGGATTTTGCGTGGCTAACACTGAAGGCCATGTGTGCCTCATTAGGCGCGGCTTTGGTTTAGAGAACTCAAAGCTCTTTCAGGTATCAAATTATGTCTTTCAGCAGTTTAATAGAAAGCAAAGTTTGCAGCCCATCGGATACTTTTTTGTGTATATGGCCATGGGAATACATACAACTGCCTAGGTGTGAGATGGAGGTTGAGAAAGGGAGGCTTGCACCTTTAAAATGTTAAGACTCTGAGCCAAATTCTTTCTCTGTTTGGCACTGTGCAGTATTACCTGGCTGCATTTGTTGCGATGGCAAGATGCAGGCAATTGGAGCTTCAGTAAAAGTCCATGTGTATGAGCAGCCTTTTGCAGGAAAAAAGTTAAATGGGAGGAAATTACTGTATGTAAGCCATTTGAGAAAGCAATCTCCCCACCCCCGGTCTCTTCTGTATTTAATGCTCTCAGGCCAAAAAAATTGGTTCTTTTTACTTGTCTTCCCTCCGCCTCCCCTAATTCTGCCTCTGCTCACCAGTTCTCCCCTGCAAATACACCCTGGGCTGTTCTTATCCCCTTCCTTTCCCCCTTCTGGCTAGGGGGAAAGATGCCTGTGGGGAGCTGTTTTCTGGAGAGAATCAGTAGATGGGACATCTCTCCCTTCCAGCTTTCTCCACATTTATGTTACCTCAGCAAAAGTAATTTGGAAGAACTGTGGCTGCCAAGATGTAAAAGTTCTGCCCTGAGTGCACTTTGAGAACACTTGAACTGAGCATAGAGAGAACACCTGGTCTAATAGTTTCCTGCTCCTAAACTTCTCTAAACCAAACTGCCACCTTTAGGAATGTTCTTCCACTCTTCAATCCTGCCTTCTCTTTAAAAGATCAGCCTCTATCCCTTTTCTATCTCAAAGCACAGCTAAAAGAATCCACACTTGCTTTGGCCAGTTGAAATGGGTCAAGTGCCAAAGTATTTAGGTGTTCTCCAACTGTTGGGGAACTTGTGTCTGGCAGCTTCTTGGATGCCCTCCAAGTGGTTTCACACATCTGTGTGTGGAATACCATTGCCTTAACTTTTTCTACCTGTAACCTAGTTGATTGGAGTCTGTAGACTGTGAGCCAATTTTCCAAGAAGTTGAGGTGGTTGGGGAAAGGAATCTGACTTCACCCTTTCCTCTGTCTCAACTTTTTCTTGGCTGAATGTCATCTCTGAAACCAACAAATCTAAAGTGATTGAGGGTGGAGAGCCTGGAGAACTAATGAATTTCTCTGATTAGAGATTTTCAAAAGAAAAAGACATATAAGAAGGCAAGGCCAGAGATACGACATGAGCACTCACTGTGTCAAATATCAGTGGGACTAGAGAATCGCCACTTATTTTAAGTTACTAGTCTTGCTAACTGTGTATTGGACAGATCCCCATTAAAGCACCTGCTGCAATTTAAAATGGAGAATTGGCTAACCTTTGTAAAATTGGTTGTGAATAAAAACAAACAAACATTAGATTTGGCAGGGGGATCAGTAGAACCAGATGAAAAAGGACAGGCAGACATGGATAAGGATAAAAATGTATGGAGTATAGATGGAACTAGAATCAAGAAATTGATCCCATTTGCAGCTTCAATGGACAATACTTGTTACCTTGTTTCTGTGTTGCTTATTGTACCACATTGAAGAAAAGGCTGGATGAAAGTGAGCAATGCCACTTCCTCTTTAAAAATATTACATACTTTAAATAGGGGTTTTTGCATACCCTTAGTCAGAACAGGGTGGCGCTGTGGTCTAAACCACTGAGCCTCTTGGGCTTGCCGATCAGAAAGTCGGCGGTTCGAATCCCTGTGATGCGATGAGCTCCAGTTGCTCGGTCCCAGCTCCTGCCAACCTAGCAGTTAAAAAGCACGCCAAAAAGTGCAAGTAGATAAATAGGTACTGCTCCAGTGAGAAGGTAAACAGCGTTTCCGTGCGCTGCTCTGGTTTCAGTGTTCTGTTGCTCCAGAAGCGGTTCAGTCATGCTGGCTACATGACCCAGGAAAACTGTCTGCGGACAAACGCCGGCTCCTCAGCCTGTAAAGCGAGATGAGCACTGCAACCCCAGAGTCATCTGCGACTGGACTTAACTGTCAAGGGTCCTTTACCTTTACCTTTTTTTAGTCAGAACATCCTCAAAACTAGCCAGGTTAAACTTTTATTCACAGGACAGCTTGAAATTTCAGCAACAGATGGAGGAACAGCAATAATCTGAGGAGTGTGTTGTAGTTAGGACTATGCTCAATGTTCCCCAATTCCTAATTAGATGAAGTGCCCCATATTCTAGATGTGGACTTTGGTGGGAATTTTTACACTTTCCTGAAGTTGTTCACTGCTGTTGTTTCCATATTGGTTGCTGTCCTGATACTCCCTCTTTCTCCTTTCTATAATGATATAAGCCAAATCATTAATTGCTTAAGATGATGAGCCGATTTGATTTGGCTGCATGTTGCTGACATCATTGAAGGCAAATAAAGCCATTTCAGAGTAAGGGCATGCTTCCTACATAAGCAACTGCTTTAGCTCACTTTTGAAGAAATTGCCTGAAGGGGAAGTGCCTTTTTAATGTGCGGGGGTGTGTGTGAGTTTTTTCATAAAAATGTTTCTCCTTTCAACTCTCCAGCCAGCACAGCTCTAAATGTAGTTCATGCTCCTATTGACTTGACCATGAGGAAGGTAGCCATTTGAGTACAGATGGATCATATTTTTTGTTTCAGTTATTTTGTTTAATTAGGTTAAGTGGATTGTGATTTCGTGGAGTAATATAGGAAACATAAACTGGGTAAATTAAGAAAGCGCCCATTTATCTAGAAACCTAAATGGCTGTTCAAGATGTAAAGTAATATATTATCTGAGGAAACTATTTAATTGCTGGCAATCATGTCTATGTTACAGTCAGTCCTGGCATTCATGTATATGTGTATGATTCTCTTACACACCCACACCCACACCCACACCCACACCCACACACCCCTAGCCAACAGCCTCAGTGGCCAACCAGATGTATATGGGAAGACAAGAAGAAAAGTATGATTATTGCTTGTTTGATAATCTGTGTATTCCTTGCATTATATTTTCTATATGGAAATGACTTCAGTATAGAAAAACTCCCAGCTTTTGAAGACATTATTTTAAGTATGTTCTCTCAAAACAACATTTAATAGAAACAATGAGAGAGGGTTGTTGGGCTTAATCTTTTGTTAGGAATCCAGTCTCCTAAATAGCTTATTTTTAATGAGCTTTGTGAAGTTGAAGGGTGCCCCTGAACACATGCATACGTTTTCCATAGAGGAGTGGAGAGTGCAAATTCCCCTAGACTAGTGATGGTCAAACTTGGCCCTGCAGCTGTTTTGGGACTACAATTCCCATCATCCCTGACCACTGGTCCTGTTAGCTGGGGGTGATGGGAGTTGTAGTCCAAAAACAGCTGCAGGGCCAAGTTTGGCCATCACTGTCCTAGACTGATTTGAATCCTAAGCACTCTCTCTTTAAAAAGAAACCAGTAGAAATTTCATCTCAACTAGCCTGGTCTTTTTTCCACGATTGACAATGGAACTTAATAATACCACGATTATTCTCGTCCCCCTCCTCCACTGGTGCATTCACATTTGTATTTCCTCTACTTTAATCGGGAGAGTCAAAGAAGGGCAAATGTCTGTTGGGAACCTTCCTGCTAAGTGTCGGAAGGAACTCAATCCATGTTAAATTAGACAGTTTGGATGAGTCAAGTCTCTCTCTCTCTCTCTCTCTCTCTCTCTCTCTCCCTCCCTCCCTCCCTCCCTCCCTCTCTCCGTTTCTCTCTCTTTCTCTAGAAGCTGTCCATCCTATAAATAAAATCTTTTGATAGATGGAACCAATTAAACATGTCTATGGAGAAGTTTTTTTTTACAAATGCTGCACGAAAGAAGAATATTTTTCTCTGCTCTGAAACAATGAAGGCTTCTTTTTCCTCTTTTTCTGTAGAATTGTGGATTGTGATAGCTGGAAAGGGTTTTCTAACTGTAGCCTCTTCCCAGTCGTAAAATAAATATTGCTTAAGATGCTGTGATAGATACATCTTTGCAGACTTGGTCTTTAAATATGTACCATATTGAAGGTGGGCAACTAACTTTACCCTTATTTGAGTTTAATATACTCCATACTATACTACAGATTATACTTTACAATGCAATGCCTTTATTAGACCAGTCAAAATGTTGCTAAAGAACAAGTTTGAGAGAGGAACTTGACTGTCTCTGTCTCAATGTGTATTACAGCTATTCTCTATTTTGTTTAACAAAGTAAAAGTGTCTGATTAACATGCATAGCTTCCCATATTAGTCAGTCAGTCGGCAGTTCGTTGTCCAGCCCAAGCTGACCAGATCTTTGGCTGGAGGTGAGAATTCTCTTTCATCACAGTACCGTGCTGGATGTATGCCATAAATTACAGGTCTCTAGGGAACTTACTTGCACCAAGCTGCCCCTAACTAAATTCTTTCTCCAATATTTATATTTGTTTTTCTCTTTATCCCAGTTTTTGGCATGCAAGGAGCACCCAAGCAGCTAAAAACCATCACCAGAACTTTAAAAATTTGCAAAATATATAATGCATTAACCGCAGCTTCTCTCCCTCCTTATATGGTTTATTATCTTTTAAACTGGATGAGGACTGGATAGACCTTTAAATGGAGGTCTGTCCTCTGTCACCACCCTAACTACTAGTTATGTTCTGGTTTTCCAGATGTAACTTCCTAGTAAACATGCATAGGTTTCCACTGTTAGCCAGTGATATCACCCTTGCAAGGAGTAAGGAGGATTTTGACATCTATTGTCCGGTAAAGTGACCGGACCACTGATAATGAGGTGTCTTGTGAGCCCAGGTGGGGATATTCAAGAAGCATGCCATCCTGTGCTTGGAGGTAATGCCCCTTTTGATGCACACATCAAACTGAATGCAATCTTGTAAACGTCTCTCATGAAGCTTAATGATTGCTAGCTCATTTGAGAATAAGTTTTGGCTTCCTTCAGGGTTTTCTTTTGTTCATGACGTGTGTGTGTGTGTGTGTGTGTGTGTGTGTGTGGAGTCCTGGGTGGAGGGAAGAGCCCTGGCTTAAAAAATGCTTTTGTAGCACATATTTCATCTTGCAGGCGCCGAGGAGTAATGTACAGGGGCAGATTTTCCTGTGGGTGTTTAGAAGTGGGCGGGGAAGGGCCTTGTTTATCTTCTGAGTGACTTATGAGCGAAGGGGCAGGCATGCTTCTGCAGCAGCTTGTTGCTATAAGGCAGGAAGGGTGAGCCTTCGTCCCTGGTGGCAGAACACACTTTTTTTTTGTTCCTTTGCTTTAAAAAACAACAACCACACACACCTATACGATTAAGACTGAGAAAATGAACCAGAAAATATGGATGGGGTGGGTGAGATGGGAAGACTTTCACAGGGGGGGAGAAATAGGCCTGGGCATCGCTCAGCTGGGTGGCTGGGGAGTGGAGGCAGGGAGAAAGAATCCAATGTAAGCATTTTGTGTTGGTTTAGAGAACTTTGAAGAATGACTCTTACCATGCGAAGTGTTGTGGTTTTTTTTTACAGCTGCACAAAAAAAAGATGACTCTGTATGTACATCTCGGTTTAACAGGGGGACACACTGGGGGGGAGTTTTATTTGGAAAGAGCTTGAGCAGCGGAGCAGAGGGGAACTGTGTAAGCAGGAATCTGGTGCTGTAATTCTTCTTCTTCTTCTGTTTCAAGTAAACAGTCCTTTGCGCCCTCCCCTCTTCCCTTCCTCCACCCCCACCTCCCTTATTCAACACGGCTCATGTGTTTTCTATTTAAGGACTGCAGCGTGAGGCAAATATGATTGGCGTCCACAGCCCCCCTTTTGACTCTTAGCTTGAGCCTGTGAGAGCGAGGCAGGAGCTCAGCCTATGACGGGGAGAAGTTGTGGACTTGGGTGTTTTTCCGCCCTCCCATTTAGCGAGGCAGCCCTGGATTTCAAACCCCCCACCTTTTTTTTTATGCTGGTTGTGACCGAGATGGATTTTTCTCTCTGAATGGGAACAAGGATGGTGTGGCAACCATGTTGGAAAGAGGTTTATTTTCAAACTCCATCCTGCAGCTTGCTATCTAACAATATGCTGTTGTGTTAAACTCTTGGGTGGTTTTTTTCCCCCCTCCCCCTTCTCCCCTTTTCAACCAGTCTCCAATGTTCTTCTGTACTACTCAGCTGTGGGCCAGAGGAAACTTCTTCTATATGGCCAGCCATTTGGGGATATGCCGCGAGCCAAGGTTGTATTCTGATTGGCTTGGCATTGGTGACAAATCAGCCTATCATGAGTCGGATGGACAGAGGTCGCTCTCGAGGAGCCATGGCTGGAAGCTGGCTCACAGCTTGCTTTTTCCCTTCCCCAGGTGCTGACGCTAGTTCTGAACCTATGATCCTGGACCAGTATGTGGTGGTGTCTAACTATGAGAAACAGGAAAACTCGGAGATCAGCCTGCAAGCTGGAGAGGTGGTGGATGTAATAGAGAAGAATGAAAGTGGTAAGACATACTCTGAAAGAAATATATATGTACTTTTCTCCATTCTCCCTCCAGTCCTTCATGTATCTTATGTATTGCATCTGGTAGAGTGCCTGACTCGAGGTGGGATTTCTCTCTTCTCTCCCCCTGCCCCCACCAGTTGGTTTGGGCTTGGGGCCAAAATATTGCCTTTTGCTGTAAGAATGTCTTCCAAGCCTGTACATTAATTACCCAATATACATTAATGGAAAGTCTTGGGTTGTGGAGGAGGGGGATGTACACAGCATATGCTATGTATTTACTAAGAATGATACCGTTTCTCTGCTGGAAAAGATCTCAGTATTTCCATTACTTGCCACTATTTTTGAAGGATTTATTGGATGGACTATTTAAAAATATTCCTCTGGGGATGAAAACCTGGCATGGCAGTTCAACCTTTCACCCAATCACAAAGGATTGAGAGGTGGTAGGATCTTTATAGATTATATGGCAGTGAAAGGTTTAAAGTGCTTTTAAAAGTGGTTGTGTGGGTAACATTTGCTTTTAACTGATATAATTCATTTTCGAATAAGTATTATCGTTGCTCAGTGAAGTAATTCATTCTGAGTGTTTCACTGGCTAACAGCAATCTGTCTTCTATGTTGTAATGAGATGTATCTAGTTTAGACCATGAACAATGCAATTTGAACTGAAACCTTCTAGCAAGAGACCACAGAGATTTTAAAATACACACTTCTAGTCTCCAATTAATAAAATGTATCAATCCAAGACTGTATATGTAACAGATAGAAAGTATTGGTGTTCATGTGTGACCTTTGGAAGCCAAAGACTGGGTTCCTTTTTAAGGGAGAAAAGCATCAAAGCTCTTCGGGCAATTCCTAGATTTTGTTTCTCTACATAGCAGTTTTAAATAAGCTATCAGACAAAACAAAAATGTCCAAAGTCTTGAATACATGTTACCTGGCAGTTTAGAGTTAACCTTCAGTCAAGTGTCTGTCTCTTCATCCACCTTCACACTAGCCATTCTTTCTGACCTCCCCCTGACTTTACCCACCTGACTTTACTCCACCACTGGCATTTCCCCTTGTTGGAGGACAAAGCTGTGCCTTCCAGGCAGCCTTCCCTGTGACCCCTAAGCTAACAGGCTGCTCTTGGGTGTGGTAGATGTCCCATCACCGCTGTTGCAGTAAGATTCAGTGGTCAGTGTGGCCAGCTTCTCCACATGAGCTGGGTGTGTGTGCTCTTGTCATTTGCCACACACAATAAAATACCTTGGGGTCAGCTCTGAGAAAAGTTGGAAGCTTATTGGGCAACTAGTGTGGTAGGTTGAGACACTCTGGCCAAGGGTTTAAAACATGGTTTCCATTATCTTCTACAGAAGACTATAGTCCCAGTACTGTGGTAAAGGTGGGAGTGTAGCTCTACAGCATTCCACCCCCCAACCCAGTACAAGAGCAATGACTTAATCTGCTGGAGTTCCAGGGTGGTTGATGGTCTGTCCTTGCTCAGACAAGTGAATGGGGACAAGCTTGTTTGTAAGAGGCTAGCACAGAGGAAATAACAGAATAAGGGAAATAATCAAGCAGAGGCTAGATGCTGTGTTTTTCTTTGACGAGGTTCCTGCTTCATGCTAGTAGTTTAAATGGTAACACTCAGTGCTTTTTCCCCTAAAAAAAAGTTTAGGGGTACTCTCATTTTCCTACTCATATTGAAATACTGCCCCTTAATGAGGCCAAACTTAGATTCACAAAATGTTTAGGGGTATGCGTACCCCTGCATCCCCCCCCAGAGAAAAAAGCACTGGTAACACTTCATTGGAATATTGTTTTTGCCCTCCTAATCATAAGCTACAGGCTGTCTTTTCAGTTGGCTGAGATCTCTTGTTAAAGCTCAGTGTGTTATGAGTCGAGCCTGTGCAGTCAGAAGTAATCCCCAGTTCAATAGAGCATATTCACCACAAGTGCATAGGATCAACACAGAAGCCTCCATTATCGAACTGTCCTTGGGAGGCTGTCATAATGAGCTTCTACACTTCAAAAGTGACCACTATACCATTATACAATATTCCAGAATAAAGGATTGATTAGAGTCATTATCAGCAAACCAAGAGTCTACTAGCCACTATCCATAACATAACTGATGCATATGGCTATGTTCAAAACATACAGGAGGCAGAGTGAGGCAACCACCTCAGGTGGTGGATGCTTGGGGGGTGGGGACAACAGCAAGATGTTGGAGGAGGCAAAAGCTGTGTGTAATGTACAGCTTGCCCTATTACACGCCCCCCCCCCCCCGGCTAGCTAGCCTGCTACACTTGGATTCAGTGGAGGATGTTGCCCCATGACCACTGTTGAAGTAAGATTCAGCTAAGGCCGCATTCCACTACTCCTGGAAACTGTAGTTTGTCAAGGGTGTTGAGAATTGTAGCTCTGTAAGGAGCAAACTGTGGTTCCCAGGATTCTTTGCTGGAAGCGGTGTGCTTTAGATGTGCTTTAAATGTGTGGTGTGGATGTGACATTCTGCTCAGTTTCTGCACATAGAGGAGAGAGAGGGTGCTATCTTTTCCGTTTGCCGCAGGAAGCACAATGTCTTAGTTTGCCCCTGCTAGGAAGCTGCATAGCAGAAGGCCCGGAAGTAGTGAAAAATTTGAAATGGAAAATTTTTGAAAAGTTTCCTATGCAAGCGTGGGTAATTTGCACAGAACAATTTTCCTTGGAAATTTTTTAGTTTTGGGAAATCTCCTGATGTCCTAGAGAGGGATCGGATTTAGGGATCGGATTTATCTTACTTGTGTTTAGTAACCAAAGCTAAAACCTTTAGAATTGCCAAGATAGCTTGATACTGTGTTTGAAATGGGTGTGCATTTATTGTTAACGAAGTTACAAAACTTTTTTTTCTGGAAAAAAACAAAACTAGAAGAATTTCTGCTGTGAAACATTTTCCACCCCCATCATAGCAGAGAAGTGAAAGTGAGAGAAGGCTGGACCAATTACAAATGCACATGTGTGAAATGAAGGGAGCATTAGGGAAGAGGTATGGGGGGTGGACACACAATGCTTTAAAATTAAACACTTGCTTTGAGGGACAGAGTGATAAAGGAGGACAAAAATGGAAGGAGAAAGATGGGCGGAAGCCTGGTTATGGCAGCATCTTCCCAGTGTAGTGAGGGGAACCCTTAAAAGAATGACCATCTGGCAGCCAACTGGGCAATTCCAGAGAGCTTCTCCATCCCTTTATGGAGGGACTGTCTGACTCCCACTATTCTTCTGGTCTTGGCTATTGTTTCACATATAACAAACAATGAGGATCCAGAATGTCCAAGTAATGGAAGAAGAGTCAGACTCCAGGCAAACAAGGGAATTTGCTCTGGCACTTCTTTAGAATGTAAAGTCTGTCTTTCAGGTTGTTTCTTTGCAGTGAAACTGCCAACCATTTGTCACATGATTCACACACACATCCCCAATGGTCCTAAGTGGAAACTCTAGTCAAGATGCCACCTTTGTGTTAAATTCCGTTGTTTGTCTTTTTGTTGTGATCTATCATTTTATGGTGCACCGTATTTTTCTTTTTCTTTTTTCTTTTCTTTTTCTGTACACTGCCTCTTTCTGCTGAGTAGCAGATAGCTACTGCACAGGGAGATGTGGATGAGTTTCTTGTGGCCATTGCATTGTTTCCATAGGCATGTAAAAGATAATTATTTTAAATATTCTTCCTCATGGCTGCAGAGGACTTGTACCTAAAGTCATCTTACCTTAAAAGTAAGGGAAAGAAATGCATTCTTTCCACTCAAGGCAGTCAATGCATCATACTCCACATTTTAAGATATATAGAAATATACTCTCTGGATATGACCTTTCAGAAGGTTTGCTTATGTGTGTGTTTTCTGGTGCAGTGTTTTTGCTAAAGAAAGAAGCAAGCGGCAAGGTGGATGAGTTTTGGAGGTTGCCCACTGATGTTGCACAGTTTGGGAAGAGAGACTTGCCTCAAGGCCAAATCCATATTGGTGCATTAAGTTTTTTGAATGGCTCTGGCAGGTTTCACTTTTCAGCCTAATACAAAGCCAGAATGTTGGTCTAACTAGTCTTATACTAGGCAAACTAATATAACAAAGCTTAGGGGACACATGATTATCATCTTGGAGATGATTGAGTGAACTTTGGTATCTTAAAGGGTCAGACTAGGCAAGGCATAGCCCTGCCAGAATGAATACTGAACGAGTGTGAATGTGTTAAGACTAAGCAGAACCCTGGCTGCATTTGCCCTGTAGCAGTTGATAAATAGGTCTTTACCCATATCAGAAGATGACTCTTAACTCTTCTGTAACCTTTCTGGAACTTTCATTTATTCAATAGGGAACATCCCATTCCCATAAACTAACTGTTGAGTTAGGATATGCCCCTAGAAGCAATCAAGAGAATTCTGTGGCACAGATTCCCCCCCCCCCTTCTGTCACTGTTTTTGACATGCACCGGGTCTTAGACTGCAACACTAAACAGATCTACTCAAAAGAAAGCCGTGTTTCATTCAATGAGGCTTACTCCCATGTAAGTTTGGCAAGGATCACTGCCTTACTAAATTTTGTTCCATTTGTCCTATCCACTTGTGTTGGAGGGGTACTTGACAATAATGGCTACAAAACATTTAGACTCCAGGAGTTAAGATGAGTACGGGCATGTTCTTCCTACAGCAGCCTTGCTTCCAGAAGTAAGTGTTGGCTACTGGGTCTGTTATGTGCTCCTCCTCCAACTTACTTGGTTGAGATAGTCTAGAAAGTGAGATAGTCAGTAGTCTTCAGTGGTCTTGTGTGAGCCTTGCTGACTTTTCCAGTTTGTTGCACAAGTCTTGTATACAGTTAAAACACTGTTGGTTAGTATATAAACAATTTGAGCTAACTTCTTGAGTAAGGGATTCAGACCACCCCAGTTCATTTTGGAAGGGTTTTCCTGTTTTGGTTGGTTATTGCCTGGCAGCAGGGAGTGCCATTCTAGGATAAAGCAATACGCTTAATTGCAGCTGGAAGTGAAATGATTGGTACTAGTCGCTAGGTAACTGAGTTTTCATCACACCTCATTCCTTCTGAGATCAGATTGGAGAGGTTACAGTTGATCTGCGTGGAAAGTTGCCTTGTACTGTGCCAGAGGATTAGTTTTTAAAAGTGGTGAATGAGAAGTAAAATGAATCTTTATATGCCCATTGGGTATGGCCATGTAAAGTTAACTCTTCCCTTTCTCTCTCTCCTTGTCACTTTAACCTCCTGTCACACTCTCTCTTCTCTATCAGCTGGAAGGCTGGGAGGATGCTAGATGGGAAGAGATCTGCTCTAGTTGTGCCTTAGGCTATAACACAGTGGCTGGAAAGCTGATATATTTCAGATGATCAAGCTTCAGCGAACAGTTAATTCTGTTGACATTCCTTTGCTCCAAGAAAGTAGAGAAGGGATTGTGAGGTGTTTAAATATCTGATGGGTTATGTGGGGCAGCTGTCTGGCTGTCCCAGGGCTGCCTTGTCCCAGAGGAAGAAATGCTATCTGGCTACCAGGAAAGTGCTTTGATTTGAGACTCTCTTAACAAAAAATATGAAACTGCTTATTATATCACTGCTCCAGGATGCTAGCTTTGCTTTTTTTCCCCTGTCCTCTTTTAAGAGACAAACTTCCTTGTCTGCCTGCTTTGCTGGCTTGGCACTGGCATGGAGTTATTGAACAAGGACAAGTAATTGATGGGAAATAATATATTTATGACAACAGAGGTATTAATGCTGGAAGTGTCATTGTACAGTTCTTTGCCCCTCACAAACTTTAAACCAAGTTTGAGACTAATTGGTGTGCTGACTTCAGCCCTGTCCAACAAAGGCAGGTGAACTTGGAAAGGTGGGAGCATAAATAAATTTTGAGAATCCTTCACTTTCCCTAAGTGTGCTTGTCATAAGGACTGGATTTTTATAACCTAAGGCAATCTGTTGGTATTTTCCGGTGGTATTCAACCACATGATGGGAAATTTAGGTTACACAATTATAGTTGGTGCTCCTGCACAAGAAGCCTGCTTCCCTGCCCACCTCAAATGTAATAAGGAAAATGATGGGGAAATGTACTGGAAGTGTGAGATAACAACTGCTTGATGCACATTGTATAAGTTCCCCACAAACTATTATAATCAATGCTTGATAAGCAGCTAATATTGTTCAACCTCCATGAAAACTTTGTCCAAACAAATCAGAGTGAATTCTCAATGTACAGGTTGCCTAGAAGCAACCCTACTGTGAGCAGTGCAAATGGTTTACGCCAAGACAGGTTAGGTCTCATAAGGGCTGTATGTTGAATTGTTGGCAGAAGCTAGGACAGAGTAATGGGAGCTCACCCCATTACACGGATTCGAACCGCCGACCTTCTGATTGGCAAGCCCAAGAGGCTCAGTAGTTTAGACCACAGCACCACCCACATCCTGCCAACCTAGCAGTTCGAAAGCATACCAATGCAAGTAGATAAATAGATACCGCTGTGGTGGGAGAGTAAACTGCGTTTCCATGTGCTCCGGCATTCGTCATGGTGCTCCATGCAGCAGAAGTGGTTTAGTCATGCTGGCCACAGGACCCGAAAAGCTGTCTGTGGACAAACACCGGCTCCCTAGCTTGAAGCGAGATGAGTGCCGCATCCCATAGTCATCTTTAACTGGACTTAACCATCCAGGGGTCCTTTACCTTATGTTGATTTGTACAGTCATGGCCTTGAGTGTAACCCCCATGGAAATGGTTCCAGCACACTTAACTTTTTGCTATCAGGTTTCTCTGGGTTTAAAATGCAGGCTTGTACTCCCCAGCAGAGCTCCATTATCATGCTTGGTAGCATGCACCACTCCAAACAACTTTACTCTCGTGACTTCTCCAAAGGGAGCAGCCTCATTAGATGTTCTTGCATTATGTTCAACTTGAATCCTAATCATATGCAACACAGATGGCAATGTCACGCCAAAATTACTCAAGATGGACATGCATATTTTACTGTGTCATGCAATGGTCTTGTGATGTTTCAATTTTTACTGGAACTCGGAAGAACGTGGAAGGATGTTAGAACATATTTTAAACATACAAACACACAGGAGAAAGAGACTTGGCTGCAGACCAGAGCTCCCCAGTGCCACCCACAGAGCAGAGAATTTGTTTTTGTCTTTGGTTATTTTAGTAATGAAAATTATCTTGGATGAGTGTTTGTGAAAGTTACAAAGAATTATAGGAAAGGGACTCCTTTGTCCAAAAAGCAGATATTTAGGAGCTAGGAGTAAACATTGGGCCATTCCAGTCATAATAGGTTATAGCTTATTTTTATGAGGAAATGATGCATAAAGTATAGGGCACTTTAGTTATTCTAAAGAGCAGGGATGGGGAACCTGGTGCCCTCCAGATGTCGTTGGACTACTGCTTCCATCAGCCCCAGTCATCATAGCCAGTGGTCAGGGATGATGGTAGTTACAGCCAGACAATTTTCCCACCTCTGCTACACTTCTTGAAGAGTGTCCATCCACTGTTCTTTTGTAAACACATCCAATACTTTCCTGCCTGAAGGTGGATAAAATGAAAGCCCTATTTTGAACGTGGAGACAGTGTTACTTGGTTACATGTTGTATCAGTACCAGATCTGCTGAACATAGCACACCTGCTCACATACTTTGGCCTAACAGGTGCCAAACCACGTCTGTGTCTGCAGTCTGGACAGATAGAAATACAAGCTTAGGTCCCTGGTGGGCTGCATTTGGCTTGGTCAGTCACAAGTGGTACTTGCCTGTTCTGCACAAATAGTTGCTCCCAACTAGCCAAGATATGACATTCAGATCAACGAGGCTATGTTGCATGACTAGTGCCCAAGTGGTGAATACATTTGATAATGTTGTTTTGGAAGCAGTTGATATTTTCAGTTCTCATTTGGGGTGACTTTTGTTGATGAAGAGAAGCTGGGGAAATGGCAAAAGCATGGGTGATCTGTGCTTCGTATTTCTGCATAATGTCCAAAGCGGAACTCTTTCCTTCCTCATTGGTGATCTGTGTTTGCACTTCATGTGCAACTTTGTTTTTAGTTTCTGATACAAGAGTGGTCTTCTGGCATTGCTGAGCCACCCAAGCCAGGAAGTGAAGTGGAGATAGTGGCCTCTAGGGCCATATAACCTATTGATAGTTGATGTGAATTCCAGGTGATGGAAGGAGATGTAATGCATGGTGGAGATTACAGAATAAGCTCTTTTGTGTTTTTGGTTAACAAGTTTGAGATCCCGGATTTTTGGTTATTCACCAAAAAGTTTGTTCCTAAAACTTTGTGCTTCATGGGGGCAAGACCTACCGGAGATGAGTTGCTGTGCTCATTAGGCCTGACATTACTGTGCGGAACGTGTTTTTGCTAATAAAGACTTAACTCCAACTTGCACGGTGTGATTTACTGCTCGCTTTCTCCTGACAGCTTGATACTTTATATGAGTGGATGGTTTATTAATATTTTTTATAAATCAATCAGTAAAATACATATTGCATGCAGAAGCTCCCAGCCCCTTTCCCCTGCATTTTTAGATTCTGAAGAAAGACTTCTATCAGAAAACCTGACAACTGCTAATCTGTGTATAGACAGTACTGAACTAGATCACTAAATGTTTTGAGCCTGTGGGCGCATTTGGATTTTTGAGGGATTACTGAAGGCACCTGCTTCTTGTTCCTTATTTCCTCTCCATCCTCTCAGTCATTTTCTGTCTCTCTTTTTTTTGGGGGGGGGATGCTTTAATTTAGAACCCTCAGAAAATCAGTCTTCTTGAATTTGCATGATTTCACACAGGGCCCCCACAAAACCACCTGAAGTTTAAACTGAAGCTTAAAGGGGTAGACCTTGCAGCACCACAAAAACAGTGGTCCACTTTGCTTCCCCTGCTCCAGTGTCAATCTAAGCATTGAAAAGCACATAGAACAGAAAGAGGAAGCTGGGAAAGAGCATCACTCTTCTAACTTCCTTCCTTAGCTTAGTACATACAGTCATACCTCGGGCTGAAGTAGCTTCAGGTTAAGCATTTTCGGGTTGCGCTCTGCGGCGACCTGGAAGTAACGGAGCATATTACTTCCAGATTTTGCCACTCACGCATGCGCAGATGCTCAAAATGACGTCACGTGCATGCACGGAAGCGGCGAATCATGACCCGCGCACGCGGGTTGCGTTTGCTTCAGGGTGCGAACAGGGCTCCAGAATGGATCCCGTTTGCATCCAGAGGTACCACTGTAGTACCTTAGTACATAGGTACTGTCTAGGAAGTGGGGAGGAGGATGTCAACCACCCTTACCATCTCATGACAAAGGGGGCAGCAAGCCGGGAGGAGAGCTCAGAAAATTCTCAAGACCATCATTGCTACCATGGGTACCACACTGTTAATCCCAGATATAATCTGTTTGTCTAACTCTGCCCAAGTCTTATGTTCCCAAACCTTCCATTTCAAGAAACAAACCATTCCACTTGTTAAATTGGGATAGGTAAAGGGAACCAAAGATGTGGTGTTGCACCTGATCCCTGTTTAAAGAAAAGGCTTATGTAGATGCATTTCAAAGATGACTTTTGTATAAGAAATCTGTTCAGAGAGGCATGAGACCTCCACTATGCAATGTGGCAGCATATAGATATTTCCACATTCTCATCTTCCAGCCCTCGGTTGGAAAAGTCTAACTGGAAACTTCATTACTTAATTTTAATTTCTCCCTTCATTTTCACTTCTGGCTCCTTCCAATTGTCAAGGTTTTTTTGGCTCCTTGTTCCCACTTCTCATGGAGAAATCCACAACTGCTCAGGCTGGCAGCTCAAAAGGGAAAAAATTGTATGCCTGGGCCTCTCTCCCCCCACCAGACTCCCTTACACATTTTCCCCTCTGTTTATGGAACTATTGCCAGCTTGGGGACCTTGAAACCTCCCCAGGAAAAATCTGCTTTCTATATTAAAACACTCTAATGTTATAATGATTGGGTTTATATATCCGCCAAATAGGTCACCAGCTCAGCAGTTTTGTTGAGAGAGCAAGACCCGGAAAGATCTAAGGGATATTACAAAGGATTCCCATTCCCTTTGGTAATTACTTTGTGGATTAGATTTCTAGAGTTACAGCATCTGAAAAACTATTGTCTCACAACAAATGTAACTGATCTGTAGAAAACACAACCTGAAGAAAGACACAATGAGCTTTCGTAAATGAGGAAAACCTTTAATAATAATAATAATAATAATAATAATAATAATAAATAGTAATAAACTATTGTTTTGATGGGCTCTAGTTACATCATAAAACTTTTTTGCAAGGGGGTGTGTTCCCCTTTTCCCCTTCAAGTAAAGTTTTTTTAAACCTTAAGATTTTCCTCACTGATTTAAAAGATACGTCAGCTGATTTCCAACCCTTTCTTCTGTTTAATCAGGGGAAATGATTAATGACTTATCTGCATGCTTGTTTTGACAAATTGGTCTGCAAATATCAAATAAAAGACGGATGGTGCATTTTTATGTCAGACGAGGACAAGATTAATAAAGCGTGCTGTGTTGGTTTTATTTTCCCCTGGGCTGCACAGCAAATAAGCAGTTTCAATAATGCATTGGCAGTCAAAGAACCTGCAATCATTAGCAGACTGGTTTCAATTGCAACCAGAAATATGTGTCCTTTCTCTCCAGTACTTTTCTCTCTTTCTTGGTTTATATGGTAGGTTTTTGTCTTCCCAGCAACACAATTACTTAGTTCTTTTTGACATAAACACATGCTTGTTAAACAGCCACAGCTTATTAACTTCATAGCTGGGGTGGGGTGGTCAGTAAAGAAATCTTCCTTGGATTTCTCTTCCTCTTCCCCTCCCACTTCAGGGAATACTACTTCTATTAAATTAGTGCACAGATGGTTAATATCACTCACAGACAGACAAACCAGCATGGCTGATGCATCACTCTGCTCCACTCTTAGCGTACCTCCCAAATTCCTTATGCAGCAAAAGGCAGGGTGAACATTAGGGAGGACAAGGAATCCAGGAAAGCCCTCTGCTTATGTCTAATGTCCTGCTCCCTCAGTTTTTCTTATCTTCTTCTGGTATCACAAGTTGCAACAGAACATAGAGGATGGACTTAACAGTAGAGTGAACAAAGTGGGTAAAGTTTTATTAAGGTTTGCAGAGTTTATAAGATGAGCCCAAACTGATTTGTCAAGTCAGTCATGTTAAGAGTTCATCTCTGGAACGTGTGCATGAAAAGCAAAGCCTCTCTGCCTTGCCTTCCCCCTTCCCTTCCCTTTACAGAGTATAGTCCACTTGTTTGAACAGCTGTCCATTCCACATGGTTTAAAGATAAAGGAGAGCAAGGAAGTTAGCACCTGGGATCAGACTGAACAGGCACAAGAGTAACCTATTGCAGGGCTTGTCCATGCTTCTTCTTGTCCCATGCTTTCTACGCACAGGTCCAAGTGGGTTTTCATTTGTCCTACTGCTTTCACTGTGAAAACCGACTATTTATCACTTGTTGTTGTTGTTGTTTAGTCGTTTAGTCATGTCCGACTCTTCGTGACCCCATGGACCAGAGCATGCCAGGCACTCCTGTCTTCCACTGCCTCCCGCAGTTTAGTCAAACTCATGCTGGTAGCTTTGAGAACACTATCCAACATCTCGTCCTCTGTCGTCCTCTTCTCCTTGTGCCCTCAATCTTTCCCAACATCAGGGTCTTTTCCAGGGAGTCTTCTCTTCTCATGAGGTGGCCAAAGTATTGGAGCCTCAGCTTTGGGATCTGTCCTTCCAGTGAGCACTCAGGGCTGATTTCCTTAAGAATGGATAGGTTTGATCTTCTTGCAGTCCATGGGACTCTCAAGAGTCTCCTCCAGCACCATAATTCAAAAGCATCAATTCTTTGGCGATCAGCCTTTTTTATGGTCCAGCTCTCACTTCCATACATCACTAAATCAGAACAAATGTCAATCCGCAGGAAAAACGATTGACGTTTGTTTCGATACAGTGGGTTTTCCTGCGGGAAGTGGCAGGACAAATGTTGGCGAGCACATAGTCTTCATCATTATGGTGTAATGAATTATATTTCTAATAATGATACAGTAATTCTTTCTAAATTTGCACCTATGCACTATAAATGTAAATTTGCTTATGCAAATTTAGTGCAAAGTGATTTCCTCTTTTTGTAGTGCATTTTCTCTTTGGGGGCAATGCAGAAGTGGCCACCCTACCCTCAGCACTGAGAAGTTGCATCCTCTTCCCACACTTGGAGTTAGCAGATGAAGGTTTATTCAGGGCTAAGAGTACAGCCTAGCAGGGTGATGCATTTTGAACCTCAGTGTTCTCATCTTAGGAGTGAAGCACTTCTAGTATGGAGTTCACCTTCACCAACTATGCCATTCTCATCTGCCATGCATCCTCTTTACTGGTTGTTTCTTGAAATATCTATTCTTAAACCATCTGTTCAATCCACCTAGATTTGTGCATTTTATTACGTGGCTGGGAACCCTATTAGAACAATTGAAGTCCCTCCTCCCCCGATCAGCTAAAGTTTAAAAAATAAAAATAAAAATCATTGGATCATTTAATTCGGACTCTCTCCTAACTCTTGGCTTCCTTCAGAAATAGCTAGGGCTGTAACCCAAGATTGCAAATTGCATAGATAGGGCTGGAATTTTGCCTTCCTCAGCACTAATGATGTGAAATTGCTGGCTTTTCTGGAGTGGCCATTCCAAAGCTGTGATACTATGTGAAGTCAATGTGTAGACTTTTCTTATGTGAAAAGAGTTCTAGAGCCTGTTTGGGTTTGTATAAAGACTTTAGGCTAACAACCATATTGAAGAAGAGTGAAAACCTAGAGTTGTACAAAATAGCTAACAAACCAACTTGCATAGTCTCAGTGGACTGTTTGGTGTGTGTGGCAGATAGAATAGTAAAAAAATTATACATTGTGAATGTCTGAAATGTCTAAGAAACAGAGAATGAATTAACTAGCACCATGGATAATAACATCTGGAATTGAAGGATTTTCTTAATTGCTTTAATCTGTAGGGTTATGTTTTTACAATTATCCTTTCCTATAAAGCAGTGGATCAGAATTAATGGTATTTGAGTACCATCCATCCATACCATTAACTTGGTTTTCCTATAGTTCGCCCTTAATGTGTTTGTTTTGACAATATATGGAAAATGTCCCACAATATTCTCCTCGGATCTACTTTTTGCAGTAAAATTTGCAGTAAAATTTCTATACGCTAAAACAGTTTTGTGTGTGACCAGCTTAAAGGTATGATAAATATGCAATGATGGAAACTCAACAGTGTAAAAAGGTAGATTTGCAGAGGTTTGGTTTGATGTTATTACAAGTGCTAATAAAGAAGCACATGGTCTCACATCCCTCTGCTTATCAATGGATTTGGTTGATTCAATAATACATTATATTAGTATTCTTTAAGATTCATTCCACCCATGGCAGTACTGGGTTTTATTGTATTCTATGTATAAAAGCGTACTCAGGGTGTTTTTATTGTACCAGCCTGTTGTGCATTTTTATTGTCATTGTTAGCCCAATTAAATATATAAAATTTCTATATAGGTTGAACAGGATAGGAGGCAAGATGCAACCTTCTTAACCCCTTTGGTAGATAGCACAGGATCTGTAAGATATCCTCTGTAATACATTATGCCTTCAGCCAGGTATTATTATACAAACTTTTAATTAGAAAAAGTAGCAATTTTGGCTATATTGGATGAGGCTAATTTCCTCCAAAGTCTTACACAGAAAATAGAATCAAATGCTGCCTTCAAATCCATATACCTCTGATCTATAGTAGATCTACCCTGTCTAAACCCAGCTTCTCATTTGACAAAATGGCATCTTCTGCTATCCAGTTCAGTCAGTTTATTGTGCAGGTGCTTTGCCAATTACACACAACAAGCTAATTGGGTAAAAGTTTGCTGAAGCAGCTTTAGTAATAACAGTACTCTGGATGTTACCCCTTTTTCTTTTTCAAGTTTTCATTTCTAAAATTATTCCACTAGGGGGCATTTCCTTGTGTTTGTGCTGGATCTTTTCATGCAGTGACATTTGAGCTAGGAAAATCTGGTGGAAACTGGAAAGGTTCAGTAGAAAGGTTGGGGATTCCATGGCCCATTAAAACATCTTCAGCCGTTGTGGCTGTGGTGCCATGGAAGGAATGCTTGAAGTATCCAACAATCTAAGACTAAGGAGTCAAGAATAACACAGATGCCTAACGGGAAAAGGCTCCCAGAAAGTGGAAATTGCTCAGTCCCATGTGTGGTCCCTTTTTTGCTTCTCTCTGCCACCCCCTCTCAAAAAATCCTTGTCCTTCTGAAATACAGTATGAGCTTCATTAAACATAGCTGGGCTATTTTGATGTGCTGCAAATACTCTCCTCTGCATGTTTAGCAGCTTGTGGCAGGGGAGGCGCCAAGAAGATAGGAGGTGCTCTTGGTAGACACCCAGTATTACCCACCCCATGAATCTGGAGAGCATGTTTTAATCTGTATTGCTCTCTTGCTGGTTCATGTTTCTGGTGGAACTATTGTAGAATTAGTGTGGGCTATCAGGCGTGCACAGCTTGACTCTTCGCCTTCTCGAGTTTTCCCCATGGGGAGTAGGTCATAGAAAACTCAGGACTGTTTCTCCCGGTACCCCATTGCTGCTATTCTGAGTTTCCATCTGATGTGGTTTTTAGAAGCTCCTGCTCTGTTGAGAGCCCCTGTACAGTCAAGTAGAGCACTCTGTGAGCATTAATACTTGCCACCCATTGCAAAACCCTTTTTCATTTGCTTGTGGGGAAGGTACAATTTTATTCAAGAATGGAACAATATCTGGGAACAGCTGTAAATCTGCAAGCTGTCAGGGGGGAAAATGTATAATGTTGTAGGAAAGAATGGAGGACAAATTCCAAAATTCAACTTGGAAGAGATTAAATTCTCTAGCAAGCTTTTGGCTCTGCTTAATTTGGGCATTCATTTGTATTTCTACTTTAGGGGCTAGATTATTGCCAGGTGGTTGAGAACTGGGGAAAGAAATTGGTGCCAGAAAAGGGTGTTTTAATTGAAATCTTAAATAGAATTCTGGAATTTTGAAAGCCAGTTTTGTGTGTGTGTGTGTGTGTGTGTGTTTTTTACCAGTTTAATCTCAGCATTTCAAAAGCTTTTCAAGGAACTCTTTCCTTTTTCAGATATGGAACAGGCAATGACAAGTTGTGCTAGTGTGAAGTAGCAAAAGCAAAAAAAAAAAAAAGGCATCCTATGGTACCTTATACTACAAGTTTGTGGTTGTTGTTATTCCTTGGTCCCAACACCTAGTGTGCCCTTTCCAAATAATTTGGTTTCAGTTGGGATTGGTTTTGGTTGATTCAATCCAAGTGTGTTGGTTTCCTAACTTACCTTCAGCAGTGTTGCCCAGTATTCCATTATTTCTTTTTTGAAGATTTTAAGATGCTGAGACATTCCTTCCTTCATGGCACTAGGTAGTGTTGGAGATGTTAAATGGTGCTTTATCAGTTTCCTCTCCTTCATTGTTTTTAAAAATTACAGGCACCATATTGTGTGGAGTCTCATTTAGCTCAGGCAATAGGTGCATCCTTTTCTCAAGGTTTAAAACTGCTTGTAAGGTCATAGTCTTTATTTCTGCCTATTCCTGGTATCATGCCCTGTTTGGGCTCTGCTAAAATCTAAGATGGAGTTTTCTTGGCAGGGATACTGGAGTGGCTTGCCTGTTCCTGCTCCAGGTAGATCACGTTTGGTCAAAACTCTCCACGATGACCTGTCCATCTTGGGTGGCCCTGCACGGCATAGCTCATAGCTTCTCTGAGTTATTCAAGCCCCTTTGCCATGGCAAGGCAGTGATCCATGAAGCTACCAGCATGAGTCTGACCAAACTGCGGGAGGCAGTGGAAGACAGGAGTGCCTGGCATGCTCTGGTCCATAGGGTCACGAAGAGTCGGACACGACTAAACGACTAAACAACAACAACAAAATCTAAGATTCTGTTCGCCTGTTTTAGTTTTTGGGACAAGTTTCATAGATGGCCTGGGATGTTCCTGCTTTATCCCACCCTCTTTCAGGTGTGCAAACTTTGCCATTTTTGCTTTTATTAATAAGGGTATTTCTAAACTACCAATTCATTAAAAATACCATGTGGTGTACAATAAAATTATTAAAATATAATTAATGTGTTTAGTGAAACACATTTGGGGTAGGTGATGAAATATCAGTTTGATTTTAATAGGAACAATGTTCCTAAGTGCTGGTGCCACCATGCTGAAAGCCTTAGACTGCATAGAACCAAAATTAATATGAGACAGACAGGATGGCTTTGCATGATGAGTGCAGTGATCTGGCTGGTGTATAGGGCTTTATATACTAATAGTCAGGGGCAGCGCATCCTGTTTCACACCACTGGCAGAGAAGCAGTGCCAGCATTAGCATCGATTTCAGATGAGAGCTCAACAGATTCGGGTGTGATTAGTGCCGATACCAGTACCACTTCTGTGCTGCCAGTGGAGGCAGCAGGGCACCTTTGGGGCTTTTGCTGCCTGAGGCAGCTGCCTCAGTCTGCCTAATGGCAGAGCCAGCTCAGCTAATAGTAAATTTGAATTTAGCTTGGTAATGTAGTCGCAGCCAGTACAGAGCTTTCAGCACTGGTGTAATATGGTGATACTGAGCTACTTCGTCCAGTGTTCAAAACTCCCATTGTTCTAGGAGCATTTTGCAACAGGGAATTTCATTAGTGCAAGCAGTTTCTGAGCTCTGGGCTCAGTACTGTGCCCAAGATTTCAGATTAAAACTACTGAGTGGAAGGAAAGGAGGACCTTTTCCTGCCTCCCCACTTCCAGCTAGTCTCTGAAGACTGGAGAAGAAACCTTCTTAAGAATATTAGGGGGGTGGGCAGGGGAAGGACTGGACCATGAGACAAATGAACATAATATTTAGCTGCTGTTCATTCATTTTCAGCTTTGTATTCTTGTTATAAAAAAGCACACCTAGACATTCCATTGTTGTGCCCATAACTTAGGTTTAAGGTGCCATTTAGCTCCCAGCTTTCATATCTCGGTTTCTAACACTGACTCTGTCCCAAAACTTAATGTGCTGGAGCACAATTTTATCAGGTGCATACATTATGAATTTGTTAGGATTTCAAGGTGCTATTCAGCACACTGTTGTAAAAACTATACATGATCCATGTGTTGCTAAAGTACAGTGGTACCTCTGGTTACGTACTTAATTCGTTCCGGAGGTCCATTCTTAACCTGAAACTGTTCTTAACCTGAAGCACCACTTTAGCTAATGGGGCCTCCTGCTGCCGCCGTGCCGCTGCTGCCCGATTTCTGTTCTCATCCTGAAGCAAAGTTCTTAACCCGAGGTACTATTTATGGGTTAGCAGAGTCTGTAACCTGAAGCGTATGTAACCTGAAGCGTATGTAACCCGAGGTACCACTGTATATCCTTTTTCTCCATGAAAGCCTCTACACAGGGCTGAGTTGGAAGGAATTATATGATGGGGGTGGGGGGAAGCATCCTGCTTGTGTGTGCAAATATTCCTTCTTCACTTCCCTGTTTTTAGCAGAAAATAAAGTCCTGCTTTTGTTTTTTCACTTAATAAAAATCTCCATTATGAGAGCAACTTTGAATAGTCTAGCATATCTTTGTAATTTTCACTGTAGATTGATTCAACAGCCCTTCTGAGTGCAAAAATCCTTTTGGAATGCAGAGACTCTGAGCATCAGAATGTCAACATTTTGGGGACGCTCTCATTTATTCCCATTGTTTTACGATCCTCTCTCCATTTTTGCCTAGTGTTTTGGGCAGAGTGAGAGATTTATCAAATAGTGTAAAATATTGTATTTACGCAAATCTAATATGCCATCGAATCTTAGGCAAGCAGTTTGAATAGGTAAGTGGATGGCTTGGGAATGTGTACTTACTGTTCTTTAAGAAAGAAAGTGAGTTTTCCCCAAGAACATTTCTTGTATTTCTGTATAGAAGAGCAATTTGATCTTCTGGAGTGAGTGTCTCTTGAGCAGTGCATGTGTTTTGTTTGGATCAAGTTACCCCCTGTGCTTGGAACTGGAGTGTGTCTTGGCAGCAGGAAACCATTGTGACAAAATAATTCTGAATGCAAAGACATCCAAAATTCGAAACAAAGCCCAGCTGGTTTCATTTCTTCTTAAAGTTGCAGCACTTTGTATTCTTTTGTTGTGTTTGAAAAACTGAGATATACAGTAGTTAGAATTGATCTCAAATTAGCTAAGACTTAAATCAAAATCTGGGGTGGTCTGGGTCAAAGAGTAGGCGCAGTTGCCTGAGCATATGATATATTTTCTCTGAAACTTTGCTGTTTCTTCATGCAATCTCTGGGGTGCATGTTTGTGGACCTAAGAGGAATGCTATTGACTTGGCCCAACATGTCGTGGGTGAAAGCATGATATAACCTTACTTTGTGTAATGGGAATTTCTAATTTTGATATACTTGATATGGCTATGGACACCTTCCAGTTCTTGGAACCAGATAAACCCATAGCTTTATTTATAGGATACAGGGACTCACTTTCAGAAGAGAATTAGGCTTGCTTCAGAAATTCTCATTCAAATTTCTCCCCAGATTTTGGGGTTTTGATTACTTGGACTTGTCAGGAGGGCTCCCTGAATCAATCAAATGAGTTTCTTCCATTCCTGAATGCTTCAAAACTGAGCAGATAAACCCCATTGGCTGTTCTCCCCAATACAGCCAATCCAAGCAGGGGCTTTTTGTTGGCACCAGTTAATTGATTCACACCTACTGGGAGCCCCACTCGCAAAGAAACAACTGGGGGCTCAATTTAAGCTCCCAGTTCATTCCTTTGTAGCCACATCCATATCTGCCCCATAGCTGACACCATATATGGTGACAGATGTAATGTAGGTGGGTGTTGTTTGGAGGGAAGGGCTTCATGAGCCAAATTAGTACTTGTCCTGGGCTTCATTCCCCACTGCTGCTATAGGTGTTTATTTTTAAATTAAAGCAGATAGAGATTGTTCTTAAACAAGGTTGAAATTATGCCAGTACTTTATGTTTAGATAATGTATGAAGAGCACTATGGAACACTTAAATTTTCTAACTATAAGTGTCCTCAAGTATTGAACAAACTTCTATTCAAATCTGTGTGAGTGTAGATCATATTTGCACTCCTTCCTTTGCTTGGAAACATTCAGGGTCTTAAAGAAACACCCAGTTCATAACACCAACACACATTTCTACTCATTGAATTCCCTGTTCAGGAGCTGAAGTCTAACTAACATTTGACATTGTTCTGCTGCTCCATGAACAAAATTACCCCCCCCCCCAGCTCCTCTTTTCAGCATCTCCAGAGTTAACTTCAAAAGACATCATCTGGAGAAACAATTACACTTTTTGCTGGCTTGGTCTCAGAATATTTGAAAGCTGAGTTGGAGAACAAATAAGCGCTGGCAGACTGTAGCATAGTTAGGGAGAGGATGCAGGCGAGTCTGGCAGCAAGAACCAAAAACTGCAGTTGGGTCAAAGGACCCATTGTTGATTCATCAGTTCTCTGTTGAGCCTTTTGTAAATATCTCAAGCCCTGTGCCCACAGATAGTCTTGTCCTGTACGTTAGAAAGTTCTGAAGGAGCCTAACATGACCTTCTGGTTTATCTACCATGAAACATTGGGGAGGGGGATTTCCCCACCAGTGATTATTTTGGCTTCAGTCTCTCTCTACTAGAGAAGTACTTTTTTAAAAGTTACTATCAGATTGTGTTTTTTTTAAATCTCAGTAATCTCTGCTGCTTTCTGGGAAGCAGGTGTTCTTAATTTTTTTAAAAAATTGCTGCCACCTTCATTGTTGCGTAGTGATTGAAATCATATTGGAGATACTTACCCCTCATATGAGCATTTTTTTTTACACAATTTTGCCTATTATGCACTTTTTTGCAAGCAGTGTTCCATAATAGAATGAATTTTTGAACATTATTTCCACTAATATATGCATTTTGTGCTCACTTTCCCCACTAATCTCCATTTTTTGGCTGGAGAACTGCATTGCAACATTTCAGCTGCAAAGTAATGAGGTAGATCAAAGGTTATGCCATATGACTGAATTAACACGGTAAGACATGCAGATTTGAGCAGAACTTGAAATTTACTCCAGATTTTCTGTGCTGTTGCAATGCTCTCAGAAGAGGATTGGGTGGTAAACGTGGGCTTGATTATGAACTGTGCTGGATGACGGCAGTGCTATAGCTACCGTGTGTGTGTGTGTGTGTGTGTGTGTGTGTGTGTGTCTAGCCAGGTTTTTTAGCCCCAGGTGAAGCATGCAGAGGCTCCCAGCCTGTGAGTGTGTACGCAAATGTGTGTAGGGGGTGCGAAACTGAGTCTTTGACCCTGGTTAAATAAAGCCTAGTTTCACCTCTGATTAAGGGGTCACATGGTCAATTCAATGTGGGCTCAGTACAGGTGACATGTTCAGTCCAAGTGCTCACTGTGATAGTTTGGCTCAGGTGATCTTTCTAAAGCCCTCCAACATGGAAATTGTATATTGGAAACTAGAATTTAGCAGTGTGCCTCAGTTAATAGTGAAGATGGCTGTTCTGAACCAGACAACAGATGGGTATTTTTGTCTGGAAGCCTTTAGTGAATGCAAAGAAAATGTTGATGGTCTTTCTCTCCCACACTTCTCTTCCATGCCATTTGGCTACACTGTAGTTGGCCCAGAGAAATGCATCTTTCACCTCTCTAGCCCACCAAATGTAATGTGCTGACCTTGTTCCATTGACTAATTCTCTCCCCCACGCCCAGTGAAGTAAGCAAGTGGAGGCCACCCTTTAATTGTCTTGGAGCCATTTTGCAGCCATACACTAATAATCTGGTTTCTCTTCGGTCCTATTAAAACGGTATTGTTATACATATCCAAGAGTCTCGTGGCAACGGAGAACCTGGACTGCAGAGCTGTTTTCCCCAAACATGCCAGTAACTATTGAGATGGGGATTTGAGCAAAGCCTTGCAATGATTCCCCACTGCTTTTTGCCTCTGCTCCTTCGAAAGTGGACCCCTCCCTCCACATGGCTCTTGAACTTGTTGGTGTTTACAGCTATCTAGTTAAGGGGTGGGGAACCAAAGGGATCAAATGTGGTCCTCAGGCCTCTTTATCTGGCCTTCAGAACTCTCCCAAGCCACATACCCTACCAGTCCAGCTTTTGCATCTCCTTGGTGTAGAATTGTAGAGTTGGAAAGGACCCTGAGGATCTAGTCCAACCCCCTGCAATGCAGAAATGGGCAGCTGTCCTGTTTAGGGATCAAACCTGCAACCTTGGTGCTATGATCACCATGCTCTAATCAACCGAGCTAATGTGTCCTTGGAACTCTGATATGTAGCCTACCCTACAAAGGTAAAACTCACATGTATTGTCTGGTGCCACCCACCATTGACATTTGGCCTCTGAAAGTGTACCTGGTTCTTGAACTGAATTGAATTCATTTGGGGCTCACAGTTTGTTTCGGAAACCAACCATAGAACTAAGAATCTTAAGCTATAGTAGGCTGTTTTAACACACAGGTCTAGCATTTTCCTGATTGTTTTCTGACTGGTTTAAGAACTTAGAATGTGTACCTAGTGTTTTAGTTAGTCTTGAAGGCCAGCCATCTCCCACAAATCTGGAATTACAGGTGTTTGGTTCCGCAACTGTCTTCAACGTTGGAACTTAATCCTTTCCAATTATGCAACACTACCAGTTGCAAAGGATGGAATTCAACCTGTAGGTGATTGTTTACCTGGCAAGCAGAAATTATTGTGCTGAAGGAACAATCTCCTCTCTCCTGTCCCTGCACCCTGTTGTGGGTGCTCAGCTGACCATCCCAGGAAGATAAGAGGAGGGTGCAGGAGTCATGTAGTGGGGGGGGGGGGTAATTCCCATTGTAGTAGTGGAACTCATTGTGCCAGCTTCCATGAAAATGTAACCGCTTGTGATATACATCTGTCTGAATACATGAATGTGTGTGCACCGTTGATATCAGATAAAACTGATGGGATTTCAAGCATTCTATAGTGTGCATCTTGTGCTTGTCATATGGACTAATTCTATAGTGTGCATCTTGTGCTTGTCATATGGACTAATGAAGACAAAGAAACTTTGTCTATGGTTTTAAATGAGATCCATGTTCTAGTTTAGGACTGTGTTGTATAATCTTTACTCTGTGTATTTGTAGATGCTCCATAATGGTGTGTTTTGGTTGTGTGTTCTACCAGCTATATAATCCATGGGCTAGAAAAATAGAATGTACTTGGAAGGAGTTGCAGGAACTGTGGATTCAGATTTCTGAGTTGCTTTGGGAGCAGCCATCTCCTACTCCTTCAGTCTCTTCTCTCTCTCTCTCTCCCCAGTGCAATGTATTTGGTTAATTGGCAGTTTGCTCAATGTGCTGGCTGTTCTGCAGGCTTCTAGTTTATAGGAAACATGTTCCAGAGGGTTGACTGTTGTTTCCGTTCCTCGAGGCGTGGCTTCAAAGCCAGGGATGTTGTTTGAATAGGACTGAGAAGAGGAGCCCGAAGGACATCTGGGAGGGAAAGCAAAAAAAAGCAAAACCCAAAACCAAACCAGTGCCCGACCAGAGTAGGTTTAGTTTGTTCAGATTGAAAAGTGTGTCAGTTGCTTCCATCGCCTTGTTGGAGCTTACTGGCTAAGAATATTTGTAGGATAGGAGCTGTATATGGATGGGGGATGTTCAAGGAACACCTGGATGCTTCAGGAAGTGGCGTCGGCAGTTTGGTAGGATTGTGTTCTACTTGCCTTCTTGTGAAACAGTATTTCCAGTGTTGTTGGTAGAACTGTTTGAGATGCAAAATGGTATTGAATGAATGCTGACAGCATTGTGTAGCTTTTATGATGAGCTATATTGTAAAGCTGCACATGAATAAACTGTTGTATTTTGCATGTGGTTGCTATGGCTTCTGCTAAAGCAGGCACCCCCAAACTTGGCCCTCCAGCTGTTTTGGGACTACAATTCCTATCATCCCTGACCACTGGTCCTGTTAGCTAGGGGTGATAGGAGTTGTAGCCCCCGAAAAGCTGGAGGGCTGAGTTTGGGGATGCCTGTGTTAAAGAAACAAATATATTGGATTATAGGATAACATTGCCTGAATATCAGCTGCACAGTAGAAGTTTTGTGGTGCTGCTTCCTGTGCTCTCTTGACTCATTTAATACTAAGCAAGCTGGCATGTCCAACTGGTTTTTTTTTTCTAATTTAGGAAGCTGTTTGGAATGTTAGAATGAGATGCCTGTATTAAGCCTCCCCTATACAAGTTTTTGTAAGTTGATAGCTTATATTGTACTTGCAGAATTCTTAATGATTAAATTCCATTTGTATTCAGTTTTCCACACAAAAATTATGCCCAATGTGGTATAGTTTGCTGGCTGCGTTTCATAACTAGATACTGAGAAGAAGAATCATTTATCAAATGCTTTACAGTACAAGGCTGTGATTTCAAGGGTTTTCAACTTGAGTTCTATGTATTTTGTTAAACTGTGTACCTCCCAGCTAGCCCATAATGGTCTTTTATAAGGAGCTGTGTTTATAAGTAGTTGTTATTTTGTGTGTTTTGCCCCTCTCATCTTGGGGGGAAAACCAAACTATGAAAGTACTCCTACAGTACTAGCTAACAAGGACTCTCCTTTAGTTCAGCCCTGGGATGGCTGCTTTTTATCGAAGTGTACTTAGAAGTTCATTTGTACATGTGTGAAGGTTTTCTGATCCATTTCTCTTTCCTTTCCTTTTTCAATGCAGTTTCCATCTGTGAACTCTTCTCATATAATGGAGTGTGTGAACAGATAAATTCTTCTCTGCCTTTTATTTTGAAATGGTAGTATGGGTAGTGAAGTGGGAGGGGAATAGAATTTCTGTCAGAAGTGGATTACTATCATCATCTTTATTAGTAATTTGATGACTGGTCAGCAGTAAAATTATGTAGGTGGCTTACAAATTACAATCAATAATACCGTATATAAAAATACAAAATACAACTTAAACAAACAAAATCAATAAAACCATAATAAAACTTCCCTGGTGCAGAGACAAATAAAACAATTAGAAGCTCAGCTCAATGACATGCTCTTAGTGTTTTGGAAAAGTTCAGAAGTTAAAGTTGGATTACATTGTGGCTGATTCCCCTATGACAGGTATGGGAAACCTGTGCTTCTCTCATAATTCCTGATTACTGACCATGCTGGCTCAAGCTAATGGGAGCTGTGCTCTCCTGGTACCTTGAACTACCAGTTCCCTGCCTTGCAATTAACATTTGTGACTCTGTGTTTTGGGGCTTATCCACACTTGTCTTTTGCTCTGCTCTTTCCAGGCATAGGTCCATGATTAAAAGCTCTGTGTCTGAGCGGGTTTTTTTGGGGTGGGTGGGTGTGTTTTGTTTGCCATGGAGCTTTACCTGCGAAAACCCTTTAGCACTTGGTCAAAGCAAACATCAAACTGGGGGGGGGGGGGGGTTGGCAGATTGTCATTTGCTCCAATTGAGCTTTAAAAAGTGGGGGGAACTCCAAAGCAAAAAACAAAAAAACACTCAGACATGGAGCTTTTACGCACAGACAGTGCCTGGAAAGAGCAGAAAAAAGGTAAGTGTGGATAAGCCCTATGTTTCGTTGGTAGTATGCTGGTAGTTCAGGACGAACAGTCTAAGATACAGTGCATGAGGTACAGTATGTAGTTTTTGAAAAGCTGTGTCTGTAAGGAATGGACCCTCTCTTCCTGATCAGAACACTTATTCCTTTCCTGGAAGCTTTTCCTAGATATGCCTTGCATGTTTTTTTGTGCTGCTTTCATAAAACATGAGACCAAAAAGGTTGCCTTTATTTTATTTAAAAATGTATATGAAGTTCTTTCTAGTGAAGCTGCTTAGTTCCATGACGGAAAACCAGCCCCTGTGATTCATGCAGCTTTTTGAATCCTCTGTCTGTAGCAAGGCGGAAGACTTCTAGTTGCTTGTTGCAGGAAGCTGTTCCAGGCAGCTCTCCCATAAAACGATGAGGCACTGTTGATGCAGCCATTCTTAAAAAAGTGACGCCAGATTGAAGAACGCATTCCCACTTGAGCCCGGTTGATGGGAAATGTTTCCAGGAGGAACTGAAAAAGCATCTTTCAAAGTGGCATTATTGGTAGCGGCGCTGTGGGTTGCCTGTTACAAGCAAACTGGCAAGCGTACAAGGGTTTTCCTGCCAGTCACTTCCTATGAATGCCTCTGGTGTTATGAGGCATATTGTACAATACTTACAGCTCATAGGCTAATAGGCTGCCGACCGTTGCTTTGCAAAGGTTAACATGCCTGGCTAATGATAGTTCTGTGTGATCTGTCAGGATTGAAGGAATATTTCCTTCATGACTAAAATACACAGACCTTCTTCCCCCAATTTCTGCCTGAGTTTCTCTTATTCTGTTCTGCTGTTTTACTTGTATCTGGAATGCAGTTTATGTCAAGAGAAGAGACTCAAATTCTGCTTCTATTGAGAACGTTGGAAAACCTGGGATAAAAGACAGTGAATTCCTTCCAGGTTTGGGGTGGGATTTCTTAACATCTCTGAAGAATTGGGCATCTCTTGTGTCTTTGCTGGTCCAGGTTTGAAAAATAAGAGGAATTCTGAAGCAGCAGTGCCCTGTTCTGTTGACATTTGAACTCTTGCATTGTAGAAAAAAATACCTCTTCAGTCTGCAGTATTTCACCACTACCCTTACTCTAACTCAACTTGGTGAAGGGGGACCTTTGCTTAATGGCAGAGAAGTCACACCTGTGTGAGAGACTAGTTGCAGTGAGAAATGACGCAATTATTTTCTTTCAGGCAGAATGTTTGTCACACCTCAGTGTGTGGAATGACTTATAACTTGTGTCAGAACCAGAATAAATACAATCCACTGCATGTTGGTAACTCTGTCAGTATCTCTGGTATCATTATTGTAACAAAACGTTAATGTACAATGTAAAAACTTTGTACAAAGCACTGCAGCAGTTTGCATCAGTTAAGGGTGCTGACATGTATGTTTGCTAAGTAGTTGCTTAGAGAGGTTTGTACGTTATTTGGGTCTCCCTCCTTCTGCAAAAAAGGCAAGGGGAACTCAGCAACCCTTTGTGACAAACAACTAGATGCTTGCTAACAGCACACCTGTGAAACCTGTCCAACCTGTGCAGTGTGACTTCTAACTAGAAAGACTCCCAATTCCTTGCAATGTTCTACTATGACCAGGAAACAAAAGCCAGAATGAGGCCCATACTGCTGAAAGGGGAGAATCAAAGTGGAGCAGGCTTGATTCCCAGTGTCCAGGAATCCACAAAAGCACTTGCCACGGGCACTGTGGCAACTAACCCTCCCAACTCCATGAGTGTCTCTGATGGAAGGAAAAGAATTACATTTAGGCAGCCCAGAGTCCGAATGCAGGCCTCTCTGTCTGGCCCTCTCTCCAGGCCATGCTCCTTGTCAGCCATGCTCTTCACCCTCTTTTGAGTGCTTCTGCTTGGGCGCGATGCATCCTTGTACCATGATGGTGCCCTTTGCTTGGCTATATGGAGAGAAGTGGGGAGATGTGAAGAAATATTATTCTTGCATGGTGGGAATGAGCACTGGTGAGAATTGCATATGTTGCTCTACCCACTACCTGCAAGTGCCCTTCCACCACCACCAAAGGTTGCATTCGACTTGGGCTGATCTTGTGCTGTTCTTTGGTACAAATTACGAGTAGAATTCAGGAAGTGGACCAGTTGCTTTGGAGGAGTTGCTGCCGTTCAGACCCAGCGGTTTGTCTAATTACAAGACAGCGTTGTGTGATCTCAAACTTGTCCCCTCCCTTCAGGCTTGGCACCATTACCTTTCTCTTCAGCTCAAGTAGCTGCTTTCTGAAACATTGCCTGGAAGAGCTTTAAAAAGAGGAACGTTTGAAATGCTGGACTGGGCTTCAGGATCTGGACGGAATGCCTGTCGCAGACGAGGGTTCCTTTTTAGCTTTTCCCAGAATTATACTCTTAACGGCATCCATCTGGCCCTGTCTGATGTGGGAGAAATCTACCACAACTGGCATTGGTAAACATTGCATTGAATCAAGGTCCAAAACAGTAAATTCCTGATTGCCCCTGGGATTTGATCCCCAGTTCCATTGACTTCAGAGTTACTTCTTTTTTTTTAAGTGTTCTGTGTTGTCTTTTTTGCACTATGGGGAGGAGTCGTAGCTGAATGGTAGAGCCGTTGTGCTGTATGCAGAAGGTCCCTGGTTCAATCCCCCAACATCTCCAGGTAGGGCTGGGAAAGGTTTCTGCCTGAGCACTGCCCAATCATTGTAGAGCACAGATCCTCAACTGGTGGGTCATGGCCAGATCCAAGGTGGGTCGCAACAGGAGCACTACTGCCCTGCAAATATATGGTAAAAGGTTAAGAAATGGGTCCCCAAAGGCATGTTTGGGTTAAAAGTGGGTGCTGGACCTGAGAAGGTTGAAGATACCTGGTGCAGACAATGCTGAGATGGACCGATGTATAAGGCAGTCTCCTGTGTTCTTGTATAGTGGCACAAAGCCAGCAATTGCCAAAGTAGCTTTCATAGTGTCCGGCTCCACTTTAGCACATAGTATGTATATTCAGATGACTGATTTGGCAAGAGAGGAAGAGCATGAAAGGAATATGTATTCCAGTATGAAATACCGGTGGAAACAAAGCTGTTCAGGGAAGTGGTTGTTCTTCTTTCAATTTTGCTTCCTGTGGAATGGGAGTAAAAGTCGTGTTCTCTAAATGCCTCCATAAACAGGACTTATCTGTTGTTTCTATGCATTAGCTCACCATTTAGGTTGGTTACTTCTTTTCAGTGCTTCTAGAGAATGGAACATGGAAAACTGTCTTGCGCCAGGTCAGACTGTCCATCTAACACAGTATTGTCTACTCTGACTCTTCAAAGTCTTGGGCAGGGGTCTTTCAGATCCCCTGATCGTTTTTGGATGGAACCTGGAACCTTCTGCATGCAAAGCAGTTGTGTTACCACTGAGCTGTTGCCCAGATGTGGTTGAATTCCATAAATATTAAATGTATTACAGCAGGCATCCCCAAACTCTGCCCTCCATATGTTTTGGGACTACAACTCCCATCATCCCTAGCTAACAGGACCAGTGGTCAGGGATGATGGGAATTGTAGTCCCAAAACAGCTGGAAGGCCGAGTTTGGGGATGCCTGTACAGTATTACAGAGATCTGAAACACGAATGTTATTTGCCTCATCAAATTTGGTGGTGACCCTAGCATATGGAAGTTTGGGAAGTCTTGCTGTGATTGTAGAAATCCTTATCTGGTGCAATGAATTAAGACCCGTTTCTTTCTCACAGTGTTGTGTACAAGCCTGCAATACATTCAGGCTAGCACATTTCTCTGGAAACAAGTCCCATTTGAACTCGGTGAGACTTACTTTTGAGAGCACATGCATAGAATTTCAGGGTTGAAAGTAGCTTTATTTCTCTAAGCTGAAAATTTCTAGTTCATTGTGGAGAAAGACGGAAACGCTTTCCCTCCTCCGCATGATGATTCATGGGCTGTATTGTCCTCGCCAAACTCTTGCAGCCGGTTAAAGTATTTTCCAAAAGGGGGGAGGTGTGGCTTCTGCTGGTACTGGAATGGTCTATGGTTGCAATGTCCTTGCATAAAATAATGCTGCTAAGCCTATAGGTAGGCTATAATAGGTAGCAACAGGGAAGGAAGGACAGACAAGGGTTTTAGAAAGTGGCTATAATTCATTCAAGTTAAAGATGCAGAAATGCAGCCTTTCCATGTATATATTGAAAACTCAGGCTAAATCTGAAATACAACTGAATGAAAAATAAACAGAATTGAAGCAGAAAATAAATTACACTTCCTGTGGGGACAGTTCCTACTGGATATTCTCATGGGGCTAAGGTGTTGCCAGTAGGCAGATAACCTCTGAGTTCCATCATCTGATGCCAGGGAGGCAGTGGAAGTGGTTAATTAGTGTCTGGCATGAATTCAGGAGCAGATAGGAGTTTATAAACTGAAACTTAATTCAGACTAGATGGAAGTACTGTTAGTCAAGAACACTGCTGAGGTGATTCAACCTGTTCTGGATAGATTCTCACTAACCTGTTAGAATTCTTTGAGAGTGTCAACAATCTTATTGATAGAGGTGATCCAGTCCACATTCTGTCCTTAGACTGTCTAAAAGATTTCAACACAGGAAGCAGAGAGCATTGAGACTTCTCTCAATGGAAGATGTAGAAAGAAGAGTCCCCCAGGATTGGTATTGGGACCTGTGCTTTTTAACTTGTTTGTAAAGGATTTAGAGTCAGAGGTGAGTGGTGAGGTAGCCATCTTTGCCGACAATGCCAAATTGTTTCAGGGTAGTTAAAGCAAAATGGGATTACGAAGAGCTCTAAAAGGATCTCTCCAACCAAATAAGTGGAAAGTAAAATGGTAAATGCAATTCAATGTCCACAAATATGATTCACATTTGGACAAAAAACAAAACAAAAAAACCTCCAAATTTCACAGATACACTCCTGGAGTCTGAATAGGAGTAACTTGGCTTTGGTCATCCATTCTTTGGAGCCTTTTATTTGGTTGTACCACAGCGTTCTCATTTAAAATCTGTCAGGCTTCCTTTTTGCGTCTCTTTCACTGGAAATTTTGATAGCGACCTAATTCTGCTGCCACTTTCTATGGGAAATCCCTTTTATACTCCTGCTGCTGTTCTAGATTTTTGCGATTAAGTTTTGGCTGGATTATGTTCTTTGTTGCCTTTGGAAAGTTTTTTAGATGTACTTTAATTGAACATACTGCAGTTTTATGGTTATACTGTACACCACTCTGGGTACTCAGTCCTGTTTTCAAAAAGCATTGAACTTGACAGCCAGAGAGAATTGAAGTTTGTTATGAGGAGGAAACTGATAGGTTTTGCAGATCTTCTTGCCACTGGCTAAAAAGATCACTTTCCTCTATAAATAAATGAACATGTGTGTGATATGTTAATAAAGTTAACATCTACTCTGCAAGCCTTTTTGTCTGTGGCCACACCATTTTTCTCCTGAATATTTCCCCCAAATCATACCTGTAGCTAGCAACATACAGCTTTGTTCCTTCTGTGTCATTATGCAGACTTTGCTGGCAAAACACAGTGAATTCATTATAGGAGCTATTATTAGTAGCAGATTTTAGCAAATACTCTGAAACTGGGAGTGGGGTAAAAATATTATGCATAGCTTCTTGGTCTATGTATCTATGTATGTAATACACAGAGAATGTCTGGCAGAAATCCCAGTGATCAGTTGTGTTGTGCATTCTGCACAGTTGAAGGGAAATTACTGACTAGCGGTATGAGGAATTGCCTCCTATTGAACAGATCTGACAGCTTACAATCTATTACACAAGTTGTAATGTATGTGCTCACCCAATCAAACCTCCCAAAAATTCTGAACCAGTACTAAGTGTTCTTTAGGCAGTTATGGAGGAGAGGTTTTCTGAACAAGGAACATCCATTATGTTGTTTGAAGCTATTGTGTTCTGGAATTTGGTGCATCTTCTTAATTTCTCTAAAATGGAAAACATTACGTTCATTCTTAATGTAGAACTTTTCAAGTGCAAATAATGAATGTCAGATATCCCAGATATTCAAGTGGGATGGACATGAGCTAAGAGAGCTTTCTCCTGGGTGAGACTAGGCAGATGGGGTTTGTTTTCACATTTTGGAAGTGACTGATCACCGTGTTTTTGGAAGGAATGTTTTTCCAGGCTAGATTGGCCAATGACCCTGAATTCTTTTTGTAGCTAGGGGCATGGTTCATCTGTGTGAGTCTTAGTTCTGTTTTTCTAAACCTTTTCAGGCCATTGTACACACCACTGCTCTTCACTTGAGTTATGATGTAATCCTTCTGGATATGGGGGGAGGTCAGCTTTGCATGCGCGCGTACACACACACACATACATACACACCAACCAACCACTATTCATGTTAGGAAGCCCTTTGCTCTCTCTCATTTTTCTGTATGAGGTTGGGTGGACCAGGTGGCTACCCCACTAGTTATCCAACAACACATATCTGATTCTACAATGAGAGATGATTCAAATAATAATAATAATAATAATAATAATAATAATAATAATAATAATTTATTATTTCTACCCTGTCCATCTGGCTGGGTTTCCCCAGCCACTCTGGGTGGCTTAAAGTGTATATAAAAATGGTGAAACATCAGGCATTAAAAACTTTCCTAAACAGGGCTGCCTTCAGATGTCTTCTAAAAGTCAGATAGTGTTTATTTCCTTGACTACTGAGATGGTGCTCTGCCTGGTTCCCTGTAACCTCACTTCTCGCCTGGACCTCAGTGTCTGGGCTGAACAACGGGGGTGGAGACGCTTCTTCAGGTATACTGGACCGAGGCCATTTAGGGCTTTAAAGGTCAGCACCAACACTTTGAATTGTGCTCGGAAATGTACTGGGAGCCAGTGTAGGTCTTTCAGGATGGGTGAATTAGTGTAAGCAGAAGAGGAAGCCAGTCAGCTTATCTCTTCTAATGTATATAGACAAACAAGCAGAATGGATAGGGCATTCCGCTAGCGCTTGCTTAAGCAAAGTGATTTTTACACATTGAATGCATGTGAATTTGGACTTTGTTCTGCAGATTTGTTTTAAAATCCAATTAATAAAGGAAAAAGTGGTGGCAGCAGGGGCATGAAGTTAGCCTGGTGCTGTGGCCCTCAGACTTTAATGCCTTTCGATGAAAGGAGTAAGATAGTCATATGAAGTACAGCAAAAAATATTATTCTGCTCAGTCACAACCAATGATGCAGGAGCCAGAGTGAACCTCATACTGTCTTGGCAGCATGCAGAGAGAACTTTACATAATACTCTGCAGATGTTATTGCAGAATAGTTGTAATAACGGATTGTGCTCAACTCCTGCACAAAGAAAGGAATAAATGCAGGGCAGGGGCAGCTCCATGAATACATTGCTTCATTTTTGAAAGTGAAGTCTCTTAAGAAATGTATACAGGAGAGGGTGTATATCCATCTGGCCAAGAGAGGGGCTTTTGCTTTATAGTACAACAATCTTGATTCCTTCTATGTAGCTCTTGGCTAAGCATTTCCCCCCTTCAGGTCTAGACAATTTGCTTAAGATGGAGTCTAAGGCAACTGCCTCAATTTTTCTTCCTTGAGAGCCCTTTTTTAGCTGGAGGGAGTGCTCTTGTAGTCAGATATCTCGGATTGTGGCAAAGGCACAGCCACCACTAGATCATAGGTGTCCAGTCTATGGCATGGATGCCAAAGTGATACACGTAACTGGAGTTTGGGGCACACTTATCCAGGAGTTGAAGAGGGTCAGCTACTACCTTCCTGGCTATGACATAGTCTGTACTATATTTCTGTCTGCCGCTCCCATGTGCATTGCTGGTTGTGCCCTATTTCGGTAGGATAGAACCAAAATAGTGCCAGTACAGAAGGAGCTGCTTATATATTGTAGTGTAGCAACACACACACACACACATACATTCTTGAATTTGACTTGTGGCATAACTGCCAAAAAGGCTAACTAGCACTGCACATGTTCCAAAATGCAGCATCTCATCATACAAAAAACCTGAAAAGGTTGTGTCATCAGTGTCCCAGTACACACAAATCCATGCAACTTCAGCACATTCTTAAGCTCCTTGAAAATGGAAACCTTGTTTGTCCCGAAGTGTTTGTTAAAAATGGTGGGTGGAATTTCACAGCTTCAGTAAGGGTGCTCTTTGTTTAAATAATGCAGCAGCAGGCTCTGGATCCATAAATACTCCATGCACATGTTTTGTATTCCTTTTGTACCTGGAAGACCTAACCTGTAAGAAAAATAAGTGCTGACCACAATGCATATCTAGTTTGACTGGATTCTCGTGCTTTGCTATGTGCATAAGATCAGTTTGGGTCTCATGGGACTTATTTTTTCCTAATGGTTTACAGGATTTCAGCCATAAAGTTCAAATTATATTATTATCAACTACTGCCTTGAATACTTTATTTTTAACATAATTTGAAGGAAACTGGTGATGTGTGTTAATCAGTTTCATGCTCCCAATTTCCCAACATCTTATTGCAAGTGTTTTGACTTTCACCCCCATTTCATAAAGGAAGGTTGGCGTACTTCTTGTATGTGGATATTTTATTGGTTACCTCCCAATCCAAACCATATTTGACCCAATTTTTTCAGCAGGTTCATAGCATTATGTGTTGTTAAATCCGGCATTCTCCTTTCCTTGTTATTTCATATATTTAATAGTGTCTTTTTTGGTGCATTTGAGTAAGAAACCTGACTTCAGCACGGTATGTTTACAACCATCCATGCTGCAGTTGTCATGCAAGCTAGACCTGCTGGATTTCCTTCTTTCAGACCACAATTAAAAGTGCAGGAGCCTCGTCCTCTTCACCTGGTCACTCCTGACAACTGAATAGGAGTGAACAAGCAGAGTGCCAGGCAGGATTGCATAGCATTTACTGCTCTGTGAAAGTAGCCTTGACATCCCAGGGTGATGAAAGTACTGATAATCATTTCACGCCTTGAAGGTAACTTGCATCTATCTACAGAATCACTTTGGATCTAAGCAATGACTTGAGTGAGGCTGTGTACACACTCCCAATATATTCTGAATCCGGTGCACTCCCACTGCTGGTTTGTGAAGCCACATACACACGTCTTTAGTCACAATCCACATCTATCCTGTAGTTCCTTGAGAATTACTGCATTTTGATGCATTTGCCCCCCAAACCAGTGTTGATCTGATTTGAAAATCAGAACCATATGAAAACATCCATGCCCCCCTCTCTGCCCACTGGTGTGGACAGGCAGTGGATGACTTGGAAGCACAAACAACTGTGTACAACAAAATGCAAATGCTATTTTAAACAGAACAGGGGGGAAACAACCTCACTGCATTTTAAGTTGGTAATTATACACAGCCAGACATTGAGCTTAATGGCTAGATGTGAGTTGGCAAGGAAAACAAGTTATCTCTGACTGATCCTTGCAGAATAACAATAACACTTTTGATAAAAAAATTAAAGGAAGAGCTAATGGAGCCAGTGCCAGCCCAAGGTCATTCATTCATTCATTCATTCACATGTGTGTATGTGTTGATATACAGTGGTACCTTGGTTTACAACCATAATCGGTTCCGGAGGTCCGGTTGTAAACCAAAACAGGTTGTAACCCAAGGCATGCTTTCGCCAATGGGGCCTCCTCCCCCAAAATTGGTTGTAATAATAAAAAAATGGGTTGTAATCCAAAAAAAGGGACACACACTTCTGGGTTTGACGTGGTTATAATCCAAAACGGTTGCAAATCAAGGTACCACTGTACTACCCAATCAACTCTGTCTCCTGGCGGCCTTGTGGACCTTCAAACTGCTTGGGCCAACACTTTTAAAACTTGACAAACCATTTTAGCATTAGTTCCTGCTTTCCATCTATTTGCAAGTTGTACCTGAATTAAATCACTTCACCCAGCAGGGCTAACCCTGAGTGGAGCACAATGCAATATGATTGGGTGGGTTTTTGTTTGTTTGTTTCTGTCAATGTGGAAGTTGGTATAGATGCTAAAGCAGATCTTCTTTGTTTTTGTTTTGTTTTTCCTAGACCCCCCTCCCCACTGGACCACCACCAAATATAGACTGTACAGGAAGGCAGGATATTGGCGAGAAAAACTGTTGACAAGGGGTTGTGAAAGGATCAGGGAAGGGGGATGAAAGAAACTGGCAATTGGCAGTGGGAAGGGGGGATAAGGTACAAGTTGATTGTGAAAGGAGAATGGGAGAAGAAATTACAGGAGATGGGTAACGATACTTTGAGAAGTATGTGAGGTTAGGAAAGAAAAATATGAAAGGCAAAGACTTCTCCACTTACAGCTTCTGGATCAGCAAATCCTGCCTAAAATAGGAAGGCTGAGTCACCATATCTTCACAGCAAATATCTGAACTCACCGTAGCTTGAGGAAACCTGAGGTATGGAACTCCTTGCCACAATGCAAGCACTGTGGCAAAGTATTTAGCAATTTCCAAAAATGGATTAGATATCTGTAGGAAATGACAGCACTTGCCTGCTGGTTATGCTAAACTCTGCTTCCATGTACCACCATTTTGTGACTAGTGGGCCTCAGTAATTCTCAGACTTCTTAAGTTGGCCCTGGGGGTAGAAAGTTCAAGAACCCCCTGCTATACTTGGATATGGAATGGCTTGGTTTGGCTCAACTGTTTTAAGCTATATGCAGAGTTGAAAATAGTATTTAGGTCTTTTCCAACTTTTCTGTTTTGTGAAATAGTAGGGCACAAAACCAAAGTTCAGGGTGAAATGAAATGCTTCAAAGGTCATGGTTTTTACTAGAGTGTTAACTTTATAGTGCAGCTCTTTTCACTCAGGCTAACGTTTGCTTCTGAAGAAGAATTCATAGGACCGTTTCCATCTAATTAGGATCAGATGTGTATCAGCTTCTGGTCTGTTTACTTCTGCGTCATAATTACAATTGCATGTTCAACTCTAACATGCCTCCTATCCTGCCATGCCATTAACTATTCCTCATTTTCAGCAGTAGGCCTTTTTGAAATGAGTTGGTGGTGTTGGTTTTCTTTTTAAATAATATTATTATTATTTACGGCAGCTGGCTGCTGTGGGTAAACGTCATGTCGGGAGAATCTCCCTCTTGCTGTGTAAAAGTGTAACTAAATTCCCTGACCAGGAATACTGTGAAGCAAAGTTTTCCAAATCTCTCTTGGAAATGGAAATCTCTGCCTCTTGATGAAATGATGCTAGTAATGACTCTGGTGTCATCGGTGCTGCTCTGTTTTTATTTTTGATTCCCTTTTGGAACATTTAGGGGAACAGGAGAGAGGTTCCTTCTCATTTGACCATCTTTTGTTAGAACTGGCTTGGATTCTTTTAAGAGTATTTAAATTTGATATGTATGCATGCCTTCACTTTTGGAGTAGAGCACTTTCACATGCAGAATTAGATTATAGAGTATGGGCTTTGAATGTTACCTCCTATTATTTGCACAGTAAAATAGAGGACCCTCCTGTGCTTGGTTGGGGCAAATTTGGGAAGCCCAGTATTGTGCCCTGTTGAAAACTGGTGAGGTCATCACAGTTGAGATTCAAATGAAATGCAAGTGGAAAATGGGAATTAAAGGTGCATGTAAGAAGATTAATCTAGATAACTAAAGCAGTGAGACAAACCATCGATTACAAGGCATACTCACTAATGCACTATATTTTATGCCATGCAGTAGGCTGTGGTCCACATTTATGCCTGAGGAATGCTCAATATCAAATATCAGTTGGTGAATCCATGCCAGAGAATTCTTATGCTGAAATAGCAGTTTTCCTCTGAGTAAATGCAGGGTGCTTCTTTGCTTGCCACTTCCAACAGCTACAGCCTCTCGTCTTCCTCCACAAGCTTTCAATTAAATCCTATATATGTTTGTCCTACTGTATCCAATGGGGACCCACTTCTTTGCCAGCAAACTACAAGTGGTGGATATAGTTTGTTTCCCTTACAAAATGATTTACTTTCCCCATTCTCACTTTCCTTTTAGCAACACTGTCGCTGTAGCTATAAGCAACTGTTTTTGCCTGTTTCCCCTATCTAAGTTAACTCGTGTCAAGACTACGGGGTACATCTTGAGTCTTGTTTTCACTACCAGGTCTGAGTCCTGGAATATGGGGGGAGTGAGCATGCACAGAGTGCTCTTCATTCTCCACTGTACAACTGTAGTCTCCTATCTCCATGCATATTTTAAATTCAAAGCAGGGTACCTGGGTTGGTGTTTAGCCCTGGGAGTTTGGTATAAATGCTCTGGCCCATGCTGCAAACACACACACACACACACACACACACACACACACACACACACCTGCTCCTGGTTTTCCCTCTCTACTTCCCTCATTTTGGTTGCCCAGCTCCAAAAACCAAGAGCTATTTCCCCCACCCTCTCTTTAAAGGCACCTTTCAGTGCTTCAAAAATATGAACATTTTATCTAGTTCATAAACCAAGGGTATGGGTAGAAAGCTCAGGTCTTGCTCCAACTTATCCTCCCCGCCATCTCTCACTCTTGCAAACTTCAGCTGACTCTTCTCAGCCTCTGTGCCTTGGGAGAGGCAAAGAGAAGTAGCCAATAGTAAAAGCATCTAATTTGCACTGAACACCTGGGCTTTGCGAAGGACCATTAACCACTTCATTTAAAAGGTTATGTTTTAAGCAAGTCTCTTTGCTTGCCTCAGTGAGAATTTATATATTTACAAGTTCATTAATTGTTGTGTTTAACATCACGCATATGCTAAAGAATATCAATAGGAAAGGAATTATCCAACTTTGCAGAGGGTTAGTTTCCATCCAAAAGGGAGCTTATTATGAAGTAGAATTCACACAGACATTTTGTTTTTATTTAAAAGTGAAAGCAAAGCGCACAGCCTTGGCTAAGTCTGCTTAATAGCCTCTGTCCTTTGTCTGTGGTTATGTATTGGCTTAGATCCTCTCTAGTTATCCATGATCAGAAGGGCTATTTTCATTTACAGGGGGAACTGGAATCCAGTGGGGATCTGCCCCTCCCCCCTGCCCTGCCCCTCATGCTGCTCCAAGGGTCCACCTAACCATAAGCGCTGCAGGGAGAAGGGGAGAGAAGCAAAAACATCCATTGGAAGCAGCATCCTGTTAGTGGAACTTTGCCCACAGACGCTTGCAGCAGCAGAACCTTAGTTATGATGTGACCCACAGTGTGTTTGGGGCAATGTCTTTTGGCAGCACTGTGAGAAGAAACCAATTCTAATTGCAACTTTAGTATTTGAATTTCCAGTTTGACACTCCCACTTGAAATTGAATAGTCCAGGGGAGTTCCACGGCATTTGGACACAATTATCTGGGGCTACAAAAGCTATTCAAAGTGTGTGGAGTCATTTTAATAAAGGAAATTTGTGCAACCTGATTTTTACCAGGAATACAGAACATTTTTCTGCCTACATTGGCAATTAGACTTCTATACAAAAATTGCAGTTCTTGCAGTTCCTACTTCATGGAAAAGGCGAGCAAAAAGTTTCCCTTCCCCCCCTTTCAAGACTCATCTCCTCCTGCTGTATACTTATAAAATGTTTGGCATCGAGCCCCAACTCGGAACCCTTTAATGCTGGATAGCACAGCAAGGGAAGCCTTGGGCAGGGCAGGAGGAAGACAGAAAATGACATTTTAATTTCTTCCCCACCACCACATACACCTCTGTTAGTTCTGCTGTGCTCCCCATCCTGCTATGGAGGTTCTTATTCCAGGGTGGTTGGAGTCTTGAACAGGAGTACAACTCTTAGATGGCATTCAGACAGCACTTTACTCTGTTTTCCTGGTGTTTCCTTCCCTGATCATTTACATGCTCATTCACACTTCTGGAAATCTAGCATAAGTTTAGCACTCATTTCTGCGTTAATTGCTTCCAGGGGAAAAAAAACCAATTTTCCAATTCCATTAACCCAGGTAAATGCAGGAGTTTTGTGCTGTAATTTTCCTGTAGTTTGCATGGATCACGCCATGTGACAAAATTTGGGTGGAATTCCAGCATACAGTTCTTTTCCTCCATTATCATGGGCGAATGACAGGGGAACAGAAACATGCATGTCCGCTATTGTATCACACCACACGCAGCAGTGTGAATGAAATTTAGCAAGACATAGTGTTATATTGATCAAAAAGCCACAATTCCATAATGATACAGTAAAAGGAATACAGTGTAAAAGGAACTTCAGAAACGGGTGCATTATAATATAGTGCTAGCATTATAACCAGGATGACTAACACACTGGTTTTGAAGAATTTGAAATTGTTAGGGGACGGTGATTCTGCAGTGAATTAACTCTTATTCTTTCCTTACCCTCACAGGTTGGTGGTTTGTAAGTACCTCGGAAGAGCAGGGCTGGGTCCCTGCCACTTACCTGGAATCCCAAAGTGGAATTAGAGATGATTCTGAAATTAACATGTCCAAAGGAGGGGAAGGTAAGAAACAACTGTAATTGATCTGGGTGAGGAATTATAATTAAAACCCACCTTTACCCTATATACCCTATAGGAATAAGCATAGCTATCTCAAAGACCAGCACAAAGGCTAGTAGGTTACCTATTGACAGTTGTTTATGCCATTTGAGGGGAAGAATAAATGCCTTCCTAGGCTACCTTGATCTGGTAGGAAAAGAGGTTATAGATTTATTTATTTATTTATTTATTCCCCCGCCCATCTGTTTGGGTTTCTCCAGCCACTCTGGACGGCTTACAGCATTTCATAGAAGTAACACTTGTATGGGTTGTGGCATTATTCTAAAGCATAATAAAATATTTTCTAAAAATGCTGATTCTTTTGTGTTTATAATGATGCTGGGTTTCTAGAAATTGTGGTCTAGACACGTGTGGTTTGTATACAATAGCGCACCCATGTTCTTCCATAAGAGATTTAACACAGCTATTTGAGTTGTTTTTTTCAGCTTATCTTGAATCTTTCATAGACCACAGTGGGGGAGAGGAGTTTATATAATCTATGAAATTGTTTTCATAATATATATTTTTCCTGATGTATGCAAATAGTATATTATATAGTTGATATTATTCTGGTTTTGTCCCAGTTTGCAAGTCTTTTTGTCTAAGATGCTATCAGAATCTGCGTACAGCAAAAGGTGTTGCCATTAACTGCCCTATTTTGCTTAGTGCTGACCAAGTCTATCCTCTCCCATCACAGTATTTTGTTCCCCTTTTAGTGTTAACTTTTTGTCATATTCCATTATATGTACATCTTTATCCAACTCATAAATAACTGCACAGAGGATGCTGTCCCAAAACAGAGTTGTGCATGACATTAAGGCTCCCTTCAGCCTTAGTGCAGAGGAATGGTAGAGTTTAGGTTGCATCAGAGGAAAAGTTCATATCCACAAACAGGAGATACAGTTGTAGCATCTTTACTCAGGACAGACATGGGGAACCCATTGCCCTACTGATGTTTTTGGAAATCTTTTATCATTGGCTATGCTGGCTGGGGCTGATGGGAGCAAGCCAATGGTGTAATTGGTGTACATCGGATTGTAGAGGCCTCTTTAAAGGTTCCATCCTGCATGGTACAGATTTGGACCTCCCCTCTGCTCGTACAGAGTCATCTAAGGAACAGGCTCCAACTTTGGCAAAGGCTCTGAATGTTCCTGTGCCACAAAGATGTCATAAAAAAATGCTCCAAACACCCTGCATTCTAAGCAAAGGTGCTGTGATATTATTGATGTCTATTTCTTAAGACTTCCCAAAATTCTGGATACATACAACCCATTACTGTTATTATTTAGTATGATTTTATGTCCACTAAACGAAGAACCATGAGAAAGCCTGTTTGTGCCTGGGCCTCAGGTAGTTTCTTATTTTATCACTTCTTGTAAACTAATCCGAATGTATTATTACATCTCATCCTCGCTAACACAAGACTAGTCCTTATTGTTACCATGTTTTACGTTGAGTTTGGTTCCCACCCCACCCACCCACCCATCACATTTTATTTTTCTTTCTTTCCTTTTTTATGTTCTCATCCATTTTCCAAAATAGTTTCTAAGAGACGCAAGGCACACCTGAGACGCCTGGACCGGCGATGGACACTGGGAGGGATGGTCAACAGGCAGCAGAGTCGAGGTGAATAACTTCTGGGACATGGTCCTTTGAAGGATGTACATGCTGGTGGCTGCTGCTGCTGCTTCTCTTGCCATTCAACATTGCTACAGATTGCTGGCGGGTGTATTGCGTTTTACTGGGTCTTGTCTTCTCTGCGGTAGAAACAAGCCTGCTTGCAGCAAAATTAGATGGCATTTAGGTGTGCTACCTGCTGAGCATGTTCAGATGGGAGCCAATAGCAAAAATCAGCTCTGCAGACACTATATGCTTTCACAAGCAACTCTTCACGTCTTTTAATCTGTGCACCACTTCTGAAGGTCCTTAAGGTGACCGAAAAAGGGAAGGCAGGAAAAGGCCAATTTGATCAGTTTTTGTATTTGATGTAAATATGGCTCTTTCATTCTTGATTATTTTCTGTGGGTAGTTATTGTGACCATGGGGAGGGAAGGGAATGTACCTAAAACCTAAAGTAAGTAGGCTGATAGTGTGAGCCAAGAAATTAAGTTCATAGTTGAGAATGGTTGTGCAAAGGAATGTTTTAGAAATCTGTTTAAAGAGGGTGTTGACTGTAGCCCCTAATAGTGTCTTGAAGGTTGAGGATTAGGTTGGTGGATGAAGTTAAATCATGAAATTAAATTCTTCCTCCCCCCCGCCAATGCCATATCCCACCCTCGCTCCTGCCCCCCACTGCAGAGCTCAGAGTTGGTAGCCAACCCTGATCCATTGACCGGTATATAGTATAGTAGTAATAATAGTAATAATATTTATTAGTACCCTTCTCGTCTGACTGGGTTGCCGCAGCCACTCTGGGCAGCTTCCAACAGAATGTAAAAATACAATGAAACATCAAATATTAAAAGCTTCCCATGAAGGGTGGGGGCAGAACCTGAGCACTACAAATAATGCTACATGCTTCCTGTTGCAGACTACCAGAACAGCAGTATACTTATACCAAATGACACAGGAGGCTGTCACGGCATGTGTCAGTGGTTCTGCTGCATATAAATACAACGGGACGATAACACCAAGCTGGGCATTTCATGCATGTGAAAGTAGTTGTGTACTCTTCATATGGCATAGCACACATGTAGGGGAACATACTGTTTCCTACACAGAAGAGAGATCCTTGTAATGACTTTTGCCTTTCCTGATTCTAAGCCACTTCTTACTGGAAACGTTTACAAAAACTGTAAACCTTCCTGGGAACATCTGATGCTCCTGATTTACAGCCTGTTGGGAAGAACGCTGCCCTGTTCATTTGCCAGAGCTGGGCTGCACATAAAGAGAGGAGCGTGAGGCCTAGGGATGTGGTGAAATCTCCTTAATTCTTTCTGAGAATCGTGAAATTTGTAGGCCACTCCTTGGGTCTTACACTATCCCTTGGGAAGGTGGCCATCTCAGAGACTGCACATTTTTCAGGCTTGAAGTTACTGATTTACTATCGTTTGGAGCGCCAGTTGCCGTAAGAACTTCTCTGAACTGGTAGTAAACAAGGCTTCCCAAACCTGGTGTCTCCAGACATTTTGGCCTAGCAAGCTGATTGGAGTTGTAGTTCAAGGCACCAGGTTGTGAGAGACTGTTAGTGGGGATTTGTCTTATGTGAAAATGCTCTAAAACTTAACATTATTAGATTATCTCAGTTCTCAGGCATGGAGTGACTTTGTCCTGACAGAGGTTATTTGAACAAGGGGGTTCAGAGGAGGCAAAGGGAGATGGCGTGAAAGAGACTGCTGACTGAAGGGAAAGTATTTTTATGGAGAATTCTTCCGTGGTTTGGAAGATTTTGAGCTATTGCATGTTGCTTAGGAGCCTTAATTAGATAATTCCCCAGACTGCATGCCTCTGCTCCCAGTGTTTCAAAGTTGGATCAGGTCACACAGTGATGTCCCACAGCTGATACACAGAGAGACACAAATTAAACGTTTGGGATAGCTTTCCCTGCCTCAGCCCTTAGGAACGTAATAAGGCATCCTATGCTGAGCAGACCATGTACCATCTACCTCAGTGTAGTCTACACTGACTGGCAGCAGCTTTCCAGGATTTCAGGCAGGGTCCTATCCTAGCCTTACTAGGGATTTCAGGGATTGAACCTGGGATCTTCTGCATGCAATGCTGATGCCCTGTCACTGAGCTGTGGCCCTTCCTGTGTCACAGAAGGCGACTGAGTCACTGGAAATTGTGTGACAGTTCTACTTGCATCTCACCTCAGTCTCAAGAAACTGAAAGGTGTATCTTGTACAGATATTATAATTATAGCGGTACCTCGGGTTACAGACGCTTCAGGTTACAGACTCCGCTAACCCAGAAATAGTACCTCGGGTTAAGAACTTTGCTTCAGGATGAGAACAGAAATTGTGCAGCAGTGGCGGCAGCAGACCCCACTAGCTAAAGTGGTACCTCAGGTTAAGAACAGTTTCAGGTTAAGAATGAACCTCCAGAACGAATTAAGTTCTTAAACCGAGGTACCACCGTATTAGAATTTATATACCGCCCTATACCCGGAGGCCTCAGGGCAGTTCCCAAAACAAAATATAAAACCACAAAATATATAATCAAAATAAGAGCAACCCAATAACCCCTCCGCCCAAAAAAACCACATTTTAAAAGGGCATAGGATGTCAATCAAATCAACCAAAGGCCTGGTTAAAAAGGAATGTTTCTGCCTGGCACGTAAAGGTGTATAATGAAGGCGGCAGGCAAACTTCCCTGGGGAGAGCATTCCACAGGTGGGGAGCCACCTCCGAGACCAGCTCTGACAGCTCAGCCAGGGAGACTGCTGGGCAGCAAGGTGGGCGGTAAACCTGCAGAATCCCTAATCTGTCCCAATTGCCCAGTGCCAGGAACACACACACTAGATTCCTGCCCCCCAACTGGACAGAGAGCCTGGAGAGAGAGAATCTCTATAGACCACAGCAACTCCCCCTCCCCAATCCTCAAATCTGGCCTGATGCTGCACTGAGTACCCAGGTGGGCACAACTGGGTGAGATTGATTCCACCCTGTTCACCCCCACAAGTTTCAGTGATACATGCCAGATCAGCCTCCTCATCCATAATCAGATCATGGATCAGATCAGGGAAGAGGGGAGAGAGTCATTTGCTTCCTTTCTAAGGCAATTCCAATCCACACTTCACAAGTAAGTACGCAAAGCGGGAACACAACTGTGCTCTCATTTTTCATATGTGGATATCAAATAAAAATGCACACAAAAATATGTGTTAGAAGAAATGTGTACAAAACTGCATATGAACGCTTGTGCAGTTTTTAAAATTGAAAAAAAAAGAGAAAAGGAAAAAAACAGAAAACATCCATCCCTTGAGCTTGTAGATAACTATTTTTATTTGCCATTCAGTTCAGATATGTGGAAACACAAGGAGTTTCAACCAAGTTTTACTCAAGAGTAGAACCATTGAAATAAATGAACATGGCTAAGTTTTGCCAATTAATTTCAATGGGTCTACTCTCAGTAAAACTTAGCTGATTACCATGCAAGCCGTTTTTCTCAAAGAGTTACCTTTGCTGGTAAAACATCCGTCAAGAAAGGCTGTTTTTAATTGCTTCTCTTGCATTGAGAAAACCACCACCAAGACATTTGTATCAAGCAACCACAAATTGAGAGATCTTCCTCCATGTTTCTGGAAGGCTCAAAAGTTGTTAATCCTGTTCAATGAGAAATTGCTTGATCCCTGCATAAGAAGTTGTGTTGAAGCAGCTACCACAGGGACCAACTTGCAGAAGCCACATGGCAGCTGTTTTGTGAGTGCACAACGTCTCAGACATGCAGATTTAAGAAGGAGAAAAATTGAGCTTGGCTAACTTTGGCACAATCCCTGGAACACCGTCTGGAGGGAGTAGTAATCTTGTAGGTTTCAGTGGTATTATACAGCTGTAGTGTGTCAGAGTAAGTAATCCCTAGGTGGCATAGTTGTGCGTGTTTGTGTCTTCTAACAACCAGAGATCTTTCTAACACAAAGGATGGTTGGACTTTAACATTAATTGAAGTGAGGAAACTGACCTCGCTTGCAATGGTTTGCGCACTGTCTTGAAATAGCTTTATTTTCCACAGCTTCTTCTAAAAAAGATGATTAATCTAGAAATATAGTATGCAATGTTTAAAAACAGGTGTAAGAAATATCACATGGGAGAGAATATTGATTGTGATAGTCCACTAACTTATTTCATTTGAAAGAAGTGATCTCTTTTGCCTTCACACCAAAATATCAAACAAGAAATGGCTCACAAAACTTAAGAGACCACATATTGTCCACTTTAGGTTTTTCTGAAAACTGAATTGTATACTATCTTACTTGGACCCCTTTTAAACCCTCCTTGGTCAGCTGGATACAACACTAGTCATTCTTCTGAATGATAACATTTCATTGCTGTTTCCCATAAATGCCGACTTGCATACATTTGATATTGTAATTTTTTCTACGGTTAGCCTCAGCTGAAGACTGTCGCAAATTGCTTTTGGGGTTACAAGCGGACCCATGCTCAAAGGAGTGCCAGCTTAATTTATAAACTGTGTGTGTGTGCATTTGTGTGTGTGTGTGTGTTTGTGGTCTCCCTTTTTCCACCACTGTAAGGAAACCAAATGAGTGTAATTTGGGAAATGCTATAATATTTTGCTGCGAAAGCACTCTGCAAAGGGAAACTTTAATGATAGCTTCCTGTTGCAGCACAGAAGGCTTAAAAATAGCACAGCAAAACAAATCTATAACCAGGGCTCTAATATCTGTAGGGGTTTAATCTTTTTCTCCTTTGTTCTTCTTCTGCCTTACTTTTCTCATCTTAAATGAACAAATAAAATATTTCAGAAAGACCCATGTTCAACTTTGGATGGCTTTACACCCCCCAAAAAACCCCAACAACAAATAATAGCAACCCTTTGGAAAGTAGAGTCTGTAATGGGCAAAGCTTCAGCTGCTTGACGTTTGCAAATTTGGCTTCAAAACTGAGCCTTATTAGAAATGTCTGAATCTTTTGCAGAACCTGTAAATGCAGCAGTCCCCCTTTGACATTTGTCAGCTGGGTGTGTTCATTACATAGAATTAAACATCATAACTTGAGCATTTCCTGGGTGAAAGAGATGCACGGATTGTGTTTCATACATTCCAGGGACAGGAAGCACAAGGCATTAATACTTCTACTGCTTCTTCATTGGTGGTGTTTCCAAAGTTTTCATTCATTTTATGCAATACTTACACTCTCATTTGCCTCAGTAAAAGCAGAGGTGCTATTTCTTGGAACTGTTGCAGCAGGAGCCTTTTAAAGAAAGAAGAAAGAAAGAAGCTTTAATGTGCAAGATGCACAAAGTAGAGCTTTGATTGCGTAGTGATGTCACCCCCTTTATGACTCTTAAATCATAAATATGTGGGTTTAGATGTTAGTTTATTGTCTCATTATGATAGTCACAGTGGGATACTTTTTCAGCATGTTTTAGCTATGAGGGGGTGTAGCTGAGGTTTCTGAAGTCACTTGCTAGCCTGTGCTTATTGCATTATCTAAAGTCAAGTGCAAATCTCATTGAAATCCTTTGCCTAGCAGTTTAATATTTTCACCTCCAAAGCCTTAAAATAATATGGCTGTTAACGAGTCCCCTTAGGTGGGCTCTGAGCAGTTGAAGACCTGTAGAAAGATAAGGAATTGTTGCATGATTCTGAAACTGAGTTAACAAACAGAAAGATATGGCTGCATACTGTTTTCCCAGCAATTCAAAGTTAGGCCCATACCATAGTATGGTGGTAGCTGCTTGCACATGGATTTGGCAGGCACCATTCCATGGTGCAGCTGCCATAACAGTGCAGGAAATGATAGGGCAAAGTACCTGCACAGATCAGTTTCATCCACAGCCACTGTACTACTATAACATATATGGGCTTAAAATATAGACCTTTTCTAATGGCATATTTACACTTTCAACCAATAAAACACTTTTAACTGTCACGGCTCCTCTAAAATACATGTGGGTGGGCACCTAGACACTCTCTGGGCCCCAGAGGGCCCCATCCACTTTTGCTGCTGATCAGCCATTCACCTTTCCTGTAGTTTCAAGGTGATCAAGGGGACAGGGTTCAAGAGAGGTGTGTGTTTGTGTTTAAGAGTGAGATGGAGTAAAGGCAGTGCTGTTTTCCTAGAAAAAGGTGCTTGAACTTGCCACAAACACCTCCCTTGTTCTTAGAATGGCAATGGGACCCATCTGAGTTCTGGCTGAAAAAAAGCCCTGAGTAAAGGCAAAGCTGGTTCTGCCCACCTCAGGGTCTGGTCCTTTCCTCTGCCACCTATTGCCCTTGTGGTTAAAAAGCTTTCTCCCCACTGCACTGAAGAATCTTAGGAAATATAGTTTAATTGGGGTGTGACAATGATCTTAGGCAGTTTCTATCCCCCTGCCGTTAGCACAAAAGAGGGCATAAATACACCAGTTCAGCTCTGTGGTTCAGCTATCCCTTAAAAGTCTGAGTTCTTGGTGATGACTGCGTCTCCCCACAAAGGAATGCAATTTCTCCTATTGTGTGATGTAGTTTGTTTGCTTTTTGTTTTTGATGGCTCAGCATGTCCTAAGTGTGATAAAGAGTCCAAAAGCAGTACTGTAATCCTAATGAAACAAGGCTGTGGTTTTATTGGAGTGTGTTGCAGTCGTGTCCCTTGCCAACATCTCCAGAAAACAAAAAATGAAGTATGGCTCTCTCTGCAGAGGCTTTCAAGTTTTCTCAGTGCCAGTTGAGCCACAAGCTAATGCTGATAACAGCATATTCAGATTGAATGTCATCAACATCCGGAGCAGGGAGCAAAAATGGCCCTGTTGAATTGCTGTTATCTCCCCTGCCTGCCTTCTTAAATGTGTGTGTAAAACTTCATAGCTGGCCAATAATCTTTTCAGAGCTCCTCAAGCTATATCCAGTCCTTAAGTTGAACTGATGATACCACACTATAATTCAGACCTACTGCTGTGCAAGTTAGGAAGGAATTTCAACCATTCAGCTGTAGGATTGGAAATCAATTATTTATATTTCAGTGTGTTTCCACACAGACTGCTGTTGATGCAACTGAGTTCCAATCCAGATAGTTACCATAATGTGTGAACTGGCCTGGGATCTAGGGAATTCTGGCAAACAACCTTATCTTACATTATATTCTGGACACCAGCCTTCAATTAACTGATAAGGTGGGATCAGTCTGCACCAGATAGCAGGGAGCCTTTTTCTTTCTGTTTAAAAGTACTGCTCTTACCTTTTGCTGTTGTCTCCACTCCTTCTATCTGTATTGACTTCCTGGAGATCTGAAACTTTGCCTACATCTAGGATCCTTTCTCCTCTCCCCTCTGTTTCTGCAATTCCAAGTGTATGGTTAGGCTGACAGCATAAATGGCTATCTTTTCTGCCAATAAAATCCTTGCATTTGCATGAGAAGCATTTTCACCACTATCTTGGTTAAAGTGGTATGTCTGTGATGAGAATCCTGGACTAATATACCGCAGTCAATATATTGCTTTGGATAAACCCCCTTGCTCCTGAACATCAAATAGCAGGATATGGGTATTCAGACTCCCATGTGGGGTTGGGTAGGGAGACTTCAACAGAATGGCACAAGCAACTACCCAATGACAACCCCATCTCTTCCATTCTGTGAACAATTTAAACATTTACTTACTTATTTTGAAACAGAATATTTCCCTACTGTAATCCTCAAGCACAAGAGAGTTCATGCATTGTGGAAAATAGCAACAAGACTCCCTATCACTTCCCCAAACACACATAAAGAAATAGCACATCATTTTGTGATCATTTCCCCTCTCTTTAGTCTCTGGATTCTGTATGCTGCTCACATGATAGCTGTCTGTGGGGCTGCCATTCAGATTAAAAAAACCCACCACCCTGCTATGTCCCAGTCTGGAAAATAAACAAATGAAAGATTATGAAACTGGTACTGGACAGGAGAGTAGTGTGACTGTTACACCAACTGTAAAATTAGAGGAGGAGTTGACTTTAGTGTGGAAAAGTCATTGATTGGTGAGTCTTTTACATGATCTGTTATCCCAAGAGGTCTTCCAAATTCACTGAAATGTCAATTTGAAACTTAGCTTATGTAATTAGCTAGCATCTTAATATGCAGATGAGAATCTCTGGGTACTTTGGAGGCATTTTCTTCTCCTGACTCTTGTTTTGGAAGGAGGTGGTTGTGGCTTGAGTTGGGGAGCTTGTGGCCCTGCAGATGTTGTTGGACTACAACTCCCATCAGTGAGTGCTAGCTGGGGCTGATGAGAGTTGGGACTCTAATCACATCTGGAGTGCCCCCAACTGTGACCTAGTGTAGAGTTGGGTAAAGTTCATAGCAAGTGCACAGTTAGCTAAAATGCTTTGTGATTCCATGGCTTTGCAAAGACTTAATAACCTGTGGTGGGTGGATAAAATGGGACTTCTAGCACTGAATTAACGATGTTGATTTTTTAAGAAGATACTTAGAAAGTGACACTTGCCTTTCTCTTGGGAGCACTGAGGTTTGGAGTGGAGTTAGGGGAGGTACATATGATCTAATCATGAAAAAAACAAATACTGGCAGCTTGGTGCTGCAAACTTGTATTATTTCTAGGAGTGTGAAGATGATAGGTCAGTCCATTCCTTCGAGCTGGAGTAGTATTGGTCCCACTCCAGCTTCAGCATTCAGATTCCAGTAATGCAATGTTTAACATAACCATGTGTGTGCTAAATGGAGCCAGCTGGAGTTCCTCCAGTGATGCTTTGCTACTCTGGCAGAGAGCTTGATTTTTGTCAATACCATATGTAGGAGATGGGGGAGACCCCTCCTCAGGGACCCTGTCTCATTTGTTGGCATTGACGGCGCAGGGCGGTGGCGAGGAGCTGATACAGGCATGCTTAGCTAATAGGTACAGGGCCTCACAAGCAAGACTCCACCTCTGCAATGCTGCCACATTTTAATTGCTGCGAAATCATTTTGAATAGCAATCAGGAAAGAGCAACAGCTGGGGCCAGTTTTGATCTTAACTGATGTTGCCCTCTCTTTCTTTGCTAGAAGAGAAATATGTCACAATCCAGTCATACACCAGCCAGGGGAAGGATGAAATCGGGTTTGACAAAGGAGTCACTGTGGAGGTCATTCAGAAGAACCTGGAAGGATGGTGGTACATAAGGTAAAGGTTTAATTAAATCATTCTGGTGTTGGCAGGCCTTTTGCTTACTAGCCTTGTGAACACGGCATCTCATAAGTTGCTTGTATCTAAGAAAGGACCTCAGCATATTGAAAACAAAAATGCTGGTCAAGTTGTACAAAGCTACTTAAAATTATATTGAATATGTAGTTAAAATAATGAAGTACAATATATAGAAACGGGTGCGGGGAGGAAAAAGGCTTCTGGGGGATATGTGTGTCCTTCAAGTTGGAAAAAAAATCCAAATCTTCTCTCGTGGGTGGTTGTTCTCTTCATTAATGATTGAGGTGAGCAGCTAGGGTCTCCCAGTTTGCAATCCTGTGGACATTTTCCTTTGAGTAAGACCTACTGAGCACTGTGGGACAAGTTGCATGGGATTAATGTCAGTAGGTGTGATGTTTGATAACTTTGGAAAGTTGTTACCGTTGTGTGTGTGCGTCACTGCAACACAAGTTACATGACAGCAACAGCTCAAATACTTGTTAATTTGTGTTGGTCAATGAATGACCTTGTTTTGCTTTTGTGTTTGTTTATTTGCAAAAATAGCTGATAGACTATTTTAGAAGAAATGTTTTAGGGGAGTCATGAGGAAGCAGAGGTGTGTTAGGTCTCTGTGGTGCTACACTTTGGCCTGTAAAGCAGGTATCTCTTTAACCGCTGGGGGCAGGGGGGCAGGGAGCAGTCTAATTTTCTCTTCTGGTGCCCTTAAACGGCTAATTTCAAGCATAAACTGGATTTTCTTTTTTTAAAAAAAACAAAACCTGGCGCAGTTCCAGAAACATTAAATGCCACGTAAGCAGTATGTATTTGCAGTGCTCAGCATAATAGACTCCTGTTGCTTGGTGATAGGAGAGGGATGAAAGATGCAATGTGTATAAAGCCATTCAAGTTTAACTGCTGCAGTCAGATAAATATTGGAAGCAAATCCTACTGAATTTAATGGGGCTCCCTTTCATGTAAGAGGGCAAAGGATTGTCGTAATTGAAAGAATGGTTGGACAAAGGTACAGGTTTCCTAAAGAAGGTGTGGAATTCTGCTCCTTGTGTGGCTTTATAAACAAGTGTCAAAGGGAGGGTACAAACCTGTGGATCCTGACACATTATAAGGAGTTCTTCTGGGTAACTCTGGTGATCCCACCCCACCCTGGGATACTATGAACCTACCCCTTATTGCTCACTTCCTTTTGCATGTGGAACATATATTTTTCATAGGTTGTCATTTGCTTTGTAGTCTGGCCATCTTTAAGGCACTGGAGCTATAAATAATGGAACCACACAGAGTTCTATGTGTTCTATAAACATGTTCGCTGTTGCATCTTCCTGATTAACTCTCCCATCAATAACAAATGAAAGCTGATAGAAGGGGAGAAGATTTCCAACGTGATGAGCAGGGAATAGCTGGCCCATTGTCAGCTCTGCATTCTTCCCTTTTTAAATCATCCATGGGACTTTAATCCAAAGCCAAGGGTTCAGGAGCAGAGTGCACAGTTCTTTGCAGAAGGAGGAACAATATCACAAACTCCCCCTGATGTTATTGCTGAACTCCCTTTTTGTTTTTAAAATATTTTTTCTGGTCACTGCCAGCCTTCCTTTTATCTTTAGGTCTGCAGGGGCCTAGAATCTCTTGCAGTCTTCAGTATTTTCATTGAAGAGGGAGACCAAAGCCTCTAATTTTTAGCAGTGTTTACATTTTGTGCAAATGGGGAAGGCATAAATGAAAGCAGGCTAGAGCCCCTGCCCCTGGCTCAGCTTCCCTGCCTCCTGGTGTTGACTGTTTGGGATTATTTTGTAGTTGGATGAAGGCACCTTGCATGCCAGAGACTCTTCTCATTCTGCACATGCAGAGAAAAGCTGTCTTTGCTGATGCATGTTCACGGAGATTCAGTCTAGGCTGAAGCCAAACTAGAAGGCCTTTAAAAAGCCTAGGAAGTATTCATCCTTATGTAGCAGAGGAAGCTTGGGGAGCTTCTGGTCCCACGGCAAGACTATCTCCGTTGTGCATGTTTAGATGGGATCCACTACAATGCTATGGTTAACAGACCTGATTTTCCTAGACAGTGGATAGCTGACCAGAAGCTGCAGACTTCATTGCCAATATATCTACCTAAGGCATGGCAGCCTTCCACAGAAGAGTGTGGTTTTGGCCCACAATAACAAGAGTCCTTGCATATGAAACAGGGATTTCCTAATTTGCTTTCTCTTCCTCCTCTCTTATGAATCAAGTTGAAGGCAAGAATGAATGAAAGACAAGATATAGTGCTTAGGCTGGTTCTGAACTGTGATTAAGAATGTCATGCTTGTAACAGCAGCATCAGAACAGCAGATGCAGTCCACTTGAAAAATGCCCCCATCTAAATCCATAGGATGTAGGTGCATGTTGGTGCACATAATTGGGCCCTCTGACTCTCAGGGGGCCCTAATAATGAAGGTGATGGGGAAATGCACTGAAAAGTGTAGGGTGACCGAATGATTAATGGAAAGATTTATAAACAACGCTGCAAGCAAATCAGAATAAATGCTCAACAAACCAAAGTGGGACTATTACAGTTAACAGAACTTTTGCCACACACAAAAATGCTTGCAAGAATGCATAATCGTAATGACGTATGTGTCACAAGAATAAGATAAGCACTAATAATTAGGTAATAAGTTCCACGTTAAAGTCTTTAATGTTCACCTCCTTAAATAATAGTTTCCAAAATACATGATTCTGTACTGATTCTTACTTCCCCCTCCCCTGCTTTTCCCTTCCTGGTTTCCTTCCCTCTGGAGTAATTCCAGTATTCTGGAGCTGGAAAGCAGATGTTAACAGGGAAGAAAACGCTCAGACAAATGGAGGCCTCTCTCTCCCCCCCCCTTTTCTCCCGCCCCCCAGTGTTGTTATAGTTTGGATGCTAACTTTTCATTCAGCATTTAAAAAACTTTTCGGGAATTGCAGTGTAGCCGCTTCTATATATTACCACTTTCTTGTTGCATTCCACTCTCCAGTGCATCTGAATGTTGTCCTCCCTCCCCTGCTCCATTTTCCTTTACAGTATTATGACTGTTGAGAAGTGGTTACTGTTCTAACCCTAAACTCTTAATTGAACTGTTGTATTCCACAGCTATGGGAAACTGTGCAAGCAAATAGCCTGTCAGATAATGTGCTTAATGCAACTCATGGGGGATGAGAATGCAACTCATGGGGGACGCCAACTCATGGGGGACGAGAAACAGGGGGCGTCTGCTTCTCCTGCTGCTGCTGTGCAAGGGAAAGAGGTCTGAAGCACATACACACCCACCCAGCTAGTGGTGGCAGGAGGAGGAGGAGTGGCCTGCCATTGAAGCTGCGCTGCCGCTGTATTTAACTCTGCCCCTGGCTTCTCCTGATGTGCCCCCCCCCAATTGCCCTTGAAAGCTGGCACCTCTGGCTTAATGAAATGACTGCACCCTATTTAAAAGTGGGGGTTATAACTATTACTGTTACAGGGAGAAAGAGCAAGAAACTGCTTCGGTGGATGAACCTTGATACTTGCTACAAGATTTTGTTTGGCTTTCATTTTTGCTGCAATTTTTTGATCACGTAGAATGGAACAAGGGCCAGTCTTAGGGTTGTGCCATGCAAGGGAACTAGTACATCTATGAAATCTGAACGTAAGAGTATAAGCACATAAGAATAACCCTCCTGGATCAGGCCAGTGGCCCTTATAGTCCAGCATGCTGTTCTCACAGTGGCCAACTAGGTGCCCATGGGAAGCCCGCAAGCAGGACCTAAGCGCAGTAGCATTCTTCCCTCCTGCAGTTTGCAGCAACTGGCGTTCAGAAGCATACTGCATCCAACTGTGCAGACACAGTATAGACATTATGGCTCGCAGCACTGATAAACTTATACCCTATGAATTTGCTGCTACCCAATTTTGACAAAGCCGGTGACCTTTTTATCTTGCCCAGAACTCCTGTGCCTACTTGCATAGGCATATGAGAGTTAATCGTGGAGCTTGTCCTTAGTTGCAGCTAACTCCAAGCACGTGTCTCTTTTTTGTGCTGAGCTAGGCTTCTACGTTGTGATTACACATATGTAAAGCTCCTAGGAGCAGGATTGTTTGGGGGTAACTGGATCTTTTGTGCCTGGCCCCCAATCATCTGCCCCTATTGCTCCTTAAGTGCAATGCTGTTTTAAACTAAGGTTACCAGACATCCCCGTTTCCCGGGGACAGTCTCCGGATTTACAAATCAGTCCCCATACAAAATCCTTTGAAGTTGAAAAGTGTCCCCGGATTCATTGGAAAAAATCTGGTAACCTTATTTTAAACTGTTTGGCATCAAGGCCAGTACTCTGATTTGCTTATCTTTCTGCAAATCTGATGTGGGAAGATGCCCACAGAGCTTCAGAATTAAATCTGAGCTTCTGCATTGGCTCTATATGACTGTGATCCAGTGAGGCTCAGGGGAAGAACCTCAGCCATGGGGTGTGCCTACCTTGATGACAAGGGGGGGAGTGGTCAAAGAATCTTGTATTAATAGTCACTGCAATAAAGAAAGGCTTTGTTTTTCTCTCCTGCTGTGCTCTTTCAGACTCCCAAAAGGAGGGGAGAGAATTAAGAGTGCACTCATTTGACTAACCAGTCACATTGCTGTCCTGCTCTCAGAGTTGTTGAGCAAGTAAAAGTATGAGGCATTTGAAGAAAAGAATCTCATGTTAAGCCTTGTTTCTTCCTGTAGGCAGTTTCTCACTTCCACAAGTTCTATTTTCTCTCAGCCCCTAGTCCTGAAAGCTTTGCTCACCGGCAGTGAAGTGATCCCATTGCTCACTGCTGCCATTGGAGGGCTGTGAGAGGACTGCCCAGGACAGTTGTAGAGTGTGGTGGAAGTGGCTTTCCCATGCTGCTCCCATGCTCAGTTATCCAGAATGGAAGTGGCGAAACCTGGACTGCATGCCAGTAACAGCCTCAAGACTTTTTCTCCCATGTTTTTTGAGAAAGACATCTTTTGGATGTCTTCTGTGTTTGAGAGACCTGGAATTGTGAGTACTCTTTAACTAAAGCTGCTAGAGAAGCAAAAGGGGAAGGAAGAATACTGCAGAGAAGTAGGTTATATTTCTCCCACTAAGCCCATGGCATTTGTAACTCCATCTGGTTTTAAGTCCTTGTGAGCCCTGATTCAAAGTAAACTTTATTATTGGGTTAGCTCTCCCAATGCGGGGGGTGCTTCCAGAAGGGCATCAGTGTTCCCCTTGCATGCTCCCCCCTTTAAATGTCCACATGAAATTGTTGGCATAAAAGTGCCAACCCACCCCCCATTTTTCCATTTCCAGGTAATATCCCCAAGTCTAAAAATCCCTTCTCTAACTACCCATTTAGTGATATCTCAATGACCTCTTTGCAAATTAAGGACTGCCTGGAAGCATCCAGGATCCAGGGACTATTGGGTTTTGTATTTCCAAAGTAGGATTCTTGGAGCACACTTACCAGTTGCTATGCAGCTAGGGCTGATGGGATTTGGAGTTTAACTGTAGCTAGAGGACCACAGGCTTATAATCTCTGCTTCATTTCAGTATTGCAGCACTGACCGGCAACTGTGTGGTTATAGTCAATTTCCATTAGTAGGGTTTTTTTGCATGCATTTTAAGGTGTGCATGGGGATTCTAATCCTATTCCTGTACATCATCCTGCAACACCATGTCAGATTTTGAGGCACAGAAAACTGAATATATTTGCGTTTTCTATTTCTAGGTATTTAGGCAAAGAGGGCTGGGCCCCAGCCTCGTACCTGAAAAAAGCAAAAGATGACCTTTCATCAAGGAAAAAGAACTTGACGGGGCCAGTGGAAATTATAGGAAACATCATGGAGATCAGCAACCTGTTGAATAAGAAATCCTCTAGTGACAAGGAAACCCAGTCAGAAATTGAAACAGCAGAATCCCACATCACCAAGAAGGAAATAAGCTTGCCCATCTTATGCAATGATTCTAATGGCAATGCCATGATGACTCAAGACAAACAAATTTCAAAATTGGCACAGGGTTCTCCAGCCATAGCACGGATTGCACCACAAAGAGCTCAAATAAGTAAGGCCATAGTAGACTCCTAGCTGCTTATTTACTTCTGGGGCAGGTTGGAAGGGTCAACAATGTCTGATGGATTAAGGAAAATACTAGTTGAGAGCAGCTTCCTCAGCCCGGTTCTTCAGATGTTTAGGGGACTACATCTCCCATCAGCCCCAGCCAGCATGGCCCAGTGATCAAGGGTGATGGGTGGTGCTTTTACCTTGGGCCCTCAAAGGTTGTTGGACTCCCATCATCCACAGTCATCTTGCCAAATGGTCAGGAATGATGGGAAATGTCATCCAACAACATATGGGGACCCCAGCTCATTCTTAAATCCAGAAAATGGGTGAATTTAAAGTTATATGATTATACCAATTAAGCCATTAAAAACTATGATTGAAACGAGAGGTTTGTGAAAATGGAGTTGGCACAAGAAATATACAAAGGAGGAGGGAGGATAGATAGACAGCTTGCATATGACAGCAAGTCTTGCAGGGCAGAGTGGAATATTAATATGGAGTGCGGGCTACACCTGGCTTGGCCCCTTGGCTGATGTTTGTCTGCAAAAAGTCTGACAACCACCAGTCTGTGATTGATTGCTATGATCCTGAATGTGACATGATTCCTGCATAGACTCGTCTTTTGGGAAGACATCTGACGCCCCCTTCTGGTGAACAACTCCTAAAAGTCTAGATTTCTATATTAGCACAAGGGTTTTTCAGTTGTTCACATCTAGAGTGATTGAACAGACATAAAGAGGGGGCATGGAATCATGGCAGCAAGCTCTGCTTCAGTACAGTCAGTTGAAGGTCAGAACAGAGCCCACAGAAGTATAATCCTGTCAGGGTTCCAAAAGCCATGTAGAGAGTCATCTGTATTTACAGCTCTGTTTTCATAGGCTCCATACAGTTCTTACTTGAAGGTGTGCAGAATGGAGACAGGGACCATATGGTGATCTTGTCCCCCTCTCTGCATGCAAAGATCACATGAAAGGAGCTCCATTGTTGTGAATAGCCATGCCATCTTTCTGGGCATCATAAAAAACAAGACAAAATTCCCATACTATGTTGGCTTAACTCCAAAAACCCACTGGTTTTATTTTGACTTATTTGCACCTTGCCCCCACCATCAGTTCCATCCAACATAATTTGGCAAGATTAAAATAATCATCTGTTTTAATTATTCTTCTCCAATGTCTCAGATAAAGCAGATCAGTTCTGGCTTCAGCACATAGTAACCCTTTTGGGGTGGGGGCAGGTGAAGACCTTATCATTTGTCTAGACCTCTTAGAGCTTGTAGACAAGCCTTTGCCAACCTGGTGCCCTCCAGTTGTTTTGGACCCCAACTCCCATCAGCCCCAGCCAGCACAAGTTGTAATCTAAAACATCTGGAGCTTGTGGGAGTCTTGGAGAGTTGTCAGTCCTGTTTTTATGCTGACTTTGCTGCTCTGTTGGTTTTCATAAATATGTTATTTGTATTTTGTTTAAAAACATAAGGTGCCCAGGAAGGCTTTGCGCCTTAAAAATTGTTATAAAATTATTGTAAGAAATAAATTATTTTATTTTTCTTGGACACATTAATTTTTATTTTAATTGCTGGCAGAACATTGAAGCTTGGGTGTGCATGTGCCTGTTCTGTTTAAATATGGAATATTTCTTCTCTCACTAGGTTCTCCAAATCTAAGAACCAGACCTCCCCCAAGAAGAGAATCTAGTTTGGTGAGTGCCAATTTCTTTTATACTTCCAATGGCACTTGCAAATATTTAACTTTGCACAAATGCAACACCTCTTAATCTGTTGCACTCAGGTCCCAGTGGAACAGGAAGGAAGAAAGTGGGAAATGTCACTCTTTTGTTTTCCCACTTGTGCACATACTACTTTTATATTGTCTTTGGCCACATCCACACCATACATTTAAAGCACTATGATACCATTTTAAATGGCCATTGCTTCTCCCAAAATATCACGGGAAGTGTAGTTTAATAAGGGTACTGAGAGTTATTAGGAGGCCCCTATTCCCTTCACAGAGCTACAGTTTCCAGTTTCCTGGGAAGAATGATAGATTGTTAAACCACTCTCAGAATTGTAGCTCTTTGAGGGGATCTCCAAAAACTCTTAGCACCCTTAAAAATTTCAGTTCCCAAGATTCTTGGGGGGGAAGAAGTGGCTTCTAAAAAGTGATATCTGAGTACCTTAAATATATGTTGTGGATGTAGCCTTGTCAAAACAACTTGTCAAAAGTTGTTTGGAGCTATTAGTGATCCATGAACTACAGCTGTATTACAGAACTGAGTTTTATTCCATCCCCCCACATACTCCTGTCTCTTCATTTTGAGTTGTACCATACATAGCTTATAATGTGAATATGTACGTGCAAGCTTCCACTTCTTTAATGTACTAGACCAAGTTTGTCCTTAAAATACCTATTTTCCTGCCACACCCACCTCTATCAAATGCAGGCCTGGATTTGCTCATTCCAGTGGCATGCCATTTTGTAACGCATTTAATCTAGACAAATATAAACTGTCCAATGAAGAAAGGCTCTTCATCCTGTTTCTCTCATCTGCCCTTTTTTCCCTTCACAAAAAAGGTGGGAGAAGAAATATACACTGTCAAAATGGTTTAAGCAATAGTTAAAAGGTTGGGTTGAATAGAGATTCTTTCATTGTGTGTATTTGAATGTTTTCTCTGCGTTCTACCTCCCTCAGGTCTTATAATCTTGCTTGAGTGATTATAACTATTACTGAGGTGAACCCTCAGTGTTGTCCTTAATGTAAAAAAAACCAACCCAAAACCTAGCTACCTCTGCTGTAGGATTTCTACTATGAAGCAATTTCCACTTAATATTTTTAAGTTGTTCAAGGCTTGTGAGTTTTACGCTCCTGTGCATCCATCCACATTATCCAGTCATTTAAAAACAGGGAAGGGAGATGGCAGCACAGCGGGTCTTCCTGCTTCAAGGGTTTTCGTCTTCTTCCCATTCCGTAGGAAGTGGAAATCTCACTAATGTATTTGACTTGAGGAAGTTTAAACTGACTGAGAGTTGCGTCACTGGACTGGTAACACCCATTCCCCTTGATTGGCCACCAGGTTTAAGGGATAGCTGGACTACAGTTCCCATTATCCTTGGCGATTGGCCATGTCAGTGGTTCTGATGGAAATTGTAGTCCAGCAATATCTGGAGGGCCACATCCTAGCTACCCCCTGATGATAAAAGCTTATGAGCTTTTAATATCTGGGCTGACATTTATTCATCTCACTTCCTTGCTTAAACTGCAAGCAGCTTTCTTAAAATAAAATAAAACCTTAATTTTTCCTATTTCCCTCTGCACCCTATTGCCACTTTTAACTACTCTCCTTATCCCTTTTTCTCACTGCAGGGCTTCCAGCTGCCTAAACCTCCTGAGCCACCATCAGTGGAAGTTGAATACTACACCATTGCAGAGTTCCAGTCTTGTATCTCTGATGGGATCAGCTTTCATGGGGGACAAAAGGCGGAGGTAAGCCTAGAAAGGGAAACAAGCTAATGAGTGATGCGTAGCTGCTAACCTTAGGCAGAAATGAGACAGTACCATAGATAAAAAATAATGTGCTATAGTTTTGTCCTTTTCCTCCCAAACTAATCTCTATGTTAATCCCTCTCTAGGTTATTGACAAGAATTCTGGTGGCTGGTGGTATGTGCAGATTGGTGAAAAGGAAGGCTGGGCTCCAGCATCATACATTGACAAAAGGAAGAAGCCAAATTTAAACAGGCGAACAAGTACTTTGACCAGACCCAAAGTTCCTCCCCCAGCACCTCCCAATAAATCAAAAGACTCTGAAGAAGGAACAGTTGCTGGAACCATATCTTCAGGAGATGCCCAGGACAAGCAAAAGTATGAGGAGCCAGAGTATGATGTGCCTGCCTTTGGTGCTGACTCTGAGTCTGAGCTGAGCCAAGGGGAAGATGGCAGCTTGGAGAGAGGCATGTTCCATCTACTCAAGCCTTCCCCTGTGTCATCCCTCCAAAGGGCAAAATTCCGAGTTGGAGAGTCATCTGAAGATGTAGCACATGAAGAGGAGACCATCTATGAAAATGAAGGCTTCAGGCCATACATAGAAGATGCTCTGTCAAGCAAAGAATCTAGTGGGGACTCTGATTCTCAAAGAAGTTCATCACTGTCTCTGATCCAAAGAAATTCTCCGTGTTCTGTTTCTCCCAAGTCTTCCCTCCTGAAGCCCAAAAGCGACAAGAGCATTCAGCCAAACCTTGGGAAGCCGCACTACCCCCGGAATGAGGAGACAAAGCCAAGGTCCGCTTCAGACGTTGGTTTAAGTAGCATGCCCAAAACTGGCCTAAAGAGGGATACTGGGGAGGCAGTGTCTAGCAGGGCAAAACCAATGGTGAGACCAAAACCTTTCCTGAACAAAGCAGACTCCCAAAGCCAAGAAAGGATGGACATCAGCACTTTACGTCACCAGCTGAGACCAACTGGACAGCTGAGAGGCGGGCTTAAAGGTTCAAGAAGTGAAGAGTCTGAAAGTCCACCTCGGACAGCTTCTGGAAACCCAGAAGAGTCATTCAGAAGAAGCTCTGCAGATCTCATTCCCACTCATTCCCATGCCATATTCTACTCCAGCCAGCCAAACAAGGCAGAGAATGAAAACAACTCCTCAAAATGTATCTATGTAACTACTGATTCTTACCAGAAAGTTCAAGATTCTGAGATCAGCTTCCCAGCGGGGATAACAGTGGAAGTTCTGGAAAAGCAAACAAGTGGGTGGTGGTATTTGAGATATGGAGACACAGAAGGCTGGGCTCCTTCTCACTATCTGGTACTGTCTGATAACCAACAACGGGAAACCAGTTCGAATGAGGCTAACATCTCAGTGGCCAAGAACAGAAGGAATGAAAACAAATCCAACAGCTTGGAGAAGATAGAGAAGAAGGTCCAAGCACTCAACACCATCAACCAGAGCAAGAGAGCAACACCTCCCATTCCCAGTAAACCACCTGGTGGCTTTTCTAAAACATCTGGGTCTGTCAAATTGCGGAATGGGGTTAGGCAACTAGCAGTGAGGCCACAGTCAGTGTTTGTCTCCCCACCACCCAAGGATAATAACTTGCCTTGTTCCCTGCGTAGGAATGAGTCTCTTACTGCCACAGACCACCTGAGGGCAGTACGCCGCAACTCTTCTTTCAATGCTGCCCAACCTCAGACTAGTGATTCTAAGATAAAGCACACTGATCGGCTGGGTTCTGAGGGGTCTGAGACAAGTTCCTACGTACCTTCTGAGCGCAATGGAATCCCAGTGTCCACAGTCAGGCCCAAGCCCATTGAAAAATCCCAGTTCATTCACAATAACCTTAAGGATATCTACATCTCCATTGCAGATTATGAGGGGGACGAAGAAACTGCTGGATTTCAGGAAGGTGTCTGCATGGAGGTCCTGGAAAGGAACCCAAATGGTTGGTGGTACTGTCAGATCATGGATGGAGGAAAACCTTTTAAAGGCTGGGTGCCCTCGAATTATTTGGAGAAAAAGAATTAGAGTCTTTAAATTCCATTATTTATACTTTTATACTGTGTACATACGGAAGGAAGGGGGGAAATACAATGATTTTATTCCCTTTTTATTCTATCTAATATACAAGGGACTGTTGATCTGACCTTTGCTATGACCAGCAAGTCTGCCGTCTTTGAGGGTGTTTGAAGGAATTGGCTTGTTCAGCAAATATCAAGGAAAAAGGCAGCTGGAACTAATGGCATTCTCTTTCTGTTTTGGTGAAGACTTTCATAATTTTGAGTGCAACATGGTTCATTATTCCACCATCCTGGTTGTCATAAAAGGAAACCAAATGTGTGCCTTTCACAGTATAGTTTGGACCTGTGCATCCAATTGCGAATGGTGGGGAGTTTGGTGCCAACCTGGACATGTTAAAAAAATCAGCTTGTTCATTTCTTCCACATGGAGTGTTTCCAAGCTGTGGATGAGTCTCCACCATCAGCGAGATATCTTTAAATCAGCAGAGCAAGTGGGGAAACTCAAGAAATCCAGTGTTGGCCCTTGGCTATCACATTCTTGTCTCCAGATTGAAGACTTGGAGCTTTTTCACTGTGCATTGCTAGTACCTGACATTAAGTGCATATTGTCAGTTTCCCCCAATGGCATCGGTCATGCTTCTGTCCTGTGGTGATCTCTGTGTCAACTGTTTGGGGAAGGGGTCAAGTTTTTTTTACTATTATTATTGGAATTAGATGTGTAGTCAAACTTTAATGTGGTTCCTAGGTGTTTGTACGCACACTAAAAATCATGTGTTTGCAACACACCTCTTGTGCAAACTTATTGGTCTCAAAATTTAATGTTTTATTTTGAGGTTCTTCTGAACAACCAATATTGAAAGTACTTTGAAGGGGTTTGTCACATACTTTGCTATCCAGAGCCCCATATTGGACTACGAAGCAGCAAAGTTTCATCTGAATGCAGGGAATATCAGTTGTCTGTAGCTTAAAAGGGGAATCTGCTGTTCCACAAAGCCCCATTTGCTGGCTCATGGACCATCATGGGTTTGGCTCCTTGGCCATCCATAAGCCTTTGCTAGAGGGAAAGGGATTTCTCAAGAACTCTTCCCTTCCTCTTCATTTTGCCCAGGTCAGAATTACCAGGCTTGCTTCCACCAGTGCTTCTGCACAGCTCCTTAAGTTGTGCATGCACTCTGCTCCCATCCCAAAGCCCCATAAGGCTTCTGCTCTTGTGGCCGCACAGTGGCCTCCTGTGGCTTGAAAACCAGGCCAATGAGTCATGTAACACAGTGGTGATGGCTTCTCCAGGGCCATCTGCATGGATCCACCTGCCAATCCCTTTGGGATGTATTACAAAGAGAAAAACTTAAAGTAGATGAGTTGGCCCCGAGTGGAAGGGATTTGCTTCCACATAACGGGCCTTTGTTTGGCAGGGGATTTCCATTATTTCCTATGAAGGGAAGCATATATTCATGTTCACAGGGATTGGATCTCTCTATTGTGCATTATGTAAAAACATTTCCTTGCCAGTAGAAGAGAGTGAGGAGTTACTTTTCTGTAAGGAGTAAGGGATATCTTGAAGCCACTGCATCACAGCCAATTGCCCACTCCAGGTGCTACTTGAGGTGCAGGAGTGTCTATATGTAAACATGGAGCTTCTCCGTGTCCATGCTCTTCCGCATGCCTTTCATTGATAGAGGAGTGATACCCCGTGTGCATCCTCATTGCACATGGTTAGAGTCATCCTCATGTGGAAATGAGGTGGACAGTGCCAGTGCAGGAATTGTGCATGCATGTCAGAACTCTCACAGTGCTTAAGATCAAGAATACTGGGAGTAACAGATTGCATGTGGCAATGCCTCAAATAAAAACAAAGCAAGGAGACCCATACAGTTTGTATTTAAGTGTTGTTTCCAGATATGAATGCCCATTCTCAGCCAGCAGAGAAGCATCTGTGTTTACAAAGTTGGGGCAGGGAAGAGAGAAAAAAGCCATGCATTTTACTGTCTGCACAATTGTTTTTAATTTGTATATTTGTGGGATGATTTTTATTTTTGAACCATCTGTGTCCTAAACTTCTTATTTCCCCCTTTTTAAGAGCAAGCAGTAGGAATCACTCTTCTGTTGTATTCACTTGAATGTTACTTTGTGTTGGGAGAGAAGCACCTGATACTTTCAAAACCTGCAAAGCAATTGAATGAGAACACTATTGAGTGGGGAATGTACCTGTTCAAGCACCTGCTCACCTGCACACATGGGCAGTCTCTCCATTTGTTTCTACCCCCCACCATTGATATTTATAATCATGAAACTTCAAAGATAGAACATTTGTGGGAGAGCATGGAAAAAATGAAAAGCCACTGGGGGGGAAAGGCTTGGGTGCAAAGTGTATCCCCCTCCCCGTGGCCTCAAACACCAGCCCTTAAATAAACTTTATAATTGTAAAAAAGGAAACACCGGAAGGCCTTTGCTTAAGAATACCGACTCTCAGATGAGAGTTTGATGTCTCTGTCCTGAGGCCCAGCATTTTGTGTGTCAAGAGAAGAAAACCAGCTGTGTTTGTGTTACTGTGCAAGAATAAATAATATAAATAACTCTTTCATCTTCCAGCAACACTTCATGCCTTCCACTAGGTGAAAGATAAAAGAATGGGAAGATTTGAACGAACTGAATGGATACATTTCTTCCAAAGGATTCAAAATCAAATATATAATGGGGAGATGTTTGGTCTTTGGGAAACATTACATAATTCTCACTTGATTCATCTCTCTTTCTCTTTAAACAAAAATATGGTGTTACGCGTCTTGAATCAATGAGAAATGTTGGGGGAGGGGTTGATTTCTGCAGCTCATGTGCCAATTGTCCTTTCAGTTTGATCTGTTGAGACACCATTAAAGTTTGGCTGCCACCACCTTCCATACTATTGCTTTATATTGGATAAATAAGCATGGAAGAAGGGTTGGCTTGTGTGAAGCAGGAAGGAATGGAGAGGCCTGTGACGCGCTCAGTGGAAGAGCCCATGGGGAGAAGGTCATGATCTACACTGCAAAGTAAAAGGTGTAGGTGTTTTTCCTGAGCTTTTCTTCCTAAGGCCTAGCAGCTCTGCCTCTTGGAAGTTTCTCTTCATTTTAAAAGTCTGCTGAAACCTTAGCAGCCATTGTTAAAAGAACTGCCAGAGCTGCTGTGAGATTATAAATAGAAGTATTATGTTCTTCTGCTGGACAGTATTAAATAGAGCAAAACCATAAAGTAATCTGCTAGATTGCAGTACTAATAGTAGTGATTTAGCAACTCATATTAATGTTTATGATTTATTTTTTAACAATAATGATAAGGAAGTGGTTCATTATTTTTGAATTAATGCACTTTAACAATTTAAACCAAAATGCAGAAAAAACCAAGTGCATTATTTAAAGGTGCAGTATAAATTGTCATTTTTTTAAAGTTCACCTATTTATTAAAATAATTTATGATTATTTAAAAATTGTACTATACAGTTTTGTTCTAAAGATGCCATCATCTCCTGGGAAAGCTAAATGTGCAGCTCCCAACTTTTCTACATTGAGCCATTGGACTCTCAAAATACAGTAGATTCAGTTAGCAAGTGTCAACTTTCTGCTAAGGAAAAGGGACATATATTTCAGATTTGGAGAGCAGTGGATCAGCTAGTTATATTCCTTAAACGTATGCAGCCCTGAGTAAATGTGAGGAGCTGATCTGAAGTAGTAATTGAACAAGCCCCCATCCCACCACCAGATTCCCTAGATGTCTTCAATATATTCTGCTAGCCCCCAGCGCTTAATGGATGACTGTTAACCATTCTCCAGTCCTATGTGCAGAAGATCGCTGTCTAAATTGTTCTAAATTGTTCTCCTGAGAACATACGCCTTTCTTGCTGCATATTAAGCATGTGGCTGCTACCCACAAAAACAATATCTATTTGCTATCAATATGATACAGAGCAGGCATGGTATCTGTAAGCCCTGTTTTCTTGCAGAGGTCTCCTATTTATGAGATCAGTTTGCTCATCAATAATTACTGAAAGATGTATACAAATACTTGAGGAGTAGGATCTATTGTGCATAAAAAAAGAAAGCAATATTCAGTTGCCCAACAGAGGTGGTCCAGTAGCCAATATTATAATATACTTTATGTGATTATGGTGATGAGGTTCTGAGCAAGTAGCAAAGTTAACTTCTGAGCTGCTCTCAGCTCTGCATCTACTTGCTGTTCGTGATGTTGTGCTTTCTGCAAGACACACACAAATATATTTGTGTGCTTGTGCACACAAGATATAGCTTGTGCATGCACACGTGTTGGACAAGCTTGGAGGCGATTTCATGATGTATGAAAGGGGTGGAATAAAGGACACTAGAAAGCACCTTTAGTCAGTTTCACTGTTACTGGTATGCAATTTACGTTTCCCACTTTAGCTGATAGGTCATATCTAGGAAACTTTTTCAGAACTGGAAAATTAAATGCAGCACCAAGCCTATTCACAATTACTTGTGACAAGTCTTCATGATCTCACTGCACAAACACTATAGTCCCATTCAAATGGCTGTAAAATACCTGCAGCATTTTGGTGGGGAAAAGTATTTTGTACTTCTAAAAACTAATCAAAAATCAAGTTGCAATTTAATAATAATTGTACTTTCAGAGTTAACTAATTCACTTAATTCTCCAGGGAGCTACTGAATAAAATATTTTGAAGTCGGAGTGCCCTCTTGTGGAAGGAGGAGTGGCTTTCTAGTTATTTTCCTGATTATTTGAGATTACCTTGGTCATCCATGCTTTCAAAAAAAATATGTGAAATGGGAATGATTGAGAAAGCAAAAGTTAAAAAAAACAACCAATCATCTTTTTTTGAAAACAAAAAACCAAAAATTTGAAACTTTTTTGTTCTGCTGTATACTGCAACTTTAATAATAATGAGCACTTCTGAGTTCGTTATTGCGGTTTTATATAATGCCTGAAAAGATACTCTTCCTGTTTTGTTTTGTTTTTTAATTCTAGTGAACACTATTTCTCTTTGACTCTTCCTGCATATACCTGTTGCCTATTGCAATTTCTTTCAAGCTGAGACTTAAGTTTATTTCTCAAAAAGCTGATGAGGTAGCAAACCTGTGTCTGCAATGGATGCCTCCATGCTTGAATGATCCACCACATCCACAAACTTACCTGCATAGGCCAGGTAAGATGTAGCCTTGAAGTCATTTCCTTAACATTTTGTTTTCTGTATGCAGGAATTCTTCTTTTGTTTTTTGTTCTTGTTCCGTTTTGTTTTTCTGAGGCAGGTCTTTCAATCAGATCTTTCCCTATCTGCAGTCTGAAGTGGTTCAGTTCAGATAAAGGTTTACTGCCTGACTCTTTCTTGAGAACTAGGCCTCACTGAAAATTTGAATGCCTGGTTAACATATATCAAAATATCAATTTGGAGCCACCTGGGCTCATGTGAGGGGCTGTTACCAGCCAAGAATTTGACTACAGCTGCCGCCCACCACACCACTCCCAGCCATATCACTAACTGCTTATGAAAGTCCCATATTTCTGAATGTTTTGCTGTGTAGCATTGGGCTGATATGGGGAGGGGTGCTGCTGAAGGAAACCATGGGCGTAAAGTTCCTTGGAACTAGCTTCAAACCCTTTTTGGATTCTGGCCCAACTTTCCAGTGACTGAAGTCCTTGTCAAAACAGCCCCTCTGTGTGAAAAAAAAATAGCACTTACTCCTTAACACATCTATAGAGAATTAAGTCTCATTGACTCCAGTACAAGTGTTGCTTAGGGTCACAGCCCCAGTTGAATACAAAATAATTTGGGTGGGACTTCTTTAAAATGCTCATTTGTACAGGTAACTGGCAAGGAACATTACAGACTGGCTAATTCTGGACTAGATTCTGAGGTAGGCGAACAAGTGCATTTGTGTTTCAAGTTTACAATGCAGTAGCAACGTCTGCATTTGTCTCTGATGATGAGCAATTTCCAAAAAAGTTTCTTTCAGTAGCAACACTGAACATTTTGACGAAGGCATTATAGAATTGTTTGTTTAAACTACTTTCAAATATTAGTGTGGCATATTTTATTGTAAAATTATACTCATTGCTTTTCTCTGTTTAGAAATGTGTTAACGTGCTTTCTATCATTTATGAGAAACCGAAGGGAATCTGGGTTAAACATTCATTATTTTCATACTACTAGCATTTACAGAATAGAAATACTAGTATTTAAGTTTAGATCTCATTAGCTAGTTTGTTCATTTACATTTTTCTCATGTGTATGTGTGTGTTGTTGGGTTTTGGTTTTTGGGTTACGTCCCCCCCCCCCCTTTTTTTTTTTTGCATTTTCAAGATAAAATCCAGTTGGAGGATATGTGCAATATTGAAAGAGATTAAACAGGCCCCTCATCCAGGACTTAAAAGTGGAACGCACAGTGTGATTTTTAAAAGTCTTGTCATTACCCAGTCATGCACTCTTGGGGGGGAAATGAGGAATGAGAGGAAGGGAACCATTGAGAAAAAGAGAGGAGGCAGCAGAAAATTTCTGGTATAAATGGATTGTAAGTGTGAATTTACTGTGGTGGCTGAATGCAGTAGTGGTTACACAAGTGCATCACACTTGAATAGATGTGTGACTTGTTTGTGTGTGTTAGTGACTGTTCAACACCCTTTTTCTTTCTAATACTCATTTTTTCTTCCTTACAAAATTCAGTTTGTTCAGTTAAGGCTGCTTTCTTATACTCACCTAGGAGGAAGTCCCATGCAAGTCAGTGGGGCTTACTTCCGTGTAGACATGTATAGGATTGTGTGGCTGGGTGCTTTTAGTTAGCATGGAATACATGCTGGAGCTTGGAATAGATGTGTTGAGGGGGGAAATCACTCATGAGACAACATGAGGATTAATTGTATGCTTGAAGCACAGCATGTCAAATCAGTCTCTACCTCATGATCCCTTAGTGCTCCATGCCTTTCACATTCAGGCCATTTGCAAGAAAAGATGAGCTTGTTGGTGCATGCCCTGCTATATCTCCTTCCACTGATAAGAACAGGAAAGGTTCCTATCTTTAGCAGCCCAAG